AGTTAGGGTTTCCTGAATTTTGTATGTTTGTTGTAAAGTGAAGTTGGCCTATCAATTGGTAAAAGCTAATAAAGAAAGAAGGGAAAGAAAGGCAAAAAAACACAGAAGCTTTCAAGTGATGATATAATTAGACAACGGAAAAGATGGATCATGCTAAGAAATTTTGACTTCTAATTATTATTTTTGTTTTTGTCAAAATAATATTTTTCAACGTAGGGTAGTGTTTGCTTTATGATAACTCAGAAAAAGAAATGTAATCTTATATGGGTAAATTAATTTCAAGATATTTATGACTATAAATGCTTGTAATTCTAAGAAAATTTAATCCTACTAATTAGATGTGATCTAATTGATTTTTTCATTTTATATAAAAATGTGGAAGTCGAAGATTTTGAATTTAAATTTTCTTTTTTTTTTTTAAAGACGAATTTAAATTTTCTTAAACACATAAATTTTTATCAATTTGATAAATTAAAGATATTACCTATGATATTAATTCAACTCTTTAGGCCTGACAATAAATTCCTCAACTAAAATAACTCTATTACATACAAATTTTGTATTTTTAATTTTATAAGATTAATCATATTTCAACCAAATAAAGTTTAACAAAATTACAAAAATTTTAAACCTTAGGGCTTCATTATTTTCAGAAATAATTTTTCTGGAGAACATTTTTGAAACAACCCGAAAATTTAATTTCGTAGAATTTTCATTTAAAAATAAAATTTTTATTTCAACCAATAAGATTACACCAGCTAGTATTTTTGAAACAAACCCGAAAATTTCAATTTCGTAGAATTTTTCATTTAACAAATAATAATTTTTATTTCAAACCAATAAGCGATTACCACCCATGCTAGTATTTTATTATTGCTAAACCTAGACCCGTTAAACCGCAATTCGATTTTTTTCTGAAAAAACCAAGCTAATTGAGCCAAAATCATAGAAATTAGACCAAACCGGTTTCGAATCGACCGGAATGCGTCTAGAAGCCCAAGATTTTTCTTTTCTTTAACTTTTTCTTTTTTTTTTCTTTTTTTTTTTTTCTTTTTTTTCTTTTCCCCTTTCTCCTTTTCCTTGCGCATTAAATCCAGCGCGCGAACCCTCGCTCCTTCTCCTCTCTGGTTTCCGACCACCAGAAACCAGCGCCTCCTCCGCCCGTCGATCTCCTCGCCGAGCAAGCCGGGCCGTTCCTCCCTTGTGCTCGTCCGTTTCCGATTCTTGATCGGCAAGAGTCACACTGAAGCTGGGGATACCTTAGCGCGCGATCCGAGACCAGTACGCGATGCTACCTCCTTCCTCTGACCGAGCAACTCCGACTTATACCTCTTCCCGGCGAGGTAAGTTGATTGTCCTCCCCCATTTGCACTCCTTTTAGAAATCATTTTGCATTAAGAATTAGCCGCGATTTACACGCCAGGATATTGATTCAAACAAATGGGCACTTAGGGCATTTAAGAAATAAAAAATTTGGGATTTTCGTGTAGATATTGACATTAAATTGCAACCAGTAGTGGCATTATAGAAACTGAGTTCTATATGAAAATTTGCTGCCGTCTTGGCGTAAGGAATTGCGAAAGAATATTAGGAATCCAATGATCAAAATGGGACTTAGGGATTTAAGAAATAAAAATTGGGATTTTGTTAGATATTGACATAAATTGTAGTAGTTGGCTATAGAACTGAGTTCTATATGAAATTTGCTGCGTCTTGGCGTAAGAATTACAAGATTTAGGAACCAAGGTACCTCCGGCCACCATAGACGACGGCGACAGCGGTGGATTCGGTGACCGGAATTCCTCATAGACAGTATAGTCCAATTTTTACATAGAATCTAGTTTTGCAATTAGTTTTGCACTAGACAACAGAAATCGAAAATTAAGCTTCTAAGCCGTAAATATCACAGAAAGTTAAATTAAGGAGGGGTTGGTAGAAATGCAGTAGCTAAGTTATTGGGTATTCTAATCGCATGAATAAATTGGTTGTTAGCTTATTTTGTTAGCATGACTTGAGATTAAATCGAAGTTATACTTGGCTTATTAAAGGAAAATCTAGGATTTAGTGTTGTATATAATTGGTTATGGGTCATGAAATATAAATAGGTGCAGTCAAACAAACCATTTATTTGATTGTGATTAAATTTGAAAGGTGAAAATCAATAATGGGTATGTATATAAATAAGACTTATTGATTCAATTAAAGAAATTATTTTGTTTTTACTTATTAAGTAATTCATAGTAAATTATGGATTCAAGATATTGATTTGATAATTACTGTATAACGAAGAATGGTGGGTTGATAATGATAGGAGGATGGGGATTTTATTTAAAGTTCTTTGCCTGGTGGATGGGCTGCCGATTGTTTTACGGTAATTTAAACTAGATGTTGAGTATGATTAAGGAGAGATGCTGCCGGGTGTTCGGCGGAATATTTAAAAGCTAATAGGCCAAGTGTATTATTAGAAATCATTAGTTGACTAATAGAGTTATAATAGGATACGAGTTACTATTGATTTTATGGGTTGCAAATAAAGTGTAGTTACAAAAAACTTAGTAAATGCTCAATAATGATATACTAAGATAAGGATGAATAAATTATCCTCTACTACTAAAATCAAATAAGATTTATAAGTTGAATTCAAACAGTTGATCGAGAAATCTTAAACACACTCAAACCTTCAACTGGGGAAACATACGACATTTTGACAATTTAGATAGCCTCTCTTATACCATTTGTTGAACTATAGGACTAGTTAATAAGCTTTCGGTCTTAAAAGATTCTTCGATATTTATTTCAGCTAAGTTTCGCATTTTGTAACTAGAACATAAATATTGATAATAATCTGTAATGGTGTTCTTAAGTATATGTTAATAAGTATATAAAAAGATTTTTCATTTATTTGGTCAAATTAGCTAAAGAATCGCTCGCATCTATATTTATGTTGAAGCCAAAGAATACCATGTCTAGTAATATTATTGGAGCCACAGTGTGAAAGCGATTATTATAAAGTTGTGGAACTTATAGCTTTGAATGTTGAACATTCATTCATTTGGATGGAGGAAGGGAAATTTAACTGTTTTGATCGCGACCGACGGATGGGCTTGTGTGCATTGAGATGATTAATTATTATATTATTGTTGATATTATACTGCAGTTAGGCGCCCAGTTCCACACTCGTTCGCTCATCCTCGACATGCTCCGCCCCAGTACGTTTTATAGGGATACGGTTGCTGCCGAAATTTCGATAGAACTAGACTAGTCTAGTCTTAGTTAACAATATAAAGTAATAGGTTTATTTAGAATAATTCTATAACTTAATACATAGTAAATAAAGTATTCTAATTATTTTACTATCATCACTATTTACTTTATATTGTTAACTATTATTATTCATTAATAAACTCACATCTCTTTTGTTCAAATCTTTCAGGAAGTAGCATTTTCTAAATCCTAGCTATAACTCTGCTCTTTGCCCTTAAAAAAGAAATTCGCTAATTTTAGTATTGATCAATTAAATAGATAAATGTCCGAAGACTTATATGTATACATCCGTCAGTAAACTCCGCAGTTATAGTAACTTCCCGCAGTTATCAAGAACTTGCTATACTTCTTAAGTTTTGTGTATTATTTTATAGATGGAATAATTCTGTCGGGCACAGCGGGGCGCTAAGTGGCTTTATAACTATAGATGTATTTGTAAGCAGGGGAATTTGTAAAATGTTTAAAATTTTATTGAGGATAGCAAATTTGTTAGTGTTTCAGGGGCTTTACTACGGGCCTCTGGGGGCCTTCAAGCTTACCTGGGCCCTTAGTGCCGGTCCGGGTCCCATGAGTGTTTCAGGCTTACTACGGGCCTCGGGGGCCTTAAGCTTACCTGGGCCCTAGTGCCGGTCCGGTCCATGGAAATGGGTCGTGACAATTTTTCAATTTGAGGTGTTTAGGAAAATTAGTCAATGAAAAATATTTTCATAATAAAAAAACTAAACAATTGTTAAAGAAAATGAATTCCCATTTTTTAAAAGACGAAAATACTTTTAAAATATTGACAATATCTATATAAATATATTTTTTAATTTATTAATTATCAATAGCCACCACCATAGATCACCAATTACCACAGGCCACCAACTATGTCAACCACTATCATCTATCAATGGCAATTATCTTATCATTTTTTATGTATTTTTCTCATATTTAGTAATAAATTTTTATAATTTTAAATATTTTTATGATCTTATACGTTAAAATTTTAATATTTTTTAATTAGTTTTAAATATTCCAACCAAAAAAATGAAAAATTAGATATTTGAAAAATATCTAATTTAAAAATATTTTTTTAAAAATAAATTATTTTTAAAATAAATTATTTTTCAAAAATAAACGGAAACTTAGATTTAACAAAAAAAAAAAAGAAAAAGAAATTGTTAAAATTAAAAGTACAAAAGCCAAACCTAGGATACAAAAATTGTCCCACAAGTCAAGAATTTGAAAATTGATTAGTTAATAATAAAACCAAATAATATATTATAAGTATAATTATCAATATTACCATATATAATATAAAAATTAATTAACCAATGATGCTAAAATCAAACTGAATTATATAAGTAATTATTTTATCCATGAATTATAGAATTAAACATTAAATAAAATATTAAACGAGAACTACACCAAAATGTTATTTTACCTTTCAGTCTGATTTGGAAGATTTTTGGTTGGAATATTCACATCAGTTCGAAACCTCATTTAATAAAATCATTTCGGCCCAGAAGCATTTTTGGCCAGTCCATATGTACAGAAACTGAATTAAACTGATTTGATTCTGTCAGTTTTGGCTTCTTTTTCTTTTACAGTTTTAGGCTTATTTTCAAGGCTTCAAGAAAAACGAACTGACCCGCACTTAAAAAATGCATTTGTGTTAAAAATCGAATCGAACTGGTTTGTTTCGATCGGTTCTAAACCAAGTATGCACAGCCTTAATTATAAGGATCTAAAAGTGTTCATCAAACAGTCATTATAAATTTTAGTAGAAGAGTTACATTTTTGAAGTGTACTCGGTACAAATGCAGTATCATCAACATAACCATTTCAAAAGAATGAAAAAAGGAAAAAATGCAATGCAATATCATTTCCATTCTCCTGTAAATGAGATACAGTTAAACTCCTGTAGTATAAATTAAATAGCTATGAACAAGTAATCACAAGAACATCTTATCACACCATTTCTCAAACTGTATCCCACCGTGTCTCGACATGTATCATACCATTCTTCGAATCGATTAGATGGTATTTCTCGTTGATACGTCCATTATGCACAACATCAGCAAGATTAATTTCAACATGTCCTAATTGTTCCTACATGGTAGAACAATGATCAGAAATATGGACTAAATGATTTTGTATACAACAATTATGATAAAACAAAAAACAGAACATGAACATGAACATGATTCGAAGTAGCACCTTTGATCGAAAACTCAATCTTGTTCGTTTACTCATAACATCGATACGGATCTTCTCATGTAAAGGAGGCTGATCAAGTGTAAATTGGAATTCTTCATTCCAACGCGGGTCACGAGCTTTTCTTATCATCTGAAAGAAAAAAAATATATATATAAATATTCAAGAATGTAGGCCTAAAACAATACAACATATCAGAAAAGGAGGGAAAAAAGTTTCTTCACCTTTGTTTTCTTCCTTTCTCCTCTGAAAAGGACTACTGCATAAGGATTACAATGATGCTCCCCTTCTACATCCTCAGCTCCTTGAACAAAAACTGAAAGTAAACCTGCTCCACTCAATCTCTCATCATCAGAAGACTTGTTGCCATTTCCAACATCCAAAGGATCATTGAATTTGGCACTGTCTGCTTTAAAAGGCACAAAACTAAGCTGCAACACAATTTTCCCCCTTCTTTTCTTGTCTTGAGGATCGCTAATATTTGTGTGTTTAAGTAAATCAAGAGTCAATTCCTTTGTATCATAAGGAGTCAGGGTTTTTAATGGAACTAGCTGCATCCCTAGTCTGTCATGTCCACCAACCTGCAAACCAAGCAAGAAGTTTAAACTTTTGTTTCAATTTAAAATGAATATGTGAAACTGAATCAAAAGAAATTATTTATTTGGTATAGGAACAAAAAAAAATTATATGGAAGCAGTTTCAAAAGAAGACTAAAGCTTCAGACGCTGTAACAAGTGTTTTGAACAGCAATATATCTGTTCCAAGTATATTTATATTACGATAATTGTTTGTAATCAGACTGAGTTCGTTATTTTAGGAAATTTTACCAAGTATTGATTGATGAACAGCACAGAAGACTTTTTTAGATGCTGAAAAATGTAGAATTTTGAAAAGGCAATTAATATTTAACCTTATCCCAATCAAACACTTGCAGTTCAAGAACTTGAGACTGAGGATCCTTGACAACAAGCTTGAAGTTCTCATTCCACTCGGGGTTCAAATTGTTCTTCTTAATTGTGGTTTTCTTTGCTGGCAACTTCTCTCCTGTCAGGCTGAGTTTTACATAAGGGTCAGATGTCCCCAATAAATCAGCCTTTAAGAGTTTTATGGCTCGCACAACCTTCACATGCAGTATTCCCACAGGCTTCTTCACAGCCACACTACAAACAAAAAAATAAAAAATGAAAAAATAAAAAGCAAAAGAAGAAAAATAATACAATTAAATTTCAACATCTTTCTACATAAAATCTTTTGACGTGTAATTCATTAGGCCTTCACTTAGCTTGTTTGATTAATTCATTGAAGATCTGAATTATGGAAGTATAATAGTGAAATTTTCTTCAGCAAGTGAAATGTAAGATGGAACAAATTTAACTTGTTTGTACTCATAATTGTATAAAGTAATTACTTCTTCAATGAGAGGCCTAACAACACTACTGATTTGTCAACAATTAGATATTCGTGCAGAAAGCACAAGTAAAACAGAAGAAAATTCTATGAAACATATAAAATTCTCAATGAAAAATTAAACTAATTATTATATCATAAAATTATTCATCCTTAATATAAGCTTACGTTGACGCATCGAGGACAGGAATATAAACTTACGTTGATGCATCGAGGACAGGAATATCAAGAGATTGGGGCCAGAGATAGAGACTTGCTACTTGTTTTTTGATGGCCTCCTGCAAGAATCTAGAAATAATTAGTTTATCATCTGAACTTTAATGTCAAATAATCAGACCATCCATTTTCCAAGACAATAAAAATGGGCCTTGATCTTTAACCATAAAGAAACATTACCAGTGCAGTACCTGAACAAATCGGTAAAGGCCAGGAATGGACATTACATCACCTCCCAGAATTTTTAGTCCAAAATCTACATGTGGCTGTAGATCAGTATGTAAAAAAATCACAATACATAAAATCTTTAGTTATTTACTTTTAGTTCAAGAATCAACAGAACTTTCTTTTTGACAAGACCAAATAATACTTACCCTCTCCATCAAGGATACCACAATGTTTGCAAAGCATGGAAAGGTAGGCACTAGTGGCTTCAAAGCTATCCGTGGTGCTGCAAATATTTGCAAATCGACTAACTGAAAAAAGGCATTATTAATGTCAAGTCTTTTGGGGGGTGCATCCATCCTTGTACTAGGAACTAATAATATGGGGCTTTAGGTTCTTCTCACCTGAACTGTGACTTGTAAAGACATCAATTTTAACACCAAAACAATATTAGGATTGCCAGCCCATTTAATTGCTGGTTCCATAACTAAATCCCTCTCGTTAGTCTCGTATACTTTCATACCTGCAAAAATTATCAATATTTGCCACATTAATACATTTTTAGAAAAAATAATAGAAAATTTCTAAAGAATAGTGTAAGGATCAATGCCTTATGCATATCTCTGTTAAAATACTGATATATTTTGTCAATTCAAAGGAATATCCATGATTAGCCAACCAGCCCTTTCTGTTCTACAAATTTTTAGTGATCAACATTTCTTGAACCACAAAGTACTTACCATGAACTGTAGGAGGAAGAGTTCCAAGAGTTAAACACTCAAATTCAATCGCCTCTACCTTGTATTTTCCAATGTACTCTGCAAATATTGGTTCTGCTGTGCTTTTTATTGTAGCACATATTGCCTGTTCATTATAATGATTAATGAATGAAAGAAATATTTTAAATAAATCAGCAACATCAAGGCTATTCAGGCAATCAAAGTACCTTATCGAGGTAAGGCCACATTTGCAAGAGAAACGTGTTCATCCAGTCCACCTGCAAATGCAGACCAATATAATCAACAGAATCACTAAAGCAACAACAGCAAGCTCATAAGAAAACTGATACTGATAAAAATAGCTAATTTAAAAAGATCTGATTACTTATAATGTACAAGCCAAATATAGCATGCTTACCCGTTCATAATCAGGGCATTTCACCCAAAATGGAATCTCAGGCATCATATCTTCCAAGGTGCTCGAGTCTAATTCATAAAGCGGCCTAACCACTGGATCCTATAGCAGATATTCGAAGCTCAAAATCAGAAAGGCATACTTTTTAATAATCACATAATTGAAGTAGATAATAAGGGTTGCATTTTCTTCAAATGATGAAGCAAAAACACAACTAAAGGATGCCTTTGAGCATCACTTGCCACTGAACTAAACCTCATTATCTTGCAGTGAATTTTAGAGTTGGTCAATTCAAATTAACACTTATATCATCAAATTTCATAGTGTTCAATTCAAATTCATTTCTATCATTGAAGAGAAACACTTCTGACAATTTCAACAAATTAACATTATTGTGGCGGTGGCTTAAAAAAAATGCAGAGACTATATTTCCTTATTTAAAGACATAAAATCTCCTTCAAATAGTCATTAAATGTTTCTGCACCACAAATATGAAAATCATTTTATGCAATTGAAGGCCACATTGCTAAAAGTCGAGAATGTAATTTCAATACTGCTTAAGCATTTTGAGATGGAAAATTTAATAAAAACATACCAGAGCTTTAGGATGGTGTGAACAACACACATGGAAAAAAAGAAAAGGAAGAAAGCTATTAAGTTCATCAAAGCAGAACCCACAATGTAAGTAAGCAGTCACATCAACTTAAATATTAGACCTAATAGCAAGTTTTGAACAACCACACATTACAAAGCAAACATCATAATCGCTGTACCCACAAGAAAGATAATGAACAAGAATAATAACCAATTGAAACAAAGAATATGCCAATGCAACAGCGCATTTCAATTAGTCAAGAAAAATAAAAGCTCCATTCATCTTACTGCGGTACATACAATTAATCCTCTGATTAAACCAAAAGCCAATTAAAACCCCAACATAAATTCTATTTAGCAATATAAAATCACACCATAAAAGAAGAAGAAGACCCAAAAATTATTGGATTACATAAACAATACAGAAACAATAAGAGTCGGGGAAAAAATCAAAGATTATCAGAAGAAAGAAAGAAAGAAAGAAAGATATATAGTAATGCAACAGAAGAACAGGTTAAATTCGAAAAAGAATATATGTATATTGAAAAGAATCATCAAACAACAGACATAAGAAGATGAACTACTACCTTAACATCTTCAGGCTTAGAATAAACAAAGAGAAAGAACCCAACTAAAAGTCCAATAGGAAGTCCTAATCCAAAACCAAGAACTCCCAAGAAAGTGCTCAAGAAACCCATTTGAGTACCAAGAAAATCAATAACATGGCATGTACATGAAACGCCAGAATCTTAATGAATGGAAGAATTTTTAGTAGTTACAGAAAAAAGAAAAAAATAAAGAAAACTATACAAGGCAAAGGCAAAGGCAAAGGCAAAGGCAAGGCGAGAAAATCAAATTTTACTGGAAACTTATTGATTGAATAGACAAAGAGGAGGGTAGGAAACCACCCCAAGAAACCGCCAAAACAGAAGCCACGTAGTCTTTAACTAGAAGCTTGTTGTTTCAAATTCAAACTCACAATCAAAATCAGAAACCAATCAAATGAGAAAAATAGTTAAAGAAAAAAAATATCAAAATGAGAATCAAATTACGTGCTACTATTAAAATTTAAATATTCATAGTCCAATGAAATACTTTTCTAAATTGACAAGATATGATTTGGGTTTTGAATAGAAAAAAATAAAATAAATAAATAAAAGTCATATAAAGCCAACTATGATTCTCATTCTAAAAAAGGAAAACTATGATTTTCTGAAATTACAGTTGTATCCTTATAAGATTTTAATAGGTTATTAGAATTTTTATACAATGAAAAATATATGTAACCAATGTGTCATTTGTGAAGTCAAGTATATTAATTAATATACCATATGTTATATATATATAAAGTTATTATCATAACAAAAGATGTTTAAATTTGTTTTTTTAACAAATGACAAAATAGATAGGGTTATTTATTAAATCAAATATTCGTTCTGGAAGAATATGTTTCAAATTTCCAATAAAAACATAATTTCCTTTAAATAAAAAATAAAAACTAAAAACATAATTAAATTTCCTTTAACTTTTCCTATTTGATATATAAATAGATTTCCTTTAACTTTCCTATTTGAATATAGAAATATATATATATAATATATATTATATATATATATATCATATATAATATATATAAGGGCATTTGTTTTTCTTAAATTTAACATTTTGATATATATATATATTAAGCATTTGTTTTTCTTAAATTTAAATTTTGAATAGAGCTTTACCTCCACCCAAATATAAACAAAATTTCTTATATGCTAAGCAAACATACTAGACAAGAAGAACCTCGTACATTGCTAACACCGAGGATTCTTTTGAAGGTTGAGAAGATCGCAATTGGCATATGGAGATTGATTTTTTTATAGTAATAATAACAAAACTCCAACGACAATTAGTTGGCAGTTGGCAGTTACCTTCTCATATCTCAAAACTTTCAGAATATTTTTATATTTTTGGATTGGAGCTGCCACATAGAAAAATATTTATAAATTGCAAAATCTGGCTTTTTTATGATTCTTCTTTTGCCTTGACAAAAGGTGATGCCTTCAAATAGAAAATATTTCTTGAAATTAGCAAACTTTTATGTCTTGTTAGGGATAATCCTGTCTACCATCCAGCCTATTAGATTCTTCATGCATTCCTTAAATTTCACAGATTTTAATTTTGCATAAAAAATAAGGAAAATAATTGAATTATTTTAATTTATTTTTTTAAAAGATAACAATAGTTTATTAAATTATTTTTTAATTAATAAGTGTAGTGGAGATATCTAAATAAGAATAATATTGATATAAAATATACAATCTTGATTTCTTTTCTCTAAAAGTTACTTCTAAATTGAAATAAAAAAAAATTTAAAGCTGTCAAATTTAACGAAGTGGGGAGTAACAAATAAAATTCTATAAACTCTAAGACTGATCTCCTATAAAATCCAAATATATAAACATCATTCTATCAATTATTAAATTTAAAATTATATTTAATTTAATAAATACACTTATTTTAATTTAATCATTGACAAAAATTTTCTATTTAAGGTCAACAAAAAAAATCTTAAAATTTCAAAAAAATTAGACTTGGGCCATATTTGATTGATGAAATGTAATAAAAAATTTTTTTTCAAATAAAATAAACTTTTAAGCAAAAGGTTATAAAAAAAAAAAAGTATGAAATAATATTTGGTTTGATATATAAATTAAAAAAAAAATTCTTATGTAAATTATGTCTATGATGTCGTCTATTGACTAATGCAATAATGTAGCGCTGATTATATCATAATTTCATGCCATGAAAGATAAAATAAAAGGGTCAATTAATAAGCTATATTTTTTTGTGGGTCCCAATAATGAAATAATAAAAATTCTAAAAATTATGTTATATGACATAATTTTTAATTTTTTTTGGATTAATCTGAGTTTTAAAAATATTTTGATTCCTCAAAAAATAAAAAATTTAAATTTTCAACTCAGTACAAAGCACGTTTCTAGTGATTATTTTTAGCTCACAAATTGATTTTCATATCTTTAAAACGATTTTGATTACTTGAATATGAATAACATGTTTAAAATTAAAAACTTAAAATCTCAACACGCTTTAATACTCCTGAAACACCCTTAATTTTTATTTTCAAAACTTTTGAATTATTATTAAATCAAAAATCTGAATTTTCGACTGTCCGGACTGTAAATACTGTTTAATTCTAATATGAGCCCAAGTTTACGATTCTTAATATGAGCCCAAGTTTACGGAGTTTGGGCTCAATGCCCCAAAACTATGTTAAACTATTTGCCGAGGTAGAATCTTTTTAAAGACAAATTTTTTAAGAGTAAATATTGGAGGCGCTAAGTTCATTAAATTATTAAAATGTATATGTATATGTGGTGTGATTCTATATAAGATTATTATTCTAAACATCTAAATTATTTTATTATTATGACTATTTAGTAAAATTGGGAATTATTCTAGAACGCTAACTAAAAGAGTCAAAATAAATTCAAATCGGCACCTAGACAAATCTGCATAATTGAAGCCAAATCAATAGAATTTAGACAACCGGTTCGAATCGAACCGGGAATGGTCTAGAAGCTTTATAATTTTCCTTTCTTTTCTTTTCTTTTTTTTCTTTTTCTTTTCTTCTTCTTCCAGCAGCGTCGACCTCACCCCTCCCCTCTCCCCCTCTCGTTTTTCCGACCGCCTAAGACCAGCGCCTCCTCGCCGTCGACTCCTCGCCGTCGACTCCTTGCCGCAACAACCCGGCCTTCCTTTCCCTTCTCTCCGTTTCCGCTTCTGGTGGGCGCAAGAATCACAACGAGGCTAGGACTTCATCCCGATCGAGATAGCGTCTTCATCCTTCTCTCCGAGCGATTCCAGCGACTATTGCCGACAAGGTAAGCCAATTTTTGACCTTCTTCAGTAGAATTTATGAGTTCTTGCTGAATGATGAAGGATTTGATTTATGAATTAAGTTAGCGTTGGAACTAAATCCCTAGTTACTACTATTCATGCGATTTTACTAAGGAGAATTTAATTCTTCAATCTAATTTAAGTTATAGAACAATCTACTGAATATATTAGCATGAATAAGGTGATTTATAATTCAGAATTCGGTATGGCATGAGAATGACAGCAGTAAGCTTCAATCCAAGGTATTTTATATACAATCCAAGGTAATTTTATTATATATCCTTTATAATTATATATTATATATATGAAATTTTGAGGAAATATGAAATTTGAGGAAACCTCAGATTTAATTGTTAATCTTAAGCACAAGCTGAAATTGATATGAAATTGGTAAGTACGTTTGGTTATTACAATTTTTCATTGAGGTGTTAGAACAAATTTGATATGGCAGTAGCTAATCTAACCATTTGTTTAAGTTATTGCCTTGATATCAGATATAGGATATTATCAATTAAGCTCTTGTTGAGAAAGGAGTTCATTGGCTGTAATGTACAGGCTATATTCAGAAATCTGATTTCTTTAGCTTGGCAGTGGCTACTTGGTAAAATTTTATGACTTTTGCTAAATGAGTTTATATTAATGCTATATCTATTTATGATTCGTATTTGACATTGTTGTTGCTAAGGATTAAGGGATTAAGGAGTGATTGACAAAGAAATGTGAAACTATAATTTTTGGGATTGACAATACAGTTTAAATTGAATGTTATTTCTTGCAGCTTGCAGCAATAAAGTTGGATATTGGTTAATACGCAAGTTTCTTGACGAATATATAAATGAAGGAATTAGTTTATAGAAATTGAAGGGTTGAGTAAGAACCTGATTTTTTTTTAGGATGGCCCAATATTGAGTGTTCCTATAAATTTTTGTAACGATTTGATGAAAATAAAGTTGTATATTAATTCTATAATAAGGAATGGAGTTAAGTAGTGTATAAATCATAAGCGTAAGCGGAAAACTTGAAGAGTTCTCATGGTGGCAGCAGCTGTGTGGCAAATTTGTTACTATTTGAGTTTAAGTAGGCCAAGATTAGATAGTTTGTCTCAATTAATAGTTAGTTAACTTTTCTGTAATAAATAGCAGAACTCTAGAATCGTCTAAATGGTTACCGAATTATTCAGCTCTCTAAATTGTAATATGATTAGAGACTGTTTAAGATTGTAAGTTGATGTTTAATTTGATGGGAACAAAGATATGATATCTAGCTAAAGATTTTTAATAATATATTAAAAATTAATGAGCTTAAACTTTTCTAAAGGTATAGATTTGGCAAATAATGAGTTGTAAGTTTTTTGAAAGTCGAAGTTATGTTGAGCAAAGAGTAACAAATGATAATCTTATTGGTATTGCTATGTAAAGGAGGATGGGCATTTGATTTGATTGATTGCCCGATGGATGGGCTTGTGGATTGAATGAATATAGGGAGAGTATTGATATTATCTTAACAGGTAGATAATCATATTTTTAGGGGAGGTTCTGCCGAAATTTCGCTAAAACTTAGTCTAGTTTTAATTAATAACATAATAAGTTTATTTAAAATAATTCTATAACTTAACACATAATAAATAGCGTGCTCTAATTATTTTACTATCATCATTATTTATTTAATTATTTTCATTATTATTCATCAAATTATTCAATTATTTATTTATTTCCATTATTATAATTTATTTAATTGTTTGTTTATTCTTAATATTATTTATTTATTTATTTAATTGCACTTGAGCAATTGAGAATGGTTTGTCTTAGTTGTTGCATGTGCATACGTTGTCCAAGCTGATCAATTATGTCTTGCACTTCATTGCATGTTTGGATTAATTGTGTTGTGTTTATCTATGCTGTGTTTGGTTGGAGTTGGGATGAAGTGGGTCACCTGGGTTTGTGAGACCTGTTTCCCCTGTTATACGGATTTGATTCTGATTTCTGTTTATATGGATCCCTGATTCTGTTTCTGTTAGCCGGGTAAATGGGAGATCGGCGCCCCGTTGCACCTACTTTTACCTTGTTAACTTAGTTAACACAGGTTGGCTCTTTATTCCGGGCGCACCGGAATAATCGTAGATGAATCGCAGCCCGCAAAGGGTGGCCTCGCTGTGTGAGCGCTTGATGAAACTTAGATTTGATGGAGACAAGACTGGGTTGCTCCTGCTTGTAGGAAAAGAAAAAAGAGAGAATGGAAGGCAAATGAGAGGGCTGGGTTCAACGTGAGGATTAGCACGGCGGCCGGCTTTGGTCCCTGCCCACAAAAAAAGTTGTTTTTTATGGGGGATCGGCTCCCTGGTGCATTCATGTGAGAGGATGAGCCATGTGGTGAGGACGGTCATCGGGGTTCGGTGATCCATCTGACTACTTTCCTACGTCGATGTGATTACAATGAAGATGTTATGATGTGAGTAGCTGGTGATATGCCATTTGTGTGACGGCGTGTGAGCATATACCTTATCGATGACTAGGGTTTTGATATCATTTATACAGGTGTGAATGCTTGTGTTTGTGCAATAATTATTATTCATTAATAAACTCACATTTTTTGTTTAAATCTTTTTCAGGAAGTAGCATTTTCTAAATCCTCAGCTATTAACTCTGCCTTCCACTATAAAAAAGAAAATTTCGCCTAATTTTCGTATTGATCCAATTAAAATAGATAAATGTCGAAGACTTATCATGTATAACATCCGTTTCAAATGAACTCCCGCAGTTATATGAATTGTATAACTTTTTTACCAGTTTGGATATTATGTATAGAATGGAATCAATTCTGTGAGCCTGTTTTATTAAATAATATGTGTATTTGTAGAGCAGTGGAAATTTGTAAATGTTTAAAAAATTTGTAAATGTTTAAAATTATATTGAGATAGCAAATTTGTAGTGTTTCAGGCTTACTACGGGCCTCGGGGGCCTTAGGCTTACTACGGGCCTCGGGGTCCTTAAGCTTACCTGGGCTCTAGTGCCGGTCCGGCCCATGGAAATGGGTCGTGACAACTCCGATGTTGCCTAGTTTGATGTTCACAAAGATTAAGAAAAATTAGTTAATATAGTTAAAATTAGTTAATTTTTGTTTAGCTTTTTCAAAAATTATCCTTTATAATATTAAATGATGTATATACAATTAGAAATAGAAATGTACATTAAATAGGAGTATATTAAGAAATTATATAATAAATAATTTTTAAAAAAAAGAAATAGTGGGACGGACAAAAAAGAAAAGCAAAGGCATGTACATGTATTACAGAGGGAATATAACATAATTTTTTTATTAAACAATAATAATTCAATTCCATCAAAATAAATAACAAAACCCATAAATAGGGGTGAAATACAAATAATTTTATGGTTAGAAAGATTTAGAATAGCTATCAACTCTCGTTGGTCTTATGGGCGGTGTAAAGAGTAATAGATTTCAAATTTTTCAATCATTCCGACTAATGAAAACCACATAAAATTAATGAATTAAAAAGAAAGAAAAGAAAAAAGAAGACAAAGCTTTAGCTTAGCCAAAGAATGAAGAACACATGTCCATAGGAGGCTAATTCAAACTAGGTAGCATGTCTTTAGGGTTTGGCATTGTATGATCCCTTTCAAATTGGTTAACCAACTTCTATTACTTATGCTGTAATGTTTGAAAACAAGCACCATTAGATGATAATTATAATTCAATCATTTGATTTGGTAAACAACACTTATTATCATTATTATTATTTTTTATATAAAATTCATTTAAAAATTAGATCCCTTTTGATATTATTGCTTAAGAAATGACTTGCCTAACGCTTGTTTATCTTGACTTATATATATTCAAATTAGTAGAAATGATCAATCAAATCACACTTAATAGTAATTTTAACCATTCTTTTTCATGTATTTTAAAATTAAAAATTATAAGGACTTGAGATTGATACGAGTTTTTGGTATTTACACAACCTATATATGGTATTTGGCTGAATAGATTTATATAATTATAATATGCGGAGCAAAATAGATTAACTGTTTGAGAATAAATTTTTAAAATGTAATTTGAAAGTCTCATTAAGCTTGCAAGCGTTGTTCCTTTCTGAATTCTGACTGACAAGTATATTCAACTGAAAATGCAAATAAAACTCTTGAAATGTCGAAATTCCATACCAATGAACTCTTTGTATTCAGGACTATAAAAAGGAAAACATGAAACCATCACCACCTCTTCAATCCATTCTTAACGACATTAACTCTCTATTTGTAAATTTAAACTCAAGCACCAAATGTAATCTCTAACAGTTGATTGCAACTCTACGATTCTTGGCAATAAACTCAGGAAATTACTTAAACTCATGTCTCACTGCACATTGCATTATATTAAAAAATTCTGACACACTCGGAGGTGTGTCCAACATGTAAAAAACGCATATCAGGCTCGTGTCCGTGCTCCCTACCTTAGTCTGGACTAGAACTTATGTCCCCGACTCATCAGTGGCGATGGGGAGAGGAAGCGCTTAGCTCTGCCCACTCAATTTTCATAACATCGAATTACTTGCACCGTTGGCAATTCAGCATAATTTGACTAAAGGCATAAATCCAGGTTGACTACAGACCTTCTAGCTAAGCAGTTTCCAAATGCAGATCCTTGCCAACCCCAAAGGTTTCAGCGAAAGTGCACAAGATTTACAACCTTAAACTATGTGATGCAATTTTTAACATTCAGATTTCAGGGTGCAAGTAACTGTAGAAAAGGTAGCTTTATAAACATATGAAGGCACCAGTTGCATAATAGGCACTTCCAATGAAGAATTTCTACTTGAGTTCTGGCACTTCCGACTTGCTATGTTGCGGGAATTTCGGCAAGCATTTGAGCTTGAACTTGTAAGTACTGCAATGGCCGAGTGGAAAGGGGGCATCGGATAGTTTCCCATGAGCTCTCTTGTTCTTATACCCTGGATAATCATTCTTGTTGAAGGGAACAGTCTTGTACATAACAAGGCCCAGCTTCTCTGCTGTCTTAACTAAATCCCATTTGTCATAAGGATCACCTTCCTTGTGTGTTACATGAATCTCGCCATTATCCCCCTTCAAAAGCGCTCTGGAATTGGATAGAAAACCCTTTATCAATCCCTTGTTCAACCTATTTCAATACCACCAAAAATGCTTCCATAATGATTCTAGTTACAAAAAATTCCAAAATAAGCATTCATCTCTTCAGACATGCATAAATACACTTAAAATAGATGGCTAAATCCATAGTATCAATAACAAAAATTATGAATATTAGGTCCTAATTACAAGAAATGGGAAGTCCCCTGTTAGGAAAATGTACTTAAGATGTGGATATCCATGTTTTTATTCTTTTGCTTTCAAAGAAGTAAGCAAATGTTAGGATGCATTCGCAATACTATGCAATTTGATATTTATATGTACAAACTCAAAGGCATTTTAATGAAAAACAAACAATTATGAAACGTTTTGCTGAGGAAATCCCCTCGCTTTCTGGCATTGATGGAAAGAGAAATGACTTGAAATCCCTTTTCCACTTATTTCCTCTGCTATTATATATATATATATATATTCTTTTGGTTCATTGAACAAGCTACTACATAAAAGGGTAGCTTTATGTAGCTCTCCCACTCCCATCAATCCCTTTAATTTCATTCCTGCTGAAATTCAAACATAAGGCCTTGTGACAAAGATCATAGTAAGGAACATATATCAATCTCAACTTGCAATTGAGAAATCATTTTCCAATACATCATCTTACAGATTGACTTAAGTACAACAAAAAGGCATGGTGCCAAGTCGCCACCATTAAGCCATAACAAGCAAGCAGTAGAAATGAAAGGAAACAACCAAGCCTTAGTCTCAAATTAGTAGAGGTGGGCTATATGAATCTTTTGTTTCAAATATTCGCTCTAATTAAATTAATATCAATGCACATTATGGATCAGTCAAACACACATTCTGAATCCTTTGATTAAAGGAAAGAGAATACAAGAGAGGAAAAAAAAAAAATACTTAACTGAATTTGGCGATAGCTACCCTCATGGTAGAGGAAACCAACATGAGGGAAATTGTACACAATTCTATCAAATCTCTGAGTCCTCAAGAAGAAATGTTGGCTCATTTCCTTCGCATCAACTCCGTATAATACCAAACATCCCCTCTCTTCTAGTTCCCTCACATTTGCCACTCCATTCCTGTACTTCTTCTTTATGTTCTCTGCGTCACATAAATTAATCGATCAAATTTCAAATCTTTTCACAAAAAAAAAAAAAAATAAAAATAAAAGCCCATTAATAAAGTCAAGTAAGAAAATAAAAACATAAAAGTGGGCATATAAAAATCCCCAAAAAAAAAACCATCACCATGGATCTGTAAATGATCTCTGAGTCATAAGTAAATCAATTAATCAAATTTCAAAATTTTATCCAAAAACCAAGAACCCATTAATATATTCAAATAAAGAAAATAAAAAAAAGTACCATGTGATCATGCCAATAATCCAAAAAAAAAAAGAACCCACTAATATGCATTTTCTACTCCATTTCTGCACTTCTTCTCTATGTTCTCTGTCTCATACATAATTAATTCATTGATTGAAAAAATTCTATATCTCTTCAGTTTTCACAAAAAGAATAAAACCCATTAACAAATTAAAATAAACAAATGCAAGTGGGTTTTTGAATAATGACAAAAAATTTAAAGAAACCACATTAACATGCAAGTACAAAGGACTAACCTTCAGTATCAATAGTAGTGGCAACCATATTGTGAGCGGAACCAAAAGCCCTAGCCAACGATAGAGAGAAGGAGAAGTCTCCTTCTCCGACCAACAACATCGTGTGCCTTGACGAGTAGTGTCCTCTCCATTTCTCTGGTTGTTCTTCTTCTTTATCTTCGTCATAATCTGTGTCTTCATCATCATCATCATTATATGTGACTTCTTCTTCTAAGAATATTTTTTTATATGATTCTTTTGCCTTAACATGCAAGTACAAAGGAGTAACCTTCAGTATCAATAATAGTGGCAACCATATTGCTAGCTGAACCAAAAGCCCTAGCCAACGAAAGAGAGAAGGAGAGAGAGAAGGAGAAGTCTCCTTCTCCGACCAACAACATCCTGTGCCTTGACGAGTAGTGTCCTCTCCATTTCTCTGGTTGTTCTTCTTCTTTATCTTCGTCATAATCTGTGTCTTCATCGTGCCTTGACGAGTAGTGTCCTCTCCATTTCTCTGGTTGTTCTTCTTCTTTATCTTCGTCATAATCTGTGTCTTCATCGCATCATCATTATATGTGACTTCTTCTTCTAATAATATTTTTTTATATGATTCTTTTGCCTTAACCATTGGGCTTGATTATTCTGAGATCACAGTGAGAACCCTCTACTCTCTGTCTCCATATCCATCTCTAGGCTTTTTTTTTTTTTTTTTTTTTTTTGGCAGAGGCTTTTAATCTTTCTTTTTAAAGTCTTGAAGCTGCTTTAGACCGAAAAAAAATATTCTGAAGCTGCTGTCTCCATCTCTAGGCTTTTTTTTTGGGCAGAGGCTATTTAATCTTTCTTTTTTAAAGTCCTGAAGCTGCTTTATTCGAAAGAAAAAATTCTGAAGCTGCTCCAATGAAAACGGAGAAAAGTGGAAAGGTTTTAGGGAGTTGGTGGCAATAATAACTCTAAAGCCTTGTTTGTTTGTAACAAATAAAATGAAAATGTATAGTGGAAATGGTTTTTATATGAAAATTAAATTATAAATAAATTTCATATTAAAAGAAAATTATGTGGCTTAGATATGAAAATCAATTAAACTAATTTCAATATAATTAATAGGTGTCGAAATGAGCGGTTTGACTATATTAAAATATTATTTCTATTATTATAATGTTCAATATTGACAAAATATGAAATTTCTCTTTAATATTTAATAAAATACGATTAGTATAAAGAAACTGACAGCTTAATGGATGAAATCGAGAGTTTCATTCTTATGAATAAAATAAACACCTACTAAAAATATTCATTAAAAGTGTTTTGCTATGAAGGTAAGGATTAGAGATGGAAGTAGAATGAGTGTTCTAAGATATCTACTCAGCTCTGATTTGTTTAATGAAAATACTAATGGTTATAAATAGATTTGGAATGGTTACATATATATCGTGAAATTACTATTTATAATGTATACAGATAGGCATTGTAACGCTCCATTTTTCTGTGTCTGAAATAGTAAGTTACCTGTGACAACCTACTGAATCGAGTCGTTGCATAGAGTCGATTCGGGCTGACCCAAAACCCGGTTCGAGCCATTAGAGTCCAGCCAAAACCCGGTTCGAGCCATTAGAGTCCAGAGTGGGGTAGAAGGGATGTAACTGAAATAATGAAAAGATGTGGAACTTACTTGAATGAAGCAACAAACGAATCAAAGTAGAAGGATTAGGACTACTTGCACTAAAAGCTCAAGTTTAGGTATTAAGTTGTAACCGCTATTGACACTTGGGTACCATTTGGTAATTTTTTCAACATAAATCAATGATTTTTGGAGCCTACCCGATGAACTTCATTCACTTTCCATTTTCATCTTTATCTTCTTCAGTCTCCTTTACTCACCTTCTTTTCCGCCCCAACATTCTTCATCTTGATCTTCTCAAATTTAAATGGTTTCAAGCATTAAATTCAACCTCTAATTTATCCAGTAAATAGAATTTCTTGAAAGCTCTATTTATTCAACCTCTAATTTAGTTGATATTTTATGATTATTTATAAAGAGTTCTGATGGTAATAGGAGAGTTGAGCTGAAGAAAAAGGAAGCTAAGAAGAAGATTTCAAGCTTTTGAAGTGAAGTTTGATATCTCTTTTAGTTTAACAAATTTCCTTGCATGAGAACTTGTGTAGTGTGTTGATAATGAGAAGATATGTTGTTGAATTTTGAGTAAGAGGTCTGGAAATGGCAAGAAAACGTGGGATGTAATGCAGAAATGAAGTAGATATTGAGTTTATGCTGAATAGATTTGTTGGAAAACTGATCAGTAACTTCACCCTAATTTTGACCCTGTTTAACGATGGAATTAGGAAGTGGTCTAGAAGATTTATTTGTTCCTCTATGTGTTATCTTTCTATAAGTTTTTGAATCACCTAAATCGGAGTTATATCGGAGTTATAAATTGAGAGATATGACCAAAATAGTACAGACTGCGCAGGCTGGAAATACGACTCGCGCTCGCGAATTTCATGTCGCGCTCGCGAATTATGCCTGTAAACTCTCTGACTCTCTTGTGTGCTTCTCGCACTCGCGAATTTTCATGTTGCGCTTGCGACTTGTGTTTTGATGCCTTTTGGATCTCTTTTTCTATGAAATTGTATTCCTTTGCTCAAATGGTATTACTACAATCACTTTAAAACAAAAAGACAACACAAGCAAATGTATAATGGCATGCAATCATGCAAATGATGTGAAACTAACATAACACAGGTTGCCTACTTTGCAAGGCTATCAGCATACAGGTAAACAGTATGGTTTATGAATGTTAGGACGCATTTAATATGTTTTTGTTTTGTACTATTGACATACCGATAATATGCTCCATTGAGGTTAGGTAGAAACCACGTAGATAAGGCTATGTCGCGACATATGATAGCAGATCTGCAGGCAGATCTGCGCCCATAACAGTTTGGTACTGCCGGCTACAGCGTTGGCTGGATATGATTCCCATATATGGGCCATAACAGCCCAGTTATACCAGTATTCAATTCCAGTTTCATACCAGTTTTTCCTTATGCACTTTGGTTCACTATAACCTTATGAGCTAGACAAATTATATTGACTACAAAATTGCTTACATGTTTATTATCCCATATGTGATTACATGTTATTTATACATAGTATGTCTTACATGTTTCTTTATCTTGAGATATCCACTCGCAAGTTTTAATAAAAGTTGCAGAATTCATAACAGCATAAGGAACATCCAAGGTAAAAGTATAATGTTATGTGTGCTTTAACAAGTTTTATTTATTTATTTAGTTCTTATGGAGCCATACAATTATGAGATTTTCTTATTTATAACTTATACGATGTTGACTAAAAAGTACATAAGTCATACAGCATAATGAACGGCAAGTAAGATAATGAAAACATAATTTTATGTGTGTTTACATGTTTATTTATTTAATTCATACAACATAATAAACAGCAGGTAAGATCATGAAAATATCATGATATATGTGATTAAATGTTTATGTACAGGAGTTATGATATAAGTAGAACTAAATTATTTATGTTATGAATTAGAAGTTTATTCTTTGTTATAAATGTAAATTTATGTTGAAATTTAATGATTCTATGATTATCAATGATTTTATGAAATTTGTAGTTTAAGTAAGTTGCCATCGCAATTTTGGTAAGTATGTGAATTATGAGCACCATTGAGTTTTATACTCAGCGCGTCGATTTTTATCACGCGTAGGTTGCGTCGAATTTTCGATTTTTATCACGCGTAGGTTGAAGATCATGGTTGCTACTTGAAGATTTGAAGAGTACTATCAAAGCAGAAGTGACTAATTTGATAGTAGTAGATTGAGAGTTGTATCATTAAGAATTAGGACATGTATAATTATTACATTTTTTTTTAGAACTTATGTGATTGGAAATATAATTGAAGCATGTAATTATTTTGGCGTAAGTATTGGGATATAAAAAGAATACTTATGAAATGATTGAATATGAAATATGTTAAAATAGTTGGAATGATTAGTTCATGAAGACTTGATATATATAATGACTGCAAATCATTGCTGGATATTAAATACTATTGAGGATTTATACAGTTATGAATATATATAAAGTGTTATTGTGTTATGATGATTATTTGGAGATGGTGGAAGTTTGGATTATTTGGAGATGGTGGAAGTTTGGAGTTTAATTGGGAGTGTTGTGTATTCATATTTAGCACACAGGATGATATCAGCATGGCAGGACATAAGTTCAACCAGATTGTAGCGCCTCGGCTCGGTTCATTCGGATTAATGGGTGGACCGGGAAGGGATGTTACAGACACAAATATAACCTTTGGTTACTCATTGCCTATTATTCATGATATTAAACAGAATTAGTCACGAGTATCGCAATATTCTATTACTATTAGTGAATATGTATTTAAATAAGTTTAAAATTTGTGGAGCTTAATCTATATAAATAGTAGTTTAAACATATTTGAGATGCATAATAATAGAAAATTTTCTAATTGAATTTAGATAAATGTACTTAAAATTCTAAATGATTATAAGTACGAATAGTTTGAAATTTATAGATATCCACCCACTTCTATCCATTTAAAGGATATATCAAAACCTTGGTGTTTTAAGCTCTTGAGTATCATTGTCAATCAAAGCCCTAATTGCAATTAAGATGCGATTGCAGCAGAAAATCATAATTGAGGTAAAACTGACGTAAAAAATAAAATAGAATGAAATTGTAAAACAATGCAAAATTCAGGATATTTTAATAAGAAAAATTATGATTTTATGTCTGTTCTTTTATCATATATACAACATTGCCCTTATACTTTAATATTACATAATTGGTTAACCAACTTCTATTACTAACGCTTTAATGTTTGAAAACAAGCACCATTAGATGATAATTATAATTCAATCATTTGATTTGGTAAACAACACTTATTATCATTATTATTATTTTAATATAAAATTCATTTAAAAATTAGATCCCTTTTGATATTATTGCTTAAGAAATGACTTGCCCGATGCTTGTTTATCTTGACTTATATATATTCAAATGAGTAAAAATGACCAATCAAATCACACTTAATGGTAATTTTAACTATTTTTTTATATATTTTAAAATTAAAAATTATAAGGACTTGAGATTGATAAACTATTTTGTTTATCTTGACTTATATATATTCAAATGAGTAAAAATGACCAATCAAATCACACTTAATGGTAATTTTAACTATTTTTTTATATATTTTAAAATTAAAAATTATAAGGACTTGAGATTGATATGAGTTTTTGGTATTTACACAACTTAACCTATATAATTATAATATGCGGAGCAAAATAGATTAACTGTTTGAGAATACATTTTTAATATGTAACTTGAAAGTCTCATTAAGCTTGCAAGCGTTGTTCCTTTCTGAATTCTGACTAGCAAGTATATTCAAATGAAAATCCAAATAAAACTCTTGAATGCCAAAATTCCATACCAATGAACTCTTTGTATTCAGGACTATAAAAAGGAAAACATGAAACCATCACCACCCCTTCAATCCATTCTTAACGACAGTAACTCTCTATTTGTAAATTTCAACTCAACCACCAAATGTAATCTCTAACAGTTAATTGCAACTTTACGATTCTTGGCAATAAACTCTGGAAATTACCTAAACTCGTGTCCCACTGCACATTGCATTATATTAAAAAATTCCGACACACTCGGAGGTGTGTCCAACATTTAAAAAACGCATATCAGGCTCGTGTCCGTGCTCCCTAGGTCATTCCCCACCTTGGTCTGGACAAGAACTTATGTCCCCGACTCCTCAGTGGCAATGGGGAGAGGAAGGGCTTAGCTCTGCCCACTCAATTTTCATAACATCGAATTTACTTGCACCGTTGGCAATTCAGCATAATTTGACTAAAAGCCATAAATCCAGGTTGACTATAGACCTTTTAGCTAAGCAGTTTCCAAATGCAGATCCTTGCGGACCCCAAAGGTTTCAGCAAAAGTGCACAATAGTTACAACCTTAAACTATGTGATGCAATTTTTAACATTCATATTTCAGGATGCAAGTAACTATAGAAAAGGTAGCTTTATAAACATATTAAGGCACCAGTTGCATAATAGGCACTTCCAATGAAGAATTTCTACTTGAGTTCTGGCACTTCCGACTTGCTATGTTGCTGGAATTTCGGCAAGCATTTGAGCTTGAACTTGTAAGTACTGCAATCGCCGAGTGGAAAGGGGGCATCGGATAGGTTCCCATGAGCTCTCTTGTTGTTATACCCTGGATAATCATTCTTGTTGAAGGGAACAGTGTTGTGCATAACAAGGCCCATCTTCTCTGCTTTCTTAACTAAATCCCATTTGTCGTAAGGATCACCTTCCTTGTGTGTTACATGAATCTCTCCATTATCCCCCTTCAAAAGCACTTTGGAATTGGATAGAAAACCCTTTATCAATCCCTTGTTCAACCTATTTCAATACCACCAAAAATGCTTCCATTAATGATTCTAGTTACCAAAAATTCCAAAAAAAGCATTCATCTCTTCAGACATGCATAAATACACTTAAAATAGATGGATAAATACATAGTATCAATAACAAAAATTATGAATATTAGGTCCTAATTACAAGAAATGGGAAGTCCTCTGTTAGGAAAATGTACTTAAGATGTGGATATCCATGTTTTTATTCTTTTGCTTTCAAAGAAGTAAGCAAATGTTATGATGCATTCGCAATACTATGCAATTTGATATTTATATTTACAAACTCAAAGGCATTTTAATGAAAAACAAAAAATTATGAAAAGTTTTGTTGAGGAAATCCCCTCACTTTCTGGCATTGATGGAAAGAGAAATGACTTGAAATCCCTTTTCCACTAATTTCCTCTGCTATTATATATATATTCTTTTGGTTCATTGAACAAGCTACTACATAAAAGGGTAGCTTTATGTAGCTCTCCCACTCCCATCAATCCCTTTAATTTCATTCCTCTTGAAATTCAAACATAAGGCCTTCTGATACCGATTATACTATAGGAACATATATCAATCTCAACTTGTAATTGAGAAATCATTTTCCAATACATCATCTTACAGATCGACTTAAGTACAACAAAAAGGCATGGTGCCAAGTCGCCACCATTAAGCCATAACAAGCAAGCAGTAGAAATGAAAGGAAACAACCAAGCCTTAGTCTCAAACTAGTTGAGGTGGGCTAATGAATCTTCTGTTTCAAATATTCACTCTAATTAAATTAATATCAATGCACATTATGGATCAGTCAAACAGACATTCTGAATCCTTTGATTAAAGGAAAGAGAATACAAGAGAGGAAAAAAAAAATACTTAACTGAATTTGGCAATAGCTACCCTCATGGTAGAGGAAACCAACATGAGGGAAATTGTACACAATTCTATCAAATCTCTGAGTCCTCAAGAAGAAGTGTTGGCTCATTTCCTTTGCATCAACTCCGTATAATACCAAACATCCCCTCTCTTCTAGTTCCCTCACATTTGCCACTCCATTACTGTACTTCTTCTCTATGTTCTCTGTGTCACATAAATTAATCGATCAAATTTCAAATCTTTTCACAAAAAAAATAGAAGCCCATTAATAAAGTCAAATAAGAAAATAAAAACATAAAAGTGGGCATATAAAAATCCCAAAAAAAAAAAAAAAAAAAAAAAAAACAAAAAATAGACAGCCCATTAATAGTCAAATAGAAAATAAAAACATAAAAAGTGGGCATATAAATCCAAAAAAAAAAAAAAAAAAAAAAAAAAAAAAAAAAAAAAAACCCATCACCATGGATCTGTAAATGTTCTGTGTGTCATAAGTAAATCAATTAATCAAATTTCAAAACTTTTATCCAAAAACCAAGAACCCATTAATATATTCAAATAAAGAAAATAAAAAAAAGTACCATGCGATCATGCAAATAATCCAAAAAAAAGAACCCACTAATATGCATTTTCTACTCCATTTCTGTACTTCTTCTCTATGTTCTCTGTCTCATACATAATTAATTCATTGATTGAAAAAAATTCTATATCTCTTCAGTTTTCACAAAAAGAATGAAACCCATTAACAAATTAAAATAAACAAATGCAAGTGGGTTTTTGAATAATAACAAAAAATTTAAAGAAAAGTACATAGGAGTAACCTTCAGTATCAATAGTAGTGGCAACCATATTGCTAGCGGAACCAAAAGCCCTAGCCAACGAAAGAGAGAAGGAGAAGTCTCCTTCTCCGACCAACAACATCCTGTGCCTTGACGAGTAGTGTCCTCTCGATTTCTCTGGTTGTTCTTCTTCTTTATCTTTTTATCTTCGTCAATAATCTGTGGTCTTCATCATCGAGAAGTCTCCTTCTCCGACCAACAACATCCTGTGCCTTGACGAGTAGTGTCCTCTCGATTTCTCTGGTTGTTCTTCTTCTTTATCTTCGTCATAATCTGTGTCTTCATCATCATCGTCATTATATGTGACTTCTTCTTCTAATAATATTTTTTTATATGATTCTTTTGCCTCAACCATTGGGCTTGACTATTATGAGATCACAGTGAGAACCCTCTACTCTCTGTCTCTATCTCTTTTGCTTTTTTTTTTTTGGCAGAGGCTATTTAATCTTTCTTTTTTAAAGTCCTGAAGCTGCTTTATTCGAAAGAAAAAATTCTGAAGCTGCTCCAATGAAAACGGAGAAAAGTGGGAAAGTTTTTAGGGAGTTGGTCGCAATAATAACTCTAAAGTCTTGTTTGTTTGTAACAAATAAAATGAAAATGTATAGTGGAAATGGTTTTTATATGAAATTAAATTATAAATAAATTTTCATATTAAAAGAAAATTATGTGGCTTAGATATGAAAATCAATTAAACTAATTTCAATATAATCAATAGGTGCCGAAATGAGCGGTTTGATTGTATTAAAATGGTATTTCTATTATTATAATGTTCAATGGTGACAAAATATGAAATTTCTCTTTAATATTTGATGAAATACTATTAGTATAAAACAACTGACAGCTTAACACATGAAATTGAGAGTTTTATCCTCATAAATAAAATAAACACCTACTAAAAATATTCATTAAAAGTGTTTTGCTATGGAGGAATATATCAGAGATGGAAGTAGAACGAGTATTTTAAGGCATCTACTTAGCTCTGATCTGTTTAATGAAAATACTAATAATTATAAGTAGATTTGAAATGGTTACATATATATCGAGAAATTATTATTCATAATGGATACAAATAGGTACAAATATGACATTTGGTTACTCATTGCCTATTATTGGCGATATCAAACGGAATTAGTCACGAGTATCATAGATACCCTACTACTATTAGTACATATGTATTTAAATAAGTTTAAAATTTTAAACATATATATATATATATAAATAGTACTTTAAACATATTTGAGATGTATAATAATAGTAAAATTTTTAATTGAATTTAGATACATAGCACTTAAAATTCTAAATGATTACAAGTACGAATAGTTTGAAATTTATGTATATCCACCCACTTTTATCCATTTAAAAGTGGATCATTGTCAATTAAAGCCCTAATTGCAATTAAGATGCGATTGCAGCAGAAAATCATAATTGAGGTAAAATTGGCGTAAAAAATAAAATAGGATGAAATTGTAAAACAATGCAAAATTCAGGATATTTTAATAAGAAAAATTATGATTTTATGTATGTTTTTTTTATCATATATACAACATTGCTCTTATACTTCAAATTTACATAATTCTATCCCTTATCTTTTATTCCCATTACACAGTTATATCTTTCTATCAAGTTTTTACATTTTTTTAACAAAATTTATTATTTTATATTTATATTTTGTCAAAATTAATTAATCTATCCATATATCTATTAACTATTTTGTCACTGTATTTTAACAAATTATCAGATATGTCCTTGCAATTAAGGATAAAAAATTAACATAAAAGCATAACAGTATACCGGAGACAAAAGATATAGATAAAAACTATATATTTTTAAGAATTTAAGGTTAAAGCATATGTATTTTTATAAAATATAACAATAAAATAATAATTTTTTCTAGTTTAATATGTTAGGCAATGTCATTTTTATCTTCACCGGGCCGACTTAAACTAATTGTGTTCATTAGAAATAAAAAACAGGCCCAAAATATAGAATTCCAACAATGATATCCAAATACCCAGTCGAGCTCATATTCCAATTCAACAGAAAACTCCTGATTTCCATTCACTTCCTATTGATTGAAAGGGGAAGTGATTAATCCACTTGCTAAAATATTAATATATGTTTTTTCTATTTGAAACAATTATACAAACCTTAAATTCCAAAATCATATTATTAACCCACATAATTAAAAAATCATATTACATGTAATTTAATTTCGATTATAAATTATACGAACTTAAATTTAATTTATAAATTTTTAATAGATGAGTTAGAAATCAGTTGATATCAATGAAAAATCAAATTACCATTTTAGTACTCATCTTCCAGTCATTGGTTAACTCAAAAGACATCCATTTTTTGCTTAAACACTAACAATCAACGAACTACTATGTAATTAAATTCAAAGATTCATCCCTTAGAGTTTAAGTAACCAAAAATGTCCTTATATTATCTTTTATTTCATTATATTTCTTTAATTTCTTCCTAAGTTTCAAACAAAATTTATTATCTTGAAAGTCTGTTGAACACTTAAAACAGATTTCAAACTTTTGACTGTTGAAGTTGAAACCTTAAATTATTATTACTTTATATAAGTGATTAATTTTAGAATTTTTATGTAAAGATATATTAATATATTGATTTATATTTCCATCGTGTATTTTTTTTTTTTTTATAATCAGAGGTATAGTTTTCGTTGGGCCGTTGAGGGTAAAAATTTTTAACTCTTCCAGCAAATTATGTATCTTGAAAATCGAATCTGTAATCTCACCCTTACGGAAGTTGAAATTATTTACTATTCCATCCAACACCTTATTGGTTATTTTCGCTATATATTTTAATTCCGTATAATGAAATATAATCTCTTTTTTTTCCAAATAAAAGAAAAAAAAAAACTGTTGAGCGTTGAAGCGTAGGTTTCATCCGTGCTAATTGCATTGTTGGTGTCGGCACATGGCAAAACCCAACTTTTCGATCTAATTCAATTAATTAATTAAAAAATCTGATTTTGTGGAGTCTTTGGTCCATGTGATGCGTTATTGGGAATTTTTTATATATCAGAAAGCTGATCTTTCAAAATTTATATCACTTATAAATAAATATATTTTGCAAATTAAACTCATTTTTTTATAATTGTCATGATTTAAAAATGAATATATTGTGTTATTAATTTGTATTTAGCGAAAGAAGAAAATAAATTAAGGAAAAATTTTCCAAAACTCATTTTAATGATATATTTTATGATTGCAATAGGCTATTTTGCCTTTATAATTTTTTGAAAAAGAAAAACCTTTTGAAAATAACGAGGATGGAAGAATCTTATCTAATAAATCATAAAATTGTTAAAAAAAAAAAAAAAGCACTATAAACCCTTTAATGAGATAGAATGCCAAATTAAAAAAGAAAAGAGAGAAAATCTCCATTCAAATTTAATAAACATCAACATCTTTGTAATTATTTTTTTCCTGCTGTTTAATGAAGTTGGGCACCTTACAATAATTATGTTGGGCACTTGACTTATTTGTATTATTTGACTTATTACAACATTGTCTCCATTTGTAGTATTTGATGCAAAACAAGAAGTTAGGCTCATCAATTACGTACTAGGTCACAATACAACCAAGGAAATCGGTGAAATTGACAATCCACATTACTTGATTGATAAGACTTTCTTTAATGCTTTTTTTTTTTTTTTTCCAAAATTCCTTTGAAAAACAAAGGATATAAATATAGGATGTGTATATGAATCGACGTGTTTGTATATTTTTATATAAAAAATTTAATTATAAACCATTTATATATAAAGAATAAAAAAATTTAATTCAGTTTAACCGATTCAATCAAGTTAATGTAATAATAGACTTATGTCACTGGCAGTAAACGTGTTCCACTAGATAGCAAATTACATTTCTAATCAACTCTCTTCTCTCTCATTGAAACAAAATTTCTAAATCGGAGTACACCATTATCGTCGATACACTCAACTTCGTTTCAATTTGCTGTCGGTTTTATGTTATTACCGTTACTTACCATCTGTTTGGCTTTCGAGAAACTTTAGCAAATACAACAAAATGGCACAAGCACTGGCAATGCCCGTGGCACCCTCACTTTCAGTTATATGCAACAGTCGGCGGAGTAATTATCTATCTGCCTTTGTCTCACTCTCGATCACAAGCCCTTTGTCATAATGCAAACCCATAAAGCTTTGTGTTTAACAGTTGAGTTTAGACATAATTTGGTGTGCATTTTCTGCGATTATTTGGTGCGAGGCTTTTGCTTTTGAAGGTACTGATGGTTGAGAATTCTAGGATTCAAAAAATATAATTGAGTTTTGCCCTTTTGTCTTTATTGGAATTAGTTGGATGCAAGCAATGATTCATTTCTTTTTTACGACGATGGTGATACGATGCATTTCAGTTTAATTAATAACTTGGATTAAGCTTACTATGGACGAAAGGAGTGTGTGAGTTCAGCAACAATTGAGAAAATTGATTCAATTTCAAATTAAGTGTAATTTTAACTAAATTTTAAATTCAGGGTATTAGGAAAACAAAGTTACATTTATAGTAAAATTAAAACGACCAAGAAAGTTTGGAGTTTTTTTTATGGTTTGGCCTTATTTAAATTAGATATGATAACTATCTCCATAAATTATTAGATAAAATATTGTTTAGTCCCTGAGGTTTAACTTAATTCACTAATTCATTTCTTTATTTTGATAAACCTAATAAGTAGTTCTTGAATTTGGTTCCATCCTGCAATTTAGTCCTTTGTCAAAAAAAAGCAACTATATTTTACCGTTAAATGTTATTGAAAATCCAAAAATACCCTCCCATCACTGTTATGCTTTACAGCCTCACACATCATCACTTTCCATTTGAATTTCAATTTCCAATAACCATAACACTTCAAATCTTCAAGTTTTTATTCGTATTTTCTGGGTGGTTTTGTGCTAAAATAGCAAATCAAAATAGTCAGTAGCAGATGAATAGACCAAACAATAACAACACGTTATAAATAAAAGGGGAAAACGAAAAATCTTTGATTGTTTGAAGAGCAATTCAAGAACTTCAAGAAAAGCAAAACTCAAGAATTAGAAATCTGGATTTCCAGAGAAATCAAGGCCACCAACAAAATCCTACGGTAAGTTGTACACAAAATCCATCAAGATCAAGTCTTCAACATGTGAAATCTAGATTTAAGGAACCCATTTAAGGTCATAGAGATAGAACCAGTAACATAAATATCTTTTTTAAAATCAACAATAAAAATCCTCAATTTCTTCCAAAACAAACAGCAAAACTAAAAGATTATACTGCAAAGGGTCTTAGAGATACACCTGTAATACTCGTGTTCATCATGGACAAACAAACTGATAAAAGTTTCCATCTCCAGTAGCAATTAACATTTATCACTTGCCCGGTGACCACCACCGGTAATTAGCCACTGTTGGCAACCCCTATTGGTCATTGAAAACCATTACAGTTCATGAAGTTTATTTTTAAAATATAAAATTTCTATAATTTTAAATATTTTTATAATTATATAAAACAAATATTAAAATATTTTTTAATTAATTTTTAATATTGTAACTCAACAATAGAACAGGACCTCTTGATCTCGAGACTTTTACCTTAACCACTAGATTCGAGCTTCATTCCTATTAATTTTATTTTAAAGAAAAAATTTTATTCCAACTTTTTTGTTTTTTAGACAATTCCAACTTAAACAACTCAATACAACTGAAAAGGAAAAAACCTTATTCGATAAGAGAAAGAAATTATTTTAAATTCTTATTTTAGAATTACGGAGGAATTCAAATTTTGAATTTATTGTCGAGCGCACTTATATATAATTATATTATATATATTATAATTATATATTATATATATATTGGTACGCAGTTATGAGTTTGACTAGGGCAAGGCCCAAGTAACTTGAACATTAGGTCAATAATTGACCCTCCCAATTGCTGATTTATGATACACTCGTATCCAAGATTCCCACGTTGTTGAAACCATATATGTATCTAGTTGAATAGTATAATAGATTGAAGTATCAAGCCTACCAACCATCCATTATTTCACATTAGCTTGACAAATTTGTTCCATCTTGCACACTAAACTAATAGTTTTTTTTTTTTTTTTACCATTGCGCTTCACCATACTCTTAAAATTGCTGTTGGTGGTAAAGCAAGACTTGCCCTAAACAAGGCCAACAACTCCTAATTATTTCTTTTGAGTTAAATATATATTTGGATAACATATAAATATATATTACACAAAATCTTAATTAATTGGATAAAACAATGTATTTGAGGAAGAATTTTTTTTTTTTTTTTTTCCATTGGCTTCACCTACCCTCTAAAATTGTGGTTGGTGGTAAGCAAGACTTGCCCTAAACAAGCCAACAACTCCTAATATTTCTTTGAGTTAAATATATATTTGGATAACATATAAATATATATTACACAAAATCTTTAATTAATTGGATAAACATGTATTTGAAGGAAAGAAAACCTTATAGATATTTCAAAGCTTGATTAGTCAATAATATGATTTTAAAAGATGGTTTAGTCAATAATTTTAATATAATAATTGCGATCCAGTCATGTTTAAACTTTTAATTAAGTTATATTTATGATTAAATGAAGCAAATAAATATTCTGGATGAGGAAAAAAATTTAAGGAATTAACACTTAAGAGCTAGTATTATTAATATTATTAATTTTATGAGATATTGTGTCCATTTATTAAATTATTATATAATTAGTAATGGAATTATGCATGACAAGTTTATTTCAAAAGGAAAAAAAATATATAGCTTGGTTAGTTTAGTCTTTTAAATATTATTTCTTTTTCCTATTTTGAAAGGAAAAAAAAAAATTGGTTTTCATATAAAGAAATAATATTTTAAAAGTTCAGAGTTTGTCTTTTATACCAAAAAAAAAAAAATTATTTGTAATTATCTTTTTCCTTTTTGTTATGTGAAGACAAATTCAAGGTATTTGTTAAGTATTTTAACATTTTTATATATTATATTTTTAATTTATGCTTTTTTCTTTGAAATAAAATCTAAATTTATGTAAAATAATTATTGAAAAAAAAAAAGAGACAATAATACAAAAATTTACCTCTAAGTTCAAGCATCAAATTAATGTGGGAAGGTTAAAAAACCTATATAAGATGTTTGATTCAGACATGATAAATTTAGTTGCTTTGGAATAGACAGGAGAACGTAATATATGATTCTTGCGGGTTATACATATATTATCAACATTATTATTGTCAAAATCAAAATAAGACATTAATCCTAAAAATATTTCCATAATTACTTCATTTCCAACAAAAGTCCATTGGATAGGCTACCAAAAAGTGAAAAAGAGTAAAATAATAAATCAAACAAAAACAAATATATTTTTTTAACATTAAGAAGTTAAATTTATTTTAACCATCTGGTATCCGATGCTCACTAGCTCGATCAATCTGAATTTGCATTGAGCAAGGGAACAAAACACTTTCTTCCGAATATTTAAAAAGATTTTATATCCAAGGTTCGAATTTGAAACTTTAGTTGAAGGAGAAGAGATATACTATCCCATCTCACTTTTAGAAGTGGAGAAATTGAATTGAATATAAATTTATAAATAAATCTTGGAAGCTCTTATTAATTAAAATTTTTCTTTATTGCCATTTTTAATTCTCAATCTTGTTGTATCTATGAATAAAAAAAATACTTTGATAAGAATAAATAAATGAACATAAAGAGCAATTAATTAATGAATATATAATAAAAAAAAATATTTTATTGGCATAAATTAAACATCAACAAGTTGAAGAATATAAAAATAAGTGAATAAGAGGAAGGTGACGGAAAAAATATTTGGAAGGTGGGCAGAAAAGAGACCTAAAAGACAACATCTCACCAACCACAATCACAATGGGGTTGGTAGGTATTCCACTAGCCACTATTTCATAATAAAAAAAACATGTTTTTGAAATTTTCTTGAGAACTCATAATATTTAATTAATTTCTTGACTCAAATGAGATGTTAATTAGCATTTTATAAATATTTTTAATATATTAATCCCTTAATTAATTATTACCATGCAAGTTAAACCTATATATCCCAATATCAACTTTGTTAAGGATACAAGAAAGCTAGATGGTGACTATATGTAATGTCGATCCATTAAAATGAATATATGAAGCATTTAATTAGATAATAAATACTATTTAAATTTTTTTGTTTGCTTTTTCTTGGATAAGGTAGTGTATCCTAATATTAAGTTTATTTGTTTTACTAATTCTTATAAAGAAAAGGTCTCACATCTTAAAAAGGGAAACAACTTTCTTTTTTTTTTTTTTTAATCTAAGCAATAAAAATTGAGCTTTAAAAGCAATTAATGAAGTATAGAACAAATTTATTTATCAACTCAATCAAAAATTGAAATTAATAATTTTTTATTAAATCAAGAAATAATATTAAGTAATTATCTAATAGTTACATATTTTATTTTCTCAATTGGTCAATTATCGTGATGGTTGATTTCCTTATTGTAATTATTAGATTATTTCTTTTATTTGGTACTTAATTTGAATGCTACCAATGTTTAAATGATTTTTTTTTTCTATTTGTTATTTAATTAACTTTTTTCTTTTGTTGAGCTACACTTGGTAATTTAGATTTGTATTTCAAAAGCATTCAATCAATAATTAGTTTGTATTTAATATCATCCTATATATTCACAATAATAAAATTAAAAAAGTGTTTCAAATTTAATTTTATCAATCAACTGGTATAGTCTGATTAGTTTTTTTTATTTATCTAGAAAATGAGATGTCTCAAACTCGAGATCTACCGATATAAAATAGTTTCACCAATTTGATAATTAATTGGTCAATCTGAAATTGACTATGCAAATGATCCAAATGACCACAATGGCAAAATGCCAAACTATGTAATAACTAATAAGAAGTATGCAATATAAAAGTTGCAATTTGATTTTTAATTGTCCGAAGAAGCATAAAAGGAACTAAATATTAAACATTAAAGGGTTAAAATGAAATTATTTTGAAAGAGGGACAAATATGCATATTTTTAAAAACCGATACTTTTTAATTTTTTTAAAAATAATTGAATCATCTTGACTATAATAATACAATATTTAAATGGAAATATATAGTTTTTATTCTCTTGTAAATAAATTTAATGTTTAATATTTTCAAAAGAAAGAAAAATAAAAATTTTGGTTAGTAAATTAATATGACGCACTGATTATGTGCCTCCTCTCACCAACCTCGACATGAGCACCTCTCTCATTCTCAAGCATACCCCATCTAAGAGCATGCCGTTCACCATATTTTCGCCACGTGTGATTATCCTACCCGTCCATTCTGATTAAGATCCAACGGCCTTGTACACTTTTCAACTAACACATCGGCTTACCCACCCAACACTCAATAACCCCTTTCAGGCGCATCTAATCTATTTAAAGCAGCCAATTTAGTTGATCGGACTCAGGAATTTTGGGCCACCTGAAATTTCCTTAAGCATAAATATAACATTAACAAAAAAAAAAAAAATCCCTCCATTTTCTCGCACTTTCCCAGAAAACAACAAGATCAAACAAACACAATATGGAATTCTGCCAGCAAACGCCTAATAATGGCAATGGTTCGCCAGGTTTTAACGTGAGTGACCCATTGAACTGGGGCGCAGTGGCGGAGTCATTAAAAGGAAGCCATCTTGACGAGGTCAAGCGCATGATTAATGAGTACAGAAAGCCAGTGGTTAAGTTAGGGGGTGAGACCCTGACCATAGCCCAAGTGACCGCAATCGCGAACCGCGACGCCGGTGTTAAGGTCGAGTTATCAGAGGCGGCTAGAGCCGGAGTTAAGGCAAGTAGTGATTGGGTTATGGATAGCATGAATAAGGGTACAGATAGTTATGGTGTAACCACAGGCTTTGGTGCAACATCTCATAGAAGAACCAAACAAGGAGGTGCCCTGCAAAGGGAGCTCATAAGGTAAATAGTTTAGTTATCTTTTAACTAGCTAGTTAGTAATTCAAGGAAAAAAAAAAAATTTACTTCATTAAATGGAGGGTAGGTCATAGGTGGCTTAATAGGGGACCTGCTTCCTATTCCATTATTAAGTGGGAGACTTACATATTTGATAAAACAAGAATTATTATCTATCAATACTATTTAATTTGGACTCAAAAATTTTAATTAATATTTACTTATATCTTACAAGTTCCAACCACCTAAATAGTTGGAACTTGGAACCAACATAGATACATGTGGCTATTGTTATTTTTTTTAATTGTAAGGAGAGGAAATATTTCATAATAATAATAATACTAATAATAATAATAATAATAGAAAGTTTTGGTATAATAGTGGTCCATGAAACCCTCGAAGGCAATAGTTGGCCTTGTAGGTTTAAGGGGGCCCTTGTAGTTATACTGTCCAAATATTGCACTAAAAAAGTCAATTGTATAGATTTATAGATAGAGAAGACACTAGACCAGTGCATATAGAATTCATTTCCTAGTGGTTTAAGCAACTAGGTCTAGACAAAACAATTAACATTAGAAACCAAAAAATGTAGTAGACGACAAAGATCTGTTAAGTGTTAAGTTTGCATTCAAAAATTGTGTTTATGTCCTTGTAAATGAAAATAACATTTGTGTAATCACAAAATTAGTCTCTATTAATCTTGTCCAAATAGACAAGTTCTTGATAGATTCACATGATATGTTTCTTAATCTGAACTTTGGCATCACATCACATCCAAGATCCAAATATCATTGGTTTAATAATAGAATCTTGTTAGTGCCTAAGGGTGATGTGATTTGTTCAAATTTTCTTGAGTAATGGAATCTTGGTCAAACTCCCATTTCATGTGCTCATGATTTCAAAGTCCTATACTTGTGTGTTCATATTCTTGGACACTTATCATTGAATCAATAATTAAAAATAACTTGTATTGCAAATAATTTTGCCTTTTTTTGTTTGGGGTTTTAAATAATTGTTCGTGTGATTCTTGAAATTTTATTGAAAACAGGTTCTTGAATGCTGGAATCTTTGGAAATGGAACCGAAACTTGCCATATATTGCCTCATTCAGCAACAAGAGCAGCAATGTTAGTGAGAATCAACACATTACTGCAAGGTTATTCTGGCATAAGATTTGAGATCTTAGAGGCAATTACCAAATTCATCAATCACAACATCACTCCATGTTTGCCTCTAAGAGGCACAATCACTGCCTCCGGTGACCTTGTCCCATTGTCCTACATTGCTGGGCTTTTAATAGGCCGGCCCAATTCCAAGTCGGTCGGGCCCAACGGAGAATCGCTAGACCCAAGTGAGGCATTTGAGCTTGCTGGAATAGATAGTGGATTTTTTGAATTGCAACCTAAAGAAGGTCTAGCTTTAGTAAATGGGACTGCGGTTGGTTCAGGTTTAGCATCAATGGTACTCTTTGAAGCTAATGTGTTGGCAATTTTAGCAGAAGTACTCTCAGGAATTTTTGCTGAAGTTATGCAAGGAAAACCTGAGTTTACAGATCATTTGACACATAAATTGAAGCATCATCCAGGTCAAATTGAAGCAGCAGCAATAATGGAACATATATTGGATGGCAGCGCATATGTGAAAGCCGCAAAGAAGTTACATGAACTTGATCCATTGCAAAAGCCTAAACAAGACCGATACGCGCTAAGAACATCTCCTCAATGGTTAGGACCTCAAATAGAAGTCATAAGAGCTGCAACAAAAATGATAGAGCGCGAAATAAATTCTGTTAATGATAATCCATTGATTGATGTTTCAAGGAGTAAGGCCCTTCATGGAGGAAATTTTCAAGGGACACCAATTGGTGTATCAATGGATAACACCAGATTAGCTATTGCTTCAATTGGTAAACTCATGTTTGCTCAATTTAGTGAGCTTGTTAATGATTTTTACAACAATGGTTTGCCTTCAAATCTCACTGGTGGAAGTAATCCAAGCCTGGATTATGGATTCAAAGGCGCTGAAATTGCCATGGCATCTTATTGCTCTGAGCTTCAATATCTAGCTAATCCTGTCACTAATCATGTTCAAAGCGCGGAGCAACATAATCAAGATGTTAACTCTTTAGGGTTAATCTCTTCAAGGAAAACAGCCGAAGCTATTGATATATTGAAGCTTATGAGCACCACTTTCTTAGTTGCACTATGCCAAGCTGTTGATTTAAGGCATTTGGAAGAGAACTTGAAAAATGTGGCAAAAAATACAATAGGTCAAGTTGCAAAGAAAGTGCTGACCATGGGACTCAATGGAGAACTTCATCCTTCAAGATTTTGCGAAAAGGATTTGCTTAAAGTTGTGGATAGGGAGCATATTTTTGCTTATATTGATGATCCTTGCAGTGCAACATATCCTTTAATGCAGAGACTAAGGCAAGTTCTCGTTGACCATGCTTTAAAGAATGGTGAGAAAGAGAAAAACTCAGCTACTTCAATTTTTCAAAAGATTGAAATTTTTGAAGAGGAACTCAAAACCCTTTTGCCTAAAGAGGTGGAAAGTGCAAGAATTGATTTTGATAATGGAGTTTCTGCTATTCCCAATAAGATTAAGGAATGCAGGTCATATCCATTGTACAAATTTGTGAGGGAAGATTTGAGTACTGGTTTGCTTACCGGAGAAAAAGTCCGATCGCCTGGAGAAGATTTTGATAAGGTTTTTGAAGCTATATGTGCAGGCAAGTTGATTGATCCATTGCTTGAATGCTTAAAGGAGTGGAATGGAGCTCCTCTTCCTATAAGCTAAGAAATATTTCAATTGTGATGAATTTTCTTCTTTTTGCTTTTGTTTTATATACATAAAAGTCTATATGTGCTATGTTAATTCGTAAGTTAAAACTTGTAATATCAAACTTGTACGTGCTTATTATATGTTTGTTAATTTTGTTCAATCCATCAAAGAATCTTAAATTCTTTGTACCATGAAAGTTTCATAACAACAAAATAATGCAATCAAGATTATTAATTAAGTGTTCTTTACAATTTTTGTCGTTTTTGTCAATTTTCTCTGCAAGCAATTTAATAAATGGAGATAATAAAATTCTAATATTGAATAAATCATATTTAGGTTGGGAGTTCAGAAATGTTAGTCTTAAATAACTTAAAAATATGATATAAAAATATAATGTATTGCTTCCACATTAGAAAATAAAGGAAAAATTTGAACTTTAATAAAATATAATGTAATATAATTAAATTATTTAACAATAGAAATGCATTTAATTACCTAACCAAACAAAGCCTAAAATTTGAATCCCTAGCATCTGTATCCTGTTTCTAATTTCCTAATGCTTTGTTTGGGATAGAGATGAAGGAACATAAGAGAAGAATAAAAAATGGGATGAAAGAAAAGAAATGGGATTAAGGAAAATTAATTTCGTAGCTCGTCAGTGCAACAGTTTCTCTCCAAAATGGAGAGAATCCAAATTGGTGGGACACAGGAAAATAACTCTTATTTTCCTTCCACCACAATTTTCTTGTATTCCAAACAATAGAATTTGACTTTTCTTCCAAATTTCACCTCTCTATTTTCTTTCCTCCAAAAAATTACGAGTTACAAACAGAGATTTTGCTACAATACAGAATAATAGATTTCTGTATTAGTAGAGAAATGCTGAACAATTTACACGTGTAAAGAAAACCTACTATTAATACCGAAAGTTATCATTCTTTATAGTAATTTTACCCTTAAAAGAATTTTTGTTTGTTGTGATTTGTTGATGGAGGCGACTAGTTATAAATGTGGGCCTTTTTGGTTTCTCAATAACTATATGGGCTATGAAATTCAGGTTAGCAATTGAATTGGGTAAGGTCGATTTGATACAATGGGCCGGAGAGAGGTTGATATTTCTTTTTTTTTTTTTTTTTTTTTTTTTACACGTGTAAGAACACCTACTATTAATTACCCGAAAGTTATTTCATTCTTTATAGTTAATTTTACCCCTTTAAAGAATTTTTGTTCTGTTGTGATTTTGTTGTGGAGGCGACTAGTTCTAAATGTTGGGCTTTTTGGGTTTCTTCAATAAACTTATCATGGGCTATGAAAATTCAGGTTAGCATTGAATTGGGGTAAGGTCGATTTATACAATGGGCGAGCAGAGGTTAGATATTCTTTTTTTTTTTTTTTTTATTAATTCTTGCAAAATGATTCAAAGTAGTATATTTACAATATTATAGTATGTATTTACTTATTTTTAAATATTTTATAATTTATATTTTTTTTTTTTTTTTTTTTTTTTTATAATTTTGCAAATGATTCAAAGTAGTATATTACAAATATTATAGTATGTATTTACTAATTTTAAATATTTTATAATTTATATATATTTTATAATTAATTAATTTATTTTGTTGAAAGTTACAAAAGGTGAAGCCTTTTCCTTTTGTTATTGACTATATATATATAATTTTAATTTCCTTTAATTACTAGCAATATCCTAATGCGATGCACGGTTATAGAAAATCTAAAAAAAATTAAAAGAAAATAATATAATGTATATAATTTGTTGATAGATTCTTGAGTAAAAATTTTTTATATTATACTATTAAAATATATTAATAAAGATAGATGAATATTAAAAAATGCTGTCATAATTTTTAATAATGAGAATTAAAATTAGTAGATAAACATATATTGAAAATTGTAGAATTTATAAAGATAAATAAAAAATGAAATAAAGGAGAATTAATTAGTTTGATTTATTTTATAATTAATATAAAAAAAAACTCCGAACATCTTTAAAATCTATAAATTAAGTAATTAATTTTAAATATGATAAGTTCCACCATATTTAATATAATTTAATTCAAAAAATAAATAATTATTCAATTTATTTTTAAATTAAAGTTAATATAAAACAATAATCATACTATAATTAAATTAAATAATTTATTTATATCATTAAAAGCTATATAAGTTACGTACTTAATATGTTGTTAATTTTTTAACCTTAAATTAATTAATTATACTTCATATAATTTAATTCAATCAATAAAAAAAATATAAATTCAATTTATTTTTAAATAAATATAAAGACAAATAATTAAGGCACATGTTATTACTATATAATTTAAATAAATATAAAGCCAAACAATTATAAAAATTACATATATCACTTATTTTGAATCCTAAATATAAATAATATGAATACTAGAATTAAGGAAAAATCAGCTAAATAGTAAAATATGGAAAATAAAAAATCTAACTAAATAAGTAAATACGAAAATAAGAAAATACTAACTATTAGGAAAATACATCTATTTTTTTTTTTAGAAGGTAGTACTAGAAATTTCATTAACCAGAATCAACTAATACAGTATTTAAACTGGAATCGGAAGGTACAAGACCTCACTTCCTAGATCAGTCACAGAACAGGCATTTGTTGTAAGCAGGTGTCCAAATACTATTCGCTGATCTTCTAGCAAAAGAAACAGAACATGCATCTACTTCATTTAACAACACCTTACAATCAGAAACCACTTGACTAAAATAAGAAGAGTCCCCTTGTCTTTTATTCATAGCCTGGAAAAGAACAACAGAGTCTGTCTCAAAAATAACATGATGAAAGTCCTTGCCTTTAACCCAGCTTAGCGCTTCTCTGAAAGAAAGTGCTTCTGCCACTCGTGGGTCGTGACCACCATGAAGCGCTAACTGACAAGCGTTAACCACTGTGCCCAGATTATCACGCACGATCCAGCTCGCACCTGTAACAGGAGAAGAAGCCTGAAGAGCTGCATCTGAGTTACACTTAAGAAATCCATGTGGAGGACGAACCCATGTCCCTGTTGAAGTAGGAACTGTAGTATGTAATCTGGTTTGACCTTGCTGCCAAGACATAAACCTATTAGAAGCAGCTCCAAGCAAAACGTGAGCAGGTTGACCTGCTCCCGTCCAGACAACACTATTTCTGTTCCGCCAGATGACCCACAGCAAGGTTTGCAGATCACCAGAATCATGCACAGAGAAAACATGTAAGAGCTAGCTTTCCATATCCACAGGTTGCTGCAGGTCAAACAGTTCAAGAGCAGCAGCTAATTCCCTCCTCCAACATTCCCTAGCAAAGTTGCAATCAAGGAACAGGTGTAGAACCGATTTGTGGGCTTGGTTGCAAACAGAACAACCGCCATCAATATCAAGGCCACGACGAATTAACAGAACTCTTACCGGAATACAATTAAAAGCTTAAAGAATACTTGAAAGACAAATATATATATATAATATGTGCTTTTTGTGTGTTTATAATATAATATTGATGATAACTGTTAAAGATATTCTTTCAAAAAAGTCTATTTAATCTCATCACTTGTATAAAAACCTTGTGATTTATTATAACTTATAAACCCATATAATTTTTACATTTAAATTTTGAGATCAATTAGATTTCTAATATTTTAAATCAGAATTCATTTCTTCGATTTATAATAATAACTAAAAACTTGCAGTCAGATTACGAAATTGAGTTAGGGTTGGAGTATAGCTCAATAACTTTAGAAAAAAAAAAAAAAACACCTAATGTGTTTTCTTTTTTGGCCCGACTAATCTGGATTCACGCCGGGTATATCTAGGTTTGAACTCGAGACTTTTAGTTAAGGAAAAAAAGATCTTTGTCATCTCATATCACTTGTTGAAATAAAAAATTAATCTATTTATACCTTAATAATGTGATTGTTTAAATGCAATCAGCAAATTCACTCACTGCATTTTTTCAAACCTCAAATATAACCACATGAAAAGTTAATTAATTAACACTACTTGACATTCAGTAAAATGAAGATATTTTTGTGTTAATTTGTTAATCCATCATTTTTAATCATCTAAAACATAAAATCTGAACGCTTGAATTAGAAGTATCAAAATAATTAATATATTCTACTTAAATGGAGTAATTGTTAGATGTACTCATGAGTAGGTTATAAGTCATGAGGAAGTCAAGTTTTTTTTTTTTTTTTTTTTTTTAATCATGAGGAAGTCAAGTTTTTTTTTTTTTTTTTTTTTTAAATTTTTAAATTTTTTTTTTATTTTTTTTTTGAGAATCATGAGGAAGTTAAGTTTTAATCAAATGATGAAGCACAATATAAGGTATCTCTCACTCTCTACTTATAACTTCAACTTATTTGAGATTTGAATTTACGTTTTTTTTTTTTTAATATGGAGATTTGAAGCCAATTTTGCTTTGAGGTTTCCTTGAAATTACATAACATTACCTTAAACTAACATATATAAGGCTTAAAAATATTATTATTTTTCTTCAAATACAACTCATTAAAGTGCAATTCTAATTGCCAATCAGGTGGTGATCTAGTTGGTCTTTTCACTTATGTGAAGAGTCACTACAAAAAAAATGGCATTTTGCGACCGACAAATCGGTCGCAAAATGCCAAAAAATCGGTCGCTAAATTCAATTAGCGACCGATCTGCGACCCAAACACTGCGGTCCGCAAATATTCTGTCGCAAAATATTGTGCGACCGATGTTTTTTCCGTCGGAGGTCGCAAATTTGACGACGAGTTTTCGGTTCGCCAAAATTAAAAAATCGGTCACAAAATTTGGTCGTGTTTCCATTGTTGGAAATGCTCACTGTCGCAATTAGTTGACAGAAATCTGTCGCAAATCGGTCGCAAATGTCTGTATTTTGCTTTAATTTGACATTCCGCAGTTACCATTCCTAGCTTTATTTTTCCCTATTTTGTTGTCATTTTAAAGACTAATCTTCTTTTCCCAACTTTCATGCTTTTTCACTATTATGGAAAGATTAATATATATTATATAGAACTGAGATGGAGGAAATACTTGAATGGCTTTGCTATTTTTGAGACTTTGTCAGATTATGTTAGAATAAGTTAATGAGGAAAGTTAGATGCCAGATGATTGGCTCTGGTATAATCAAATAATTTAATGATTGTTATACAGAGGCAATAATCTGCCATCTAACTATTCCTCATATTAATTATTTCCTACATAATGCTGCAAGTCTCAAAAATAGCAAGCCTATCAAGTATTTCCCTCCATCCTCAGTTTGTGATTATATATTATTAATGTTTCATAATAGTTGGAAAAGCATAAAGTTGGAACAAGAAGATTAAGTCTCTTCTAAAATGACCAAACAAAATAGGGAAAAAAGAAAGCAGTGAAAGTAATAGAATGGCTTAAACTGAGGGATGTCAAATTAAAGACAAAATACAAAAATTTGAACTGGGTTAAGTAACTGTTGTACGACTAGTGACGGTACCATTAATAACAGATAGACTAACCAGGCATTACTGGGACATTAATTCAAAACATGTGAAATCGAAATAATAAATTCCATCAAATAACACAGTAATAAAACCTGGATAATGTGCAGCAATCACTTGTTTCTGCCTTAGGCAACAAATCCTCTAGACAGTTGAAACACCATCTAACAAATTTCTCCGAAAGAGAGGACATTGGCATTGTTTGAACATGCCTTCTTTCAAGTGAAACCACAATAAACAACAAAGATTAATTCAAGAGACAAGTGTAAGACAAATATCCTAGCATATTATGCTTGAAAAGCAAATTAAACATTGGGTGCCATTTCCCCAAGCAATTAACCAAAAATTCCACTTTAAGCTCCACATTTGCCTGCTAATCATTCCCTTTGGCCACTAAGTGCATCAAAAGAAATTATTAAAAGAAAATTATTTGACCTGGGAATGTGGAAAGTGAGCTTTGATCATTCTCCCTATGTTCTGTGTGTGGCATAAATCAAGAGCTGCATCAACCTGTCAAACGGCTCAACATTAAATCACTGGCAAATACATTCATGACAAAATTTTACTCCAAATTATGAAACCAATAGACACTAGAACCAAAAGTAGAGTTCATTTGAAGTAGTTTCAGTATAAAAAAAATGGAAAAGCTTGGTATCAGCTTTTGCAAGATCCCAAATAATAAATGAAAAATCAACTAAACTATACCTCGTCCAAAATTAGAGAAAGGGCAAGCAGAGATCTTTAGCCTCCGCTTAGCTCTGACAAGGACTGTTTCCAATGGCAAATACACATAAAATCGCAAAACTTACCAAAAATAATATTTGCACAATCGTTCCTAATCGCAATTAATAGTTTTGTGTATTTGACAAAGACAAATGCCATGCTAGTAGATTAAATTGCCCAGAATCTGTCAAATCAACAATCGCTTAAGGTACAATAATACTAATAATAATAATAAACAACAATAAACAATAACAATAACAATAATACTAATACTAATAATAATAATAATAATAATAATATAACAATAATAACAACAACAATAATACTAATAATTAATAATAATAAGAACAGTAATAATAATAAAAATAATAATAATTTTGACTCCCCTAAAAAAATTCTAATCGCAACTCAACCATATACTAAATAAATTAATCGCAACCATATACAAAATTCTAACAACAATATACAAAATCAACCATAAATTAATATAATAAAAAACAAATAAATTCGAAAAAAAATTTCGAAAAATTAATTGCAAAATAAAACTAACCTCAGATTGTTTCGAAACAGAGTGACTGGAGTGCAAAGGGAGCGAGAATGGCGGCGTCAGGCGGGCTGGAACGGTGTCAGGAAGGGCCGGAGCGGCGTTGCGGACGGAGGAGAGGAGAGGAGAAGGAGAAGAGAGAAAGGAGAAGAGAGAAAGAAGAAGAAAGAAAAAAGAGAGGGCGCGGCGTTTAAAGCCCTAACTTTTGCGACCTGCGACCGAACATCCGGTCGCAATTTTATAACTATCGGTCAGCATTTTAATTGAGCCGACGTCGTTTAGACTAAGGGGACGCCATATTTTGCGATCGATTTTGAGACTAAATAAATCGGGTCGCAAAAAATCAGTCGCAATTTAAGTCTCCAATCGGTCCTAGAAACTTTTGCCCCATTTTTTACGCGCGAAAATTTGCGACATTGTGTGAAAACCTCTTAGTCGATATCGATCGGCAAAATTTCGGTCGCACATCCGTAGTACACAGGTCGGAAATCATTAACCATTCTTAACCATTCTCGCGGGAATTTTCAGCGCCAAAATTTGCGACCGATGGCTTATAAGTCGCAAATCGGTCGCAAAACTGCTACCGATTTAGGTCGGTTGCAAAAATCGGTCGCAATTGAGTGTTTTTTTTGTAGTGAGTGGGATGTCTCGAGTTCGAGTCCTTTTGATCACAATTATGGTATAGCCTGCAGTGTTATTTCGGTCCTTAAAACCCTCTAATGAATTAAAAAAATTGCAAAATTCTAATTCTATTATCAATTTAAAAAATATTAAATATTGTGCATTATGGATAGTAAAGATCAAACAATACAATAACTCATTCTTAAAATTAATATTCTTAAATTCTCAAAAAAAAAAAAAAAAAAAAAAAAAAAAAAGTATTCGCAAATTTTGTGTATAAACAAAAAAAAAAAAAAAAAAAAGTATTCGCAATTTGTGTATTAAACATGATATTTCATTAACTTTGATATCTTCCACTTGAAAACAAACTTCGAATAAATTTTCATATGATATAAATAGAACACCTTACAATTCAACTACTAGATCAACCCATTGTGAAATTGACAGTAACTAGGTGTAAAAAATGGAAAAAATGAGAACTTCATGCTATGATTCCGCTAAATCTAAGTTAATTGAAGAAATAAGAAATTACTACCTCATACTTCAAGGAGTCTTTTAGTCTATGTTGTTCTCAACACAAATTCTTGACCACATCTGCTGCTGAGCTCAGCTATGCATGTTCGTCTATTACGTATAAGCCAACAAAAGAGATAGTTTCAGTTTGAGCAAGATACATAGATAGAGCAGTTGAGAAAGGAGATGCATTGAACAATAAATTTAAACCCATGAGAGAAAACAAGACAACACATTTTTTTTTTTGGAGAAAGAATGGGCATGAGAGAGAGAGAGAGAGAGAGAAAGAGCGAGAAGTTTCACAATTTTTAAGGCTCATGTGGCGCTAAAAACCTATATAATAGTTGATTTGTCACCTTCAAGTCAACTTTTCAACATCTATTTATCCAAAATCAATTGAAAGTAACTTTACCTTATAAATTGAATTTGAAAGACGATAGCATCTATATCACAATTTAAGCAACTCAGAGTGAATTTAAGCCTATTTTTCCTTAAATAATCCTATTATTTGAGCTTGTTGTCCATCCATCCACGGGCCAATGCACATTTGACGACATTATTTCCAAACGGCAAGTACAGCCCTCTTCGTTTAGCATGTGATATTTTTTAAAAGATTGCCTTCCAAATTAAGGGATTTATAGTAGTTGATATTCAATCAATAACCTAAATTGAGATAAGGCAACTTAATTAAACTTTTTTTTTGTGACTTTGAGGCACTAAATTAGATATTTACCCACAAAATTACTACCATATCATAAATATAAAATTCCACCACCAACCCCAAGTCCCCAACCATAGCTCAAAACTCAAAAGTAAAAGTTAATTTAATCAAACCAAACCGAAAGCGACATCGGGGTTGGTGCACCTATAACGACACGGCCATACCTTTCCAATAGCTGCACTCGCACTCGCACACTCTCCAAGTCTATAAAATCCGAACCTATTTCCTCTCCCGAGACCTCGCAGCCATTGCTAAAGTAACTCTCGTACTCAAAACTCTCCTTAAACTCGTAAAAACAACAGAGAAAAGCTTGATCAAATGGCTTTTGAAGGAATCCTCTTGGGCATGGGCAATCCACTCCTAGACATTTCTGCTCATGTTGACGAAGCGTTCGTAAACAAGTAAGTCTCTGTTTGTTTCTAAATGAAATGCAAGAATATGAAAGAAATTGTTACTGTTATTCAATTTTTATTCATGTTCTAACTCTAGATCTATATTCTGATACTATTTATTTGATATTGATTAGTGCTCTTTTGATGTTGATTGTTTGACTACTATATGCTGCTTGGCAAAATGAAAATGAGATAGATCTGAGCATTTTTCTATGTAGATTTGGTTGCGATATCAGATCTGTAGCTTGCGAGATGAATTATAGTTTCTTTTTTTATTTTTTTTATTTTTATTTTTATTTTTTTTTTTGTTTTTGAGATTCAAACTACTATTCATGATTGCACGAGCAGATTCAGAAATGATATGTTTGATTGCTATTACTAGATTTGCTTTACTAAGTTAAATGTTTTTGTAGTTTTTCTTTTTGAAGTATTTTCTAACTTTGATTATTTGACTTAATTCTCTAACAGATACGATGTCAAGCCAAACAATGCTATTCTTGCCGAAGATAAGCACTTGCCAATGTATGTTACTTTTCTCATAGACTTTATTGACTTTTTTGCTTCGTTAGCTTATTGATGGCTTTAATGTCTCACAGTTACATCTCTTTATTAGGAAGTGATGTCCATTCTGTTTGTTTCGCTCTGCATATGATCTTTGCATTCTGTATTAGGTCAAATTTTGAATTTTTATTAGGAATTTAAATATACCCATGTTTAAATGATTACATTTTGTTGGTACCCTGAAGGTATGAAGAATTGGCTAGCAATCCTAATGTAGAATACACTGCTGGAGGTAAAATTAGAATCTCATTGATCTGAAGGTTTAATAATGTAATATAGAAGATTTTTGCTGAGAGTCTTGTCATTTTACTTATAGGTGCTACTCAAAATACAATAAGAGTTGCTCAGGTTTGATTCTGTTATCATGTGCAGGATTGATTTTTTTTTTTTTTTTTTTTACACTTAATAGTGCTACTCAAAATACAATAAGAGTTTGCTCAGGTTTGAATCTGTATCATGTGCAGGAATTGATTTTTTTTTTTTTTTTTTACTCATGCTCAAGTGATGAAACACAGTACTATTATTCACTTCTGATCTTTTTCTGGTCTCTTGCAGTGGATGCTCCAAAATTCCTGGTGGCAAACAGGTTTTATATAGGTTTGCATTGGGAAGGATAAGTTTGGAGAGGAGATGTTTTTTTTTTTTTTTTTTTTTACTCATGCTCAAGTGATGAAACACAGTACTTTATTCACTTCTGATCTTTTCTGTCTCTTGCAGTGGATGCTCCAAATTCCTGGTGCAACAGGTTATATAGGTTGCATTGGGAAGGATAAGTTTGGAGAGGAGATGACAAAAAACTGCAGGCAATCCGGTGTCAATGTAAACTGCTTTGCATCTTTTATTTCCATATTTGGGAATGTCTTTCTTGTCTAGGATTTAATTAGAATGCATGATCAGGTTCACTATTATGTGGATGAGACTGCTCCAACAGGGACATGCGCTGTTTGTGTTCTTGGTGGTGAGAGGTTAGTTTTACATTGTTAAGCTCATTTTGCAATTTGCATTTGAAAATCTCATGCATCAGTTGGCCATTTTTTCACATCCAGGAACCTTTTCTTGTTATCATGACATTTGTCCTGTTCTCTGTGAGCTATAACTTCAGACTGTGTTGATTTTTCATAACAAGTTAGAGGTGTAGTTATTTGACTAAAAATCTTACTGAGAGAAAATATTATTTATTGATTATCCTTTCTGAATAATTGATTTTCCTTTCTGGGGGTGCAGAAGCTAGTATCTGTTCAGCAAGTCATATGTAGGGTTTCATTAGGTTGTGAATCTCTTTTCCTATCAGCTTTTATTAATCAAGATTGATCAGGATTTTCAATTGTCCATTGAGCTCTTTTGGTCCTTACATCACCTGAAGTACAAATCTACCAGTTCATGTGAATAACGAGTTGCTTCATTAAGTCAATCGGGTTTCCCACCTTTTGTCCTTGTCTATTAGATCAATGTGGTCAACTTGTACAACTATGCCCCCTCTAGCTGTTCCGTATGCAGCCAAAGTGACATTGTTAAAATTTATGATGATTCTAGTTATTAAAAACAGAGGTGGATGCCAGTTGGAGGTGGCAAATCTTTGCCTAGTCTTGCGTTTGAGAGTGTACAAAAGGCAGTGACCTTTAAGTTTAAGTTTAAGATTATTAGTAATGTTGGATGAAAGGAGACCTACATATTGAGATCAATGCATTATCATCTGATTATTTATTTGCTTTTTTTCACTGGGGTAAAAATTGAATTTTCTTGCAGATCACTGATTGCTAATTTGTCAGCTGCAAATTGTTATAAATCTGAGCATTTGAAGAGACCAGAAAACTGGGCACTGGGTACTTCTATCAGTTCTTCTTTGCTTCTTTTTCCTTCAGCTTTTTGGTTAGGCGTTGGTTATGCTTCCTGCTGGTCTAACCTGAATAAAAACTATTTTAACAGTTGAGAAAGCAAAATATTTCTACATTGCTGGTTTTTTCCTTACCGTCTCTCCTGAATCCATTCAACTTGTTGCTGAACACGCTGCTGCTCACAACAAGGTAAATGTTGTGTATTATTTATCTTTCAATTCTATGGCCTTCTTTTGGAAGTCTCAGTGGTTTTATCATGCACTTGCAGATCTTTTGCATGAATCTTTCTGCTCCATTCATCTGTGAGTTCTTCAGGGATGCACAGGAGAAAGCTCTACCGTAAGCTTCTGTGTTTAGCTTTGTTTATATCATATCGTTCTAGTCTTGTACTCATGTGCCTTTTATTTACAGGTATATGGACTATGTCTTTGGGAATGAGACTGAAGCCAGAACCTTTGCTAAGGTTCATGGATGGGAGGTAATGTTTCTGTGTTTGCTTTGAGTAATCTGAGAACTCCTTGCCATCGTTACACCGTGGAATTACCTCACTGGATTGATTGTCTTTGTTTATCAGACTGAGAATGTTGAGGAGATTGCTGTAAAGATCTCTCAGTGGCCCAAAGCATCAGGGACACACAAGAGAATTACTGTTATCACTCAAGGTGCCGATCCTGTTGTCGTTGCTGAGGATGGGAAGGTGAAAACATTTCCTGTAATCTTGTTACCTAAGGAGAAGCTGGTTGACACCAATGGTGCAGGTATGTGCTTCTTGTTCCATCTTTAAGCCTTTCCAGTCTTAAAAGAAGGAAATCTTTGAAATGCATCCTTGATCAAATTTGAACAAATTTAAAGTTACTTACCATTGTGTGTTAGCTGGTTGCTGCTTAATATTTGATTGCTCAGGACAGCTATTTATTTATATGGATACTTAGATCATTAGTTGAACTTTTATTTTAGGGTAAGCTTGGTGCATTCATGAATTGGTAATGGAATGCAATTTTTGGGATAAGATTTTGTTGTTTTTTGTTTGGGTCATAAGCAGTCCAAAATTTTCTTTATACTTTCATATTGGACAATTTGAGCTTTTCTCAAAATGGTATCAATTTATAATTGTAATTCTTAACAGTTAATATAACCAAAATTCTATTTCTTTCTTTCTTTCCTTTTGTAAAATAAACTTGGAGAATGATATTTAGGACTAAAACTAAGAGACATCCATTTCAGTTATTTGAACTTAAACTTGTATGCTAAACAGGAGCAAAAAGGTGAAAATTGGTTTAGAGTGCCTCCTTTTGTAGTTAGTCGTGATCCAGTTTCCCTTCACAAACAAATCATGTCAACTTCTCTACTTTGCAGGGGACGCATTTGTCGGTGGATTTCTGTCACAGCTTGTGCAAGAGAAGCCTATTGAAGAGTGCGTTAGAGCCGGTTGCTATGCATCAAATGTTATTATCCAGAGGTCAGGCTGCACATATCCAGAGAAGCCTGATTTCAGTTAGGCTCACATGTATTAAATACGTATTCCCATTTGTGATATTTATGGTCCGATTGTTAAAGTTTTATTCGCGGCAGCCAAACATTATTTGCTCCTGAACCCATATGATTTGGTAGAGGAGAACGTTTTGTTTCTTTTCAATATTGTATTCTATGTTTTAGGACATCCTTGTTCGCTGCATAAATGAGGAATATATATCTTGGCGGGGTTATCAACGAAAACAAATTTCCATTCGGTACTACCCGGTGAACGGCTTGTTTGTTGGATTAGTATGATTAATTCTGTCTAGTGCAGTTTTAATTCTATTAAGTGAAATCCAGTCATTTAGGCGTTTCGTGGTGACCTTTACTTGTGATTTTCAATTATAATAAAACAGTCAGTATTTTAGTGTGTAAAAATTAAGTTTACTAATATTCGTGGAGCAAATATTATTAAATCCAAATTAGATATTTTTACTTGGACAAAATTACCCTCTTTCACAGGTGAAAGAAGCTCTTTCCTGTCTAAGAACTGAAAAAGAAGTCATGCTTCATTGCTTGCTACTGGTTCACTCATGTCTGGTTGTTTATCACCTATGTACCGATAACAATTGGCTCAAACGTCTTCTCTTCAAGAAATTAGATGCATTTATAACAACGAAAGAGGTAGATGTGATAGAAGAGGACATCTCAGCACAAAAGCAAAATCAGAGAACATGAAGTTTGGCCAAAAAATACACGTACTCTAAGCAAATCCAATCTTGTTGAATATATAAAAGATCTTGCTTTGCCTATTCATAAACAAAAATAAACGGATTAGATCTTTAAAAAAAGAAAAAAAAAAAAGTGAAATTTTGGAGTTGGGATAAGATCTAAGCTCCTCTTAAAAAAATATTTTTGAAAAAACATTTTCTAAATGATTTATTTTCAGTTATTTGGTTGCAATATTAAAAATTAATTAAAAAAAGTAAAATCTTTAATTTATATGACCATAAAATATCTATAATAATAAAAATTTCATACTTTAAAAATTTATCGTTAAATATAAAAAAATTGTAAATTATGAAAATCGTCAGTTGATGGTGCCCGGTGGCTAGTGGTGATGGTTGATGGTGAACAGTGACCGATGGTGATGGCCACAGGTGATTAATAAACTAAAAAAATACGTATTATAAAATTATAATAAGTTTGTCGATATCCAAAAAATAGTTTCATCTCTCTAGGATAGAAAGTTATCTTCCTTAAAAATAATTTAATTTTTCTTTGACCAGAAAAATATTTTTATACAAATTATTTTATACAACCAAACGGAGTAATCTGTTTTCCTTTACTCTGATTATTCACATAGTAATAAATTGAATTAAAAACTTTTGAATAATTATTAACAAACAGAGACATATAAGCGCTGATTATTGTACTTTACTCTAATAAAGGGACTATATAATAATTCACCTTTCCTAAATCAATTTTTTTTAGAAAAATTTGTTTATGACTAAGAAATGAACTCTGCTTTAGTGCTTCTCAATAATTGTTAATTATTTTTTGTCAAACAAGTTTTCCCCTTTCATATTTTTCTTTTTTAGTTTTAAAACCTCCAATGTCCGACACACACTGATCCGATTAATTCGGATCCGAGTTGAACAGGTTCACAAACGGAAAAATGTTCCGTTTAAAAGGATCCCATACATAATGCTAGAACTCAAAATCTCTGATTTAGAGAGAAGTGATCTCTATTATCCTATCTCATCCTTCGGAGATCTTTTTATATTTTATTTAATCATACGACATTTTAAAAAGTTGTCTGCTCGTAGACGTTTGAATCATGCACATCAAAATAAAATAAGAACCAATCGTGAAATTAAACAAGTAATAGAATTTGTTGATTATATATAGTATTACTTCAAGATATCAAATAAAATTTTTTAAATTAGTTATGAATCAAATAAAAAATAGTAAATTCTCATGTTAATAATTCCATTGCATTTCCAATTCTAAAGATAACCAAGGTGATGCAAACATGGGATATATTGAACTGAGATTTGATGAACCACCGTCAGTTTAGAGGTTTTCCCTCTAACATAGAAAAGTAAAAATATAATATATAATGCAAGAGAAACTTCTTACATAGCTTAAAAACACAAAGTAGTTTATTCAAGTATGTCAAAAATCTTATTCAGCTTCTAATTTGAAATGCATCAAAACATGATGGTGTCTCATGAGTGAATGCAATGGCTTGTCTTCAGTAATTACTCGCCATAGACTGAAACGTCTGGTCTAGGTTGAAAATCATTAGAAAATGACTTCTTTACTTTGAAACCTATGTCATCATTTTTAGGTGTGGCATCGCTGTGATAAATGCTGACATCAGGCCTTGGTTCAAGCTCCCTTTTGAGCTCTATATTATCCTGGTGAATTGTAACATCACTTTTTGTTTCAAGATGTGGATTTTGATCTTTGAGTGTGATATCGTTGTGATATATGCTGACATCAGGTCTTGGCTGAAACTCCCTTTTGAGAAATGATTTCTCATTTAATGGCTTTTTTGCTTTAAGTATAACATCATTGTGATATATGGAGATATCAGGTATCGGTTCTACGTTGTCAGTTGTGTGACAATCAGCTTTCTCTTTTGTGGAGGTAAATGAGTCCGGAGAAGAAGCTCCAACAAGTCTTTGTAATGCTTCTGGCATGGGCTGATCTTTCATTTCCCCACTCCAATATTCACCCACATCTTTTCTTGCATTGATAGTGCCTGAAAACTGCAAAATAAAATTAGAAAAACGGATTACTCCCATCAATTAAGATAAACCAAACTTATTTTCATTAATGGTGTTTATGTATACGTGTTCCTCTATATATATATATATATATACACACACACGTATCCCTTTATTTACTCGCTACTGACACAAACTTTTACTTACCAAGATAAGTGAGAAAATAGAAAGGAAAGCAAAGAAGAATTTCATGTTTTATGGTAAGAGAAGAAATTAAATGATGGATAGTGTTGTCCAATATCCTCACTATTTATAGCTAAAATCAAAGAAAGCATAATTATAAATAATTTACATATAATACATCTTGTTATAATATGACAAAACATAATATACATATACGGTATGGGCCGATGAATAAATTTATCTTTTGTCCATTAATTATTCCCTAAAACTTTATTAAAATTTCATTCTAATTACTATTTAATCTTTATATTATAATCAATTCATTTGACGTTACTTATATTATATGTTCATTAGATTGAATAACCATTCCCTTAAAAATTTAGTTTTGAAGTCCTTTGTATTGATAGAATTCTGGGATGAAATTTAAAGATTTCATAAACTTATTAAATTTATTTGTTTGTTTTATAAAAAATTATATTACGGTGTGTAAAATCGATAAATTTTATTACTTTTTTCTATAATCAAATTTAAATCACTTAATTTTATTTTAAAAAATATGCTTTAAATCTATAAATCATGTTTTCCAACTAAATGATGAAATGTAAAATTCTATTAATTTCACAATACACGTTTATACATTCCACGTTGTGAAATTAATATAGATATTATGTTCTATTATTCTAAATGATCAATTTTTGGCCAGTGATCTTAGGTTTATTAATAAAAAAAAATTAAAATCAATTAGATATGATTTGATTGATCTTTTCAGTTTTTATAAGAACATAGGTGATCCTCTCAATTATAAGATTTCTTATTATTTTAGTGAATTATGAAAGTTCTAACCTACATATTGGGCCTCTCGAAGGAAAAAAAAAAAAAAAATCAATATTGTATAATTTTGGAGAAAAAAAAGATACCCTTCTATCTTGAACCGACAACCTTTTAATTAGTAGTTATCTTTTTCTGTCATCTATTTGTCATTTGCTTTTTGTATTGAGAATAACAATGATTTTCTTATTAATCCATTCATATTTTATTATGAATTTCTGGTTTAAATAAATTTCATATAGGCTTCGAAATATAAAATGAATTAAATTAACAATCAGACATGTTTTGAAATGATAGACGTGGTCTCTCTCTAATTTTATTTTTTTAGTTTTGTTTTTTTTGTTTGTTTTTTTGTTTTTCTTAAAATTCTCAAATATGTGTCTATTTAATACAAATCAGATATATTTATTTAAAGAAATTTTGGACATATACATTCTCGGATTTATTTGTTTTTATGAGATTTTTTGTTTTATTTATTTATTTATTTTTAAGATTATTGTCACAACTTTCATGGTGACGGAGGATTGTCAAATCAAACCTATTAAAAGACTATAGAATTCAATAATAGTTGTAAATCGCTATCAAGTGGAGTGTTTATCGACGGATGACATAAGTCTATTGCTCTTTCATCTTGAATAAATCTCTCAAATCAAGTTGAAGTTTTTTTTTTTTTTTTTTTTTTTTTTTTTTTTGACGGAGGATTGTCAAATAAACCTATAAAAGACTATAGAATTCATAATAGTTTTGAAATCGCTATCAAAGTGGAGTGTTTTATCGACGGATGACAATAAGTCTATTGCTCTTTCATCTTGAATAAATCTCTCAAATCAAGTTGAGTTTTTTTTTTTTTTTTTTTTTTTTTTTTTTTTTTTTTTTATTATTTGTACAAGTAGTTTATAGTTAGGCTCCCTACAGTGATTTCATATTTGTATGTTTCATTTTAATGATTTTTTTTTTCTAAAAGAAAAAATAGCATAGCTCCCTTCCCGTTGCTACCAAATAAAATATAGCAAAATCATTTATTTAATAATAAAAAATATTAACGATAGTACCCCTTCCATTTTATCAAAAAAATAAAAATCTTAGCTGGACATAATAATACATAAATAAATATAATGTTAGGTTGGATATGATGAGTCGATTCCACTTCAAACATGTACAACGTTTTGCCCATCGAAATCATGTAAAAGATAATTGTCATTTGCTTCATTAATTGTTTGGTAGCATGCAAAAAATCATATCTTGCTTTGCTCTTATTATTATTTTATACTCTCATTATTAGCTTTCATTTTCATCTTTTATTATTTTATTTTATTTAGTAGCTTCAAGAAAACTATTTTACTTATTATTATTTTTTTATTTTAAAAATCAATGTTTTTTTCGGAACCTAAGAGATCATGATTTAGATCCCAATTAACTAAATGTTAATTAGTGTATCATCCGAAGAAAGTAATATCATATTACTCTTTTGATGTCTCTATGGATTAAATATTTGAAGAACATACTTCAATTTTTTTTTTTTTTTTAATTCTATTCTTAATCTCACAATGATAACAACTTTTTATCCTTTTCTGTTTGGGCTGATTTTTGCTCTATTCTTATTCATAAATTAAATTTCGTTACATAAATTATATTTGAGCCTGTAAATTATTTTTTACCAAAGACTTGAATTAATTCAAAATGCATGCCCCTTATTTTTCTATTCAATATTGACTATTCAATATTGTCATTTTAGAAAGTATTCAAGAAAAACCTTCCTCGCTCCATTCCAAAAAAATAATCCATCTTTTCATTTTGGTTTGTTTCAAAATATAATTCTTTTATTTTTTATACATTGTAGTTAATCTTTAAATTATGGATTATGCCTTTATTAAATTTTTTCTTTTTTTTTAATAATTTTCATTAATTCTTTCCTTTTTTTTTTTTTCAAATCAATCTTACTTTAAATTCATTTGTTATTTAATAAATAATTTTATTCTTCTATCTTCTTGAAATTTAAAAAGTTGTGAACATTGGTCACTCTCATTAATTGCAATTTATATTTTTCATTTTATAGATCAATGTAGTTTTTATTATTTCAATATAATAATTGCTCATGTGTTATTTAAGATGAATATAATAGGTCACTGTTAATAACAAAATTGTTCACTAATCATAATAACTTATATTTATTAATCTAAGTGAAAAAAGAAAATTAGAAAAGAAAGTTGGCTATCTTTTTGAGACAGAGAGGGTATATATCTATATGTATTATATAATCCGATCGATATACCTATCAAAACTGAATTCCTCCCTGAATATTTTAAAAATGTACATTACATATTTAAGAATTATCTTCATTATTCATCAAACTTAATTTTAAAATTATAGCAAACAAATACATAAAGAGTACACATTTATTGGCAACAATCCAAAAAAGTTACACACAAACCACAAACCTAATTATTAAAGACCTTACATTACAAGAACAACATACAACTTTATTATTGATCACCATAGGCAAGCAAAGGGACATAAACAAGATTATCTCCTTTAAAGAAATGACAAACAGGAATAGTTCCAGGTTTAATTCCAAGCACACGAAACGATGCATGATTATGACTCCATTGAGAAGTATCCATATGACAAACAGCAACAGCTTCTACTCTTCCTCCATTTTCACCTTTCAGTGAAAGCACAAACACTTTATTCTCAGTCTGTTGGCTATGGCAATAGAACACCGTATATGCATACGGCATCGTATGGCAAGCCACCATCTTTGGAACGGGTATCTCCTTAGGTTCTTGCATTATTGTATAATTATCTAAATGGGTCTTTGATTTTATAAGATGTGTGGTTGTTAAAATCTTGAATTTTGTCTCTAATCCAAAAGTTTCGCGTACAAAATCAACCATCGACTCTAAAGAAGTAGCACAAATTTTTGTTTCTCCTTTGATGGGTTTAAGTTCACATTCTTTTAGAGTATTTTCCATGGCTATGGCTTGAGGAGAGTTTGGAGAGATGGAAAATAATTTAAGGAGGTAAGGAAAGTCTTTGTATGAAAAAGGAATGGAATCTGCTTCTGCTTTATGAGGAGAGTTTGGAGAGATGGAAAATAATTTAAGGAGGTAAGGAAAGTCTTTGTATGAAAAAGGAATGGAATCTGCTTCTGCTTTATGTAACATAGGTGGAGTAGATGAAGAATCTTTCATAGGAAAATAAATCGGCATTTTCTTGCCTATTTTGAGATCATCTAAAGTGAAAAAGATCATCATTGATGGATCCAAGTGATCCATATGAGATGATGATGGACTTGCCTGTGCATGATCACTCGGAAGTCTCAAAACATTGTTGCTCTTAGTTATCATCTCTCTTGCTCCCTCACTTCCATGAGAACTCTGCAAATTATTTTAATGAGCTATTAATGTATTATAAATGGAAGTAATGAATTAATTATGCAGTGAAGCGTTTAAATAGATTTAATTACCAGAACTAGAAGAAGATGAAGGAGGAAGATCTTGATTGGAAAATGTATGCCCATGGTTCTTTGATCCTTTTTGCTCAGTGTATTATCTGTTCAAATTTAGTGCTTCTTCTTCTACTTGAAAGAGAGAAACTTGAGAAAGGTCGACTAGATCTTTTTCTCTCTCATACATTATTTATTTATAATTGAGAAACTTCTCAATCATATTTTATTAACGGCGGTGATAATTTCGTTTTTTTATAAAAAAGTTATTTCTAAATTTCCATATATATAACCTTAAGTTTTTCTTGAATTTCTAAATATATTAGATTTTGTTATATGTTATTGATATTTTTCAAAATTTTAAAGACAAATCTTATAAAGAGCAAGGAATAAATGTGAGAGTTCCACAAAACAGTTATTACATTTCTTTTTATTCTATTCTGCAAATCAAATAAGGCTTTAAGATAGTTGATACTGAGTTTGTGCTTTGTTCTTATTCCATCCATTTGGATTTTGTACACTCAAACATAATGTTTCTTTTTTCTTTTTTTAAATTTCTCATATGTTATGTATATATTTAAAGAAAAAAAAAGGTATAATACTGACAAATTGGTTTAGCTCTAAAGTAATGTAAATTCTCAATAATTAAGTTTTTCATTTTTTTAAAATTATGGGTATCTCTATTTCATTAATTAATGTTATAGTGACATGTAAACTGAAATTTAATTATCTAATTCTCACTGTATATAAAATGTGAGAAACGATTAACCAATGATAAATATATAGTTAATAATACAATGATAGATTAATTAATATTGACATAGTACATATACAAATAGTATTTTATTAATGAAAAATGTATAAAAAATAGACAGAAATATATAACAGTGTAACATACGCAAAAAACATAGAGATAAAAAAATTATGTATTTCTGAAAATACATGGAGCAAATTTGTATTTTATGGCATAAAAGCATAAATTTCCCAACAATGTATGTATAATACTCTTATATGTGTTTTTTTTTTTGCAAGTAGGCAAAAGGCCAAAGTTAATAATTAGACTCTTTTGTCATTGTACAACTAATGGATTTTGGTATCAGGCCCATCATCAGGTTTTTTTTTTTTTTTTTTTTTTTTTTTTTTTTTTTTTTTTTTTTTTTTTTTTTTTTTTTTTTTTTAATTTATTTGTCATCTATATCTTTTTTTCACATCTGATCCATTACAATTTTGAATATATTCAATATTGGTTTATTATGCAAAATAAACTAATTATAAGCCAAATGCATAAATATATTCCTCCATACTAAAAAAAGATTTACACCTCATATTTTACAAAGATTGTTTTACGCCTAAAATTATAAATTTTAATAATATTGTACATAATTATACATTAGTAATAATAGGTTTTTGGTACTTTTCGATTTTGTATACAGAATATTAATCTGAAGTATGATTATTACAATTTTAGAATAATAATTTTAATATTTTTCAACTATTAAATAAGTATTCAATTGATCAAACTTTACAAGTTAGAATGTCCAATCAAAAAATGCTGTAAATTAAAGTGCTTAATAGGTATAATTTTATAAATTAAAGTGTTCTAAAGATAAAATTAAAATTTAAAAGTTTGAAATTTTTTTTATATAAAGTTCATTTAGCCTTAATTAAATAATCATACATCAGTAAGAATTGAATTTGAGATATTGACTCAATCACTTGGCTAACAGGCATTTAGTTGAACTGTTTGTACCAACTGATATCGGATGTTTATAATTGCTAGTTGGTGTTGATAGTTATTAATTGAGAATGTATAATTTTTTTATATTACTCTCATAGACAATATATGTTATTTTTTTAAGGTAAATATATTATTTTTTTATTTTAACAAAATCGTACATCTGTGCATTGCTCAGATTATAGTATAATCTTTTAGTGAAAATATTAAATACTTTATTTATTAATAATTTATGATATAATTACTCTCCTAAAAAATAATTTATTTTGTCATTCTAGCATGGTAACTTTGCATCTTTGCGGATTTAAATGATAATCTAGTTCTTTGCATTGAAACCCAAAATAATCACGTGAAAGGATAAAAAAAAAAAAAAAAAAACGTGAAAGGATAAAAAAAAAAAAAAAATCTTTTGAAAAAAAAAAAAAAAAATCTTTTGAAAAGGTTGTTTGCTTGTGGATTTCATTTCCCTGTCACTGTATTCTATTTTTGCTTTTGGTTTTCAGTATTTCATACCCTTTTTTGGTTTGTAAATTTGGTTTATTGTTGTAGATCAACATTTTCTTTTTCTGGTTGAAAATTGATGAAATCTATGTGTTTCTCCAATTATTACATGGTTAGCAATAGCAACTTAGCAAACAGAGCAATCCATGTTAGTAAATAATTAGCTAGCTTTCTAAATATTTCAAGAATAAAATGATATATATTTCAATATTTATTTTGCATTCCCAATTCTAAAGATAAAACTAAAGTGATGCAAACATATATAGAAACATATGATGCAAGAGAAACTTCTTACATAGCTTAAACACACAAAGTCCGTTATTCAAGTACATCACAAATCATATTCTAATTTGAAATGCAACAAACATAATGGTTCTCTCATGAGGGAAATGCAATAGCTTGTCTTCATTAATTACTCTGGTAAACTAAAACGTCTGGCCCATCATTGGAAAATGTCTTCTTTGCTTTGAGAGCTACATCATCATGGTAAATCGAACCGTCATTTTTTGTCTCAAAATATGGCGTTTGTTCTTTAAGTGTAACATCATTGTGATATATAGATAGATCAAGCCTCGGATCAAACTCCTTTTTGAGACCTGCATCATTATGGTGATTTGTAAAATCATGTTTTGTCTCAAAATATAGCTTATGTGCTTCAAGATTGGCATGGTTGTGGTTTTCAGTTGTGCGACAATCGGCTTTCTCTTTTGTGGAGGTAGAAGCTTCAACGAGTGCTTGTAATGCTTCTGGCAGTGGCTGATCTTTCATTTCCCTACTCCAATATTCACCCACATCTTTTCTTGCATTGACAGTGCTTGAGAACTGCAAAATAAAAATAATAAAACTCACTCGTCAGTTTATTTAAGAAAAATAAAACTTATATCATTAATGGGTTTCAATTAGCTAATCTTCATTGATCCATTAATGTATTTAAACACACATACACATTAAGAACAGACTTTTTTCTTTTTTTTTTTTTTTTTTTTTTTTTTTTTTTTTTTTTTTTTTTTTTTTTTTTTTTGAAATTTCATTACTAATTAACAGACTATTACTAACCAAGATAAGTAAGAAGATAGAGAGGAAAGCAAAAAGCAATTTCATCTTTTTTGCAGAGAAGAAATTAGACAATGTGTAGTGTTATTTGAGTGGATATCCGTCGTCCCTGATATCGTCACTATTTATAGCCAAAATCAAAGAATGCAAAAATATAAAGAAATTATTATGTAAGGTGCAAATAAGGTGACCTCTCATTTCATATTGTCCTTCTTGTCGTAATACGACAAATAAATATCATAATCTTGGGAGGTACCCAAATCGTGTATTAGGTACCCAAATAACATACGACGTAATTACTATATGTAATCTCTAGGTTTTATTCAAATATACTAATAAAACTTTAGTTTCTAAAATTATACTACGAAGTCTTTACATTATAATTTCGTTACACTATAGAGTCTAATTATTAGTTTTTTCGTTAAGTGACTGTAAAATATTAAAAGCACCCCTAAACATAATTAGTATATAATCCTTACTATTAGGTGAAATACACTAATAAAGACATTATTTTTCATACCTTTACATTATTTAATCCCTATATATAGTAATTGTGTTTAGGGTTATTTTTAATATTCCACAACAATTTAATAAAAAAAAAACTAACCGCTGGACCTTATAGTATAATAGAATTATAATGCTGAGATTAAATAGTGTAATTTTAAAAATGAAAGTCTTTACTAATGTATTTGATATAAACCTAGGAACTATATAGTAATTAACACATAACATAATCTTAGGCTAATTACTGTTTAGTCTTATATTATAATCAAATATATAAATTAGGAATTTAGTTTTTTCAAAATTCTATTTTTTTTTCCTACCCTAAAACTTTTGCGAGTACAAGATTAGTACATTATGAATACTGGAATAGATTTGAGGTCATTAAAAAGTACAATTTTATAAATTAAAGTATTCTAACAGGTAGAAGTGAACTTTAAAGGTTTGAAATATATAATTTAGTTTTTTCAAAATTCTATTTTTTTTTCCTACCCTAAAACTTTTGCGAGTACAAGATTAGTACATTATGAATACTGGAATAGATTTGAGGTCATTAAAAAGTACAATTTTATAAATTAAAGTATTCTAACAGGTAGAAGTGAACTTTAAAGGTTTGAAATATATATATATATAGTATATATATTATTATATATATTATATATATATATATATATATATATATATATATATATATTAGACTACCCATATAGTATAAGTACATTTAGGGCCTTAATTAAGTATTAAACATCAGTAAAAATTGAATTTTTAACGATATTTTGATTCCTATATAAAGTACATTTAGCCTTAATTAAGTAATTAAACATCAGTAAAAATTGAATTTAAGATATTTTGATTCCAAAACTCAACGCTTTAATCACTTGGCTAAAATACATTTAGTTTAACTGTTTGTACTTGCTGATATCGGTTGTTTATAATTGCTAGTTCGTGGCTGATAGTTATTAATTGATAATGTATAGTTTTTTTTATATTACTCTCATATACAATATATGTTATTTTTTAAGGTAAATATATTATTTTTTTTATTTTAACAAAATCATACACCTGTGCATTGCTCAAATTATAGTATAGTCTTTTATTGAAAATATTAAATACTTTATTTATTAATAATTTATGATATAATTACACTCCTAAAAAATAATTTATTTTGTCATTCTAGCATGGTAACTTTGCATCTTTGCGGATTTAAATGATAATCTAGTTCTTTGCATTTAACCCCAAAATAATCACATGAAAAGGAAAAAAAAAAAAAAAATCTTTTGAAAAGGTTGTTTGCTTGTGGATTTCATTTCCCTCTGTATTCTATTTTTGCTTTTGGTTTTCAGTATTTCATACCCTTTTTTGGTTTGTAAATTTGGTTTATTGTTGTAGATCAACATTTTCTTTTTCTGGTTGAAAATTGATGAAATCTATGTGTTTCTCCAATATTACATGGTTAGCAATAGCAACTTAGCATACAGAGCAATCCATGTTAGTAAATAATTAGCTAGCTTTCTAAATATTTCAAGAATAAAATCATATATTTTCAATATTTATTTTGCATTCCCAATTCTAAAGATACAACTAAAGTGATGCAAACATATATAGAAACATATGATGCAAGAGAAACTGCTTACATAGCTTCAACACACGAAGTCCGTTATTCAAGTACATCACAAATCATATTCTAATTTGAAATGCAACAAACATAATGGTTCTCTCATGAGGGAAATGCAATAGCTTGTCTTTATTAATTACTCTGGTAAATTAACATGTCTGGCCTATCATTGGAAAATGTCTTCTTTGCTTTGAGAGCTACATCATCATGGTAAATTGAAGCGTCATTTTTTGTCTCAAAATATGGCGTTTGTTCTTTGAGTGTGACATCATTTTGATATATAGACAGATCAAGCCTCGGATCAAACTCCTTTTTGAGACCTGCATCATTATGGTGATTTGTAAAATCATTTTTTGTCTCAAAATATAGCTTATGTGCTTTAAGTGTGGCATGGTTGTGGTTTTCAGTTGTGCGAAAATCGGCTTTGTCTTTTGTGGAGGTAGAAGCTTCAACAAGTGCTTGTAATGCTTCTGGCGGTGGCTGATCTTTCATTTCCCTACTCCAATATTCACCCACATCTTTTCTTGCATTGACAGTGCTTGAGAACTGCAAAATAAAAATAATAAAACTCACTCTTCAGTTTAATAAAGATAAATAAAACTTATATCGTTAATGGGTTTCAATTAGCTAATCTTCATTGATCCATTAATGTATTTAAACACACATACACATTACTAACAGACTTTTCTTTCTTTCTTTTTTTTTTTTTTTTTTTCTTTTCTTTCTTTCTTTTTTTTTTTTTTTTTTTGATTTCATTACTAATTAACAGACTTCTTACTCACCAAGATAAGTAAGTTATGTAAGATAAAGAGGTTTTTTTTTTTTTTTTTTTGAAATTTCATTACTAATTAACAGACTCTTACTCACCAAGATAAGTAAGAAGATAAAGAGGAAAGCAAAAAGCAATTTCATGTTTTTTGTAGAGAAGAAATTAGACAGCGTATAGTGTTATTTGAGTGGATATCCGTTGTCCATGATATCGTCACTATTTATAGCCAAAATCAAAGAATGCAAAAATATAAATAAATTATTATCTAATGTGCAAATAAGGTGATCTGCCCATTTCATATTATCCTTCTTGTCGTAATACGACAAATAAATAACATAATCTTGGGAGTTACCCAAATCATGTATTAGGTACCCAAATAACAAATAACATAAGAGGCAATTACTATATGTAATCTCTAGGTAATATAATGTTGGGACTATATAGTAATTACTCCATAACATAATCTTGGGCTAATTGCTGTTTAGTTTTTATATTATAATCAAATATATAAATTAGGAATTTAGTTTTCAAGATTCTATTTTTTTTTCCTACCCTAACGCTTTTGCGAGTACGAGATTAGTACATTATGAATACTGGAATAGATTTGAGGTCATTAAGAAGTCTGATAAAAAGTCCAAGAATCATAGGTCGGAGAAGGGAAGTAAGGGATATGGTATATCTCTCTACACTAGGAGATCTATCTCTGCATTATAGCATAAAAACATCTGGCAATCTTTCTTCTAAATTGAAGAGTTTGGAAAGAAGTTTATCTTGGGAGAGATGTTTTATCACCTCCACACAAAGAAGAAAGACAACGACAAGTTTGTTTATAGATGATTAGTGCGAGTATTTGCAAGTTTGTTTGTTAAATTTCACTTTAATTCATTAATTAGCATGTTGGTACAAGATAGAGTGTCCAAATTATGCAATTTAAAAAGCTGCTTATCATGATACACTATAATATTTGTATCGTAATATCGTTCAATTTAGCATATATTGATGGTAGGAGAACTACCAAAATAAAATGAGTAAGAATTCCCAATGCCAAACAGAAGAAGGGTAAGAGCAGTTGCTTTGGGATGATAATAAAAGAGTATTGAGGTTTCAGGATGATGACATTATTAATATTTGAGAAATTTACTATTACGTTCCCGTATTTATGGAAATACAATTATTCAGTTCCTGCATTTTTAGAAATACATCTTAAAATTATTATGTTTTCATTTCGACATGACTTTTAGTCTTTCATCCAATTTTCTTCAATTTTTCTGTTCGTCAACTGAATAAAAAAGGGTCAAAAGAGAGTTTAAAATTAATCTAAAAATACCCCTTTTATTTTCTATTATCTTCCCCACCGTCATCTTCTCTCGTGGACCTAACCCAACCCAAAATATCATCACGCACTAGTAATGGAAGCTGGGATGGAGGCTTGCAATACATGCCAAAAAGGACATACATGCCTCTAAATATGCATCGGATTTAGATGTTGGCTGTTATTGACGTGGAGAGAACAGCGAGGTAGTGTTCTGCAATTCATACCTTGAATCAATGCCAAGAAGGACATTAGAGGACTTGAGATTGCCGTGGACAAGCCTCCATGCTTGGTGGACTTGAGATTACGATGACCTTTACGTGGGCATTGAGCCAATCGCCTATATAGCTGTACGGTGTACCTAAGTCGAGCCCTATCTCAGTTTTGGCTGACCTTCATGCAAAGTAGGCAATTTTCGATCTGCGATTAAATATTTCGTTGATTTTTATTTTGATTTTGAATATTTTGTTGGTTTTTCATATTAAAGTTGTTGGGATGAAATTTAATGGTAGATTTGGTAATAAAGACAATGGAGGAGATAGTTCAGTTAAAAATCAAAATTTCAGAGAAGGATGAGGATGTTTTTATCTTTTTTTATTGACTTAACGACCGAATTAGTTAAAATTGGACGAAATGACTAAAAGTTGTATTGCAATGAAAACACATAGACTAGAAAAAGTATTTCTAAAAATGCAGAGACTGACTAATTGTATTTCAATATATACAGGATGAAATAATAATTTTTCCTTTATATTTTCATTCCACATCATGGTTTAGATCCAAACTGAATGTTAGTGTATCATCCAAGAAAGTAATTTCATTTTAATATTTTTATTTAGAATATAGTAATTATCTTTCGTTTATTATTATAAAGATTGACTCAAAATATTTTAGTAAAATTTTACGCAAAATTAAGTTTTTTTAATCTTTTTTCAGAAGAAATCAAAATTGAAAATTTCATTAAAAGAAAATTGTATAATTATATGAAATAAAAAAAACCAACGAAGTATACTTTTATATATAAAGTCTGGTAATAAATCACTTATACTAAGAATAAAAAGAAATATAATTTTGACTTGAAATATCTGATTGAGTTAATAGAGCATAATACATGTACCACAGTCAATTAGTCACTCCACTTAGTGGCTGTTCATGGCCATTGTTCAATTCCATATTATCTTTCCACAAATCTAATCTGATTACTTTCAAGTTTTTTTCCCTTTTATTAGAGAGGACAACTGCATTTTCTTTACATAATTGCCCAAATAATAAAACATCATAAACAAAATCATCATAACGGTGACAATAATAAACCAGAAACTGTCAAAATGACTAGATTTTAGAACATAAAAGCATATGGACAATAATAATCTCAATATATGAACAACAATAACTCAGTACAAAAGAGACAAACTGAAGATTATTCAGAAGAAAAAAATAAAAACAAAGAAGGAAAATGGGTAACCACTAGTGGGAGCTCCTTGGTAGCCATGATGTAAGAACAAAGGTGGGTTTTTAAGATTTTTTTTTTTTAGAGAGATATTAATTCCGTATTCGGTTTTTAATTCTATGCTTTGTTGGTAGGTTAAGTTTTTGTACTTAAGAGTGTGGCTTCTATATGCTTTTGCTTAGTGATCACCATATTCACGACGTAGTAGAAGTAGAACTAGCATGTGACAATGCTAGCCTAAAGGGATGATGATTATCATCCCTGCTCTAAAAATTATCATTCAATCATGCATATAATTTGTTCATAATATATGCTTGGATTCTATGGCACGAAAAACTCCAATACAATGTCAGAACAACCAGCACATAGCTCAAAGCCATTGCCTCAGCAATAATTAAAACCTGAGAAACCAGCCATGAAAGACCAATATCATTGCACTTAACAGCACCATACCCCCACGTTGTTATTTTGATTCATTGTGTCTTCTCTTGTCTAAAAAAAATAAAAAAAGTATTCTCATACAAAATTTTAGGATTACTCATTTTCATCTTTCTATTTTGCATAAGATTTGCAATGTGCATTGCATTCATAAGGAGGCACCTTTGTTATGGGTTCGGATAGGTTTTTTAACAGTGTTTTGGAAGCGCGACCGTTTCAATAATTGCTGGATATAATAGATTTTAGATGTTTTGTATTGTGAGCTTTAAGTTTATTATTCTTTCCATGACTTATATTTCACGTTGATTTTAATCGTTATTCGTACTCGTTCAATTTTTTTTTTACGTCATTGCTAATTTTTACTTATTTTTATATTTGTTTTTATTCTGTAATATTAAATATTGATTATAATTTTTATTTTATATTACTTAGATTTTTGTAATGTTAAAACCAAATTTCATATAAAATTAATGTGAATATAATGATTAATTAATAACACATCAGTGTGTACATACACACATATCTCAGTTTAATTTATATCGTCATTTTTCTAAAATTTATTATAACTGAATATGTATAATTTTATAATATCACCTAATAAATACATTTCAATACATATAGATATATAGATATAAAAATAAAATATATACCATTTCAATACATAATAGATATATGGATATATAAAATAATAATATTATATATATTTTTAAATTTTAAATTTCAACTGTATTATATATATTTTTAAATTTTAAATTTTCAACTGTTTATCAGCACACACATATATGTTCATTTTTTTTTAAAAATAAAATTTGAAAAGTAAAACTTTAAAAATTTTAAAATACTTAATTATGTGTATTCTATTTGAGAATTTATTTTTTAAAAAATATATTCAATCAAATTATACAAACACAAAGAAAAAAGAATATTATAAAAAAACATACTTTTTTCTTTTTTTGTTATCTCTCTCCTAAATAAAATATTCTAAATTATAATAACAACATCAAATATTTAAAAAATAAAATATAAAAATTTTCAAATGTCTAATTACCATATATATTTATTTAAAAATAAATGGAAAAGAAATAAAACTTAATTGAAATGTTCAATTATCTACATGTATTTATTTAAAAAATAATTTAATAAATTATATGCAATCAATTAATAAAAAATAATTTTCTAATCGATCATGGCTAAGGTTATTTTTGAATATTCAAATCTTATTAAAGACGCTATAGAAAATCTCATTATTTTTCATATTTCCATATTTATATATAGTATAGATTTATGAGAGAATAATTGTTTTATTTGTGAGATATAATTTTTATCATTGTAATATTTTAAATAGATTTAATATATTAATGTTTATTAAAAATTTGCAATTTTATATTTATTTCATTTTTTATTTTAATTTAATTTATAAAATTTTAGAAATGGATTTAGGGATGAATTAGAAACTAACAATCCAAACCGAACACATCCACTGATTTAGAAACGGAATTAGCAACGACTAAGAATAGATTCAGAAATATACATTTAGAAAAAGATTTAGAGACGGAATAGATATGGATCGTAAATGAAATTTGACCTTAACTTGCATCTAAATTTCAGATGTAAGACCATTTAGAAACAGATTTATTGTTTCTAAAGTAGCAACAGACTGAAATCCTATCCTAAATAGATTTAGAAACGCGCCAAGTAAATAGGATTTTTCCGTTTCTGCTCCGTTTCTAACGTGATGCAATGATTTTTGGCTTTAGAAACGGAATATTGTTGCTAAATAGGAATTTTCTTGTACTCATATATATGTATGCTAACAATAATAGTATTTAAGGTATTTGACTTTCATACGCAAAATATATTTTGATTTGATGTATATTTAATATTTTTAAAATAATAATTTTTTACTATTCTCAACTATCCCATAAGTGTTTAAACTCTTTGAAAAAAAGTGCTTAAACAATCTAAATTTATAAATTGGAACTTTCAAGAATGATAATTGCAAGTTAAAGTGTTTAAAATAAATATATTAAAAATATTGTTTTATTTATTTTTGTTCATTTAGTGCAAAGTTGAGACAATGATTATAAAAAACTAAATTTTAGGTAAATTAGTCACTTGTTTGCGGGTTGCGTGAATTTTAAAATGATTTATAATACCAAATAAATAGACTTAATATTTAACTAGAATTTTACTTCAATATCACATTTAGCTTTACATATATAATATAGTACAATTTGTGATATATACTTAATAGTATCAAAAAAAATTCGTACAAATACTAATTAGTCTAAGTATGAGAGAGAGAGAGAGAGTAGAGAATACATACGATTATGGCTTTATTTATTTATTTATTTATCAATATGAATGGACATAATGATTTATTTATCAATATGATAGAAATATGAATGGACATAATGATAGAAAATATACGTTTGGAAGTTTGTTGGCAAAGAAATCAATTATGTAAGTAACTATATATGAGAGAATTTCAAAATTGAAAACTGAAATTGAACATATATAAATAGCAAAATAAAATAAAAAAAAGTAAATATAATTTTTTTTAACATAGAAAAAAAAATTTTTATGAATAGGATAAATATGAAGAGATAATGATACAAAAGAGAAAATAAAAAATTGGTAGATCAAAAAAAAATATATATGAGTAACTATAAATGAGAGAGTCTCAAAAAAGAAAAGTATAGATGTAATTAGATAAACATAAATAATTAAAAGAATAAGTAAATAAAATTTTTTAAAATGAAAAAATAAAGAGTTTTATTATTAGTAGAATAAATTATTATTTGAATTATTAATAATTGCAGAAAAAGAAAATAAAAAGTCCTTCATGGATGAGTTTAATAATTTAATTTCTTCAAATTAGAAAGTTAAATAAAAAAAATTAAGAATGATGAAATTCCACATCAGCAACAAGTTTTTCATATTGTGCTACATCATCAAATGTGCTTCAACTTTTATATATTTATATATAGATAGATAAATTCTATGTCGCGTTTAATATGAAGGACTGAGGGGTAATTTTTTTTTTTTTTTTTTTATTCGGCGTTAATATGAAGGACCATGAGGTAATTTTTTTTTTTTTTTTTGATACATGGAAGGACCAACGGACTGGAATAACATTGTGGACTATATATCAGGGTCTAGCCCTTCCTTTTAAATAACATTCACCAAATTGATGATAATATATATGTGGTGGAGAGGAATCGAACTGTATTTATTTTTCTTTTGGTTTTCAGTATGTTCATACCTTCATTGATGTGTAATTCCCTCCAATAAGGGTTATTCAAATAAAAGAAGAAGAAGATTATACTGGCTTTGTTTAGGATTTTATTTTGTTGTTGTATATCAATATTTTCTTTTTCTGGTTGAAAATTGATGAAATCTCTGTATTTCTCCAATATTACATGGTTAGCAACTTATCAAACAAAGCAATCCATGTTAGTAGATAAGCTAGCTTTGTAACTATGTCATCTCTGTTTCAATAATAAAATCATATTTCAATATTTGTTTTGCATTTCCATTTCTAAATTTTACATATATATCTTAATTTTACCTATATATATAATTATATTATTATATATATATATAATTTTTTTTTTTTTTTTTTATTTATTTATTTTTTTTTTGAGTAATGGGAGAGGGGATTTGAACCTGGATCTATTATCAGACCATAGCTTAAACACACAAAGTCCTTTATTCAAGTAGGCCACTAATCACACTGACCTAATTTGAAATGCATCAAACATGAGTGACTGCAATAGCTTGTCTTCATGAATCACTCTGTATAAAACCAAGCATCATTGGAAAATGACTTCTTTGCTTGGAAAATGACTGCATCATCGTGTTCAATTGTCAAATCATTTTTTGACATTTGTTTTTTGGGTGTGGCATCATTGTGATATATAGAGATATCTTGCTTCGACTCAAACTCCTCTTTGAGCTCTATATAGTTTTTTGTCTGAATATGGGGTAGTCGGGAGGGGGAGAATTGTTGTGGGCTCCCTCCAACATGTGGGACCCACACACAATTGAAAAGAAAAAAAAAGAAAGGGCACGTTTTTTTTTTTTTTTCAAAGGTTGGCGGCCAACAAGTCAAAGGTTGGCATGCCATTTGACAAAACGGAGAGACGTGTATTAGTAATGCACAGCTCTCTCAAATCCTCTCTCGTAACCTCTCCTATAAATAAAGGTAGTGAATCCCTCTTCAATGTACAAAAAATAAATAGAATAGAAATATACAAAAAGTGTATAAAATTTTAAGAAAGGGTTCCTAAAGTTGGGAAAGAGAGAAAATAGTGAGGAAACTAATTTTTTGGAGTGTTTTTTTTTTGGAAAACACTTAGAGTGCCACTATTTTTGTAATCTCTTTTGTACCTACTATTTTTAGTAGAAGAATTATTCGAAGTTTTTGTCCCGTGTACGTAGCCCATAACGCCCAATAACAGTTGAAGGGTGAAACACGCTAAATCTGGTGTTCTTATTTTTTCATCTGGCATTTATCGGTAATTATTTATTATTGGTTCGTGGTTTATTATTTTTCATCTGGCATTTATGGTAATTATTTATTATTGTCGTGGTTATTATTTTTTGTGGATTCGATCGTCAATATCCAATACGAAATTATTGGAGGTATATGTGGTAATAGCAATTTTATTTTACTTTTACCACAGGTATTTTTCCGCAAGCCTCACTCGGGATCAGTTATTATCCCAACAGTTTTTTGAGTGTTGCATCATTGTGATATATAAAGATATTAGGCCTCGGGTCAAACTCCTCTTTGATCTCTACATCATTTTTTTGTCTCAGAATATGACATTTGATTTTTGAGTGTTGCATCATTGTGATATATAGAGATATCAGGCCTCGGCTCAAACAGCTCTTTGAGCTCTACATCATTGTGATATATAGAGATATCAGACCTCGGCTCAAACTTCTTTTTTGAGCTCTACATGGTAAATTGAAGCGTCATTTTTTTGTCAAAATATGGCTTCTGTGCTTTAATTGTGGCATCATTGTGACTTTCAGTTGTATGACAATTGACTTTCTCTTTTGTGGAGGTAGATGAGGTTGGAGAAGCTCCATCAAGTCCTGTAATGCTTCTGGCAATGGCTGATCTTTCATTTCTCTACTCCAATATTCAGCCACATCTTTTCTTGCATTGACAGTGCTTGAGAACTGCAAAATGAAAATAATAAAACCCATTGTTCACTTTAATTAAGATAAATAAACTTATATCATTAATGGGTTTCGGTTGCTTTCTCAATTAGCCAATCTTTATTCATCCATTATCTATATACACTCACACATTAACAGACTCTTGCTCACCATGATAAGTGAGAAAATGGAGAGCAATGCAAAGAGCAGTTTCATGTTTGCGTAGAGAAGAAATTAAACTATCTATGGTGTTATTTGAGTGAATAACCGTCGTCCAGGATATCCTCACTATTTATAGCCAAAATCAAAGAATGCTAAAATATAAATAAATTATGTAAACGTGACCTTTCATTTCATATGTTACATCTTATTGTAATACGACAAATGAATAAAGTTAGAGTATTTTTTAAAATTTCTACGAGTACTCTAACACCCGTCGGATATAAGATTAACATTATTTTAGGGTTTATGGTTGTCTCAGTCTGCGAGCCCGTTTCAACAAATTGGATCGTTGCCATCTAAGAACTCAAATGTGTGCCTTACTATTTGTGCAGTTCCATATGGGTTTTCAAACTTCAATTTATAGTGATCTCCATATTATTTATTAAATTAACGAAATGAGTGATAAAATTTAAATATTTTATGGATTTGTCTGATTTATTAGATCATTGAAAAAAAGAAATACTGTAATCCACGGGATTGATGTATTCTTTGATGACCTCAATTCAATCATTTTAGAAGAGATGTGAGCTTATTGCGACATTTCATCATTTTCTACTAATGATAGAATTTAAACAACTTAATTTTATCTTAAAAATATTTTTCAAATTCATGAATTATGTTATCCGACCAAATGATGGAATGTAAATTTCATATTCGATAGGATGTGTTGTTTATCTGGTTCACTATTCTTTTGTGTGCCACAGTAAGTGACTTCCTCAATTCCTAATGGGTTTGCCCGATGATTATGAAGATAGGCGCTCCGGGCTCCGGCCTTTCTTCTTGATAGGACTCTAGCTCCTATACTAGTTGTTGATATTGCTCAGATTAAATCCGAGGAAATTAGAAAAAGACTACGACAACGCTTGCTTTTCTTCCATGCAGATTGTTCTTGCCACTTCTACTCACACTCGATTAAATTAGAATTAACGTAATAAGCACTAGTGATGTTGATGACTGTAGATTGATTCTTAATTATAGAAATAATATTGTCATTCGTTGGATTAGAAGACAAGCTAACATAGGGCTCACTTTTTAGCTAGATCTTCCCATCTTTGTGCTAGTCTCAAAGTCTAGTATTTCATCCCTAACTGTTTGTTATCTCTTCAGGTATTCTCATAAAGATAATTTTATCAGAAAAAAAAAAAATTTGTGGATAGATTTCTTTTATATATAAATAATTGAATGTTAGGTTGGATATTGTCATCCTGTTTAGAACATGTACAACTCTTGGAATTGTGGTTCTGAGCCTGTTTAGCTTTTTCGTTTCTTGTCAAAAATCACGTCAAATATCATTTCCATAATTCTCATTTGTCTGGTAGCATGCAAAAAATCTCATCTTTATATTTCGTGGCAAAATACACCAATTCTGTCAGCCTCAAGACATCTGCAAATATAAGAGAAGAATGCCTCTCTAGTAGCAATTACAATCCTTTTGGATAGGATAAGCCTATGCTTCCTCAGACATAAAATCTCATCTTGATTCGTTCTTGTCATTTTACGCCAACATTATTATAATTCCATTTCCATCTTTTATTATTGTATTAATTATTATTTTTTTATCAGCAAATTCAATTATTCTATATCTATCTATATAATATAATATATCAAAAGAGTAGTTTGCCTCATATGGAAGCTAAGTGTAAACAGCACAATTTGCCACTTTATTATGTTTTGGATTATAGAATAATAAATGTTAAAAGCACAAATAGGAAATGAAAAAAAAAATAAAATTTCATGCAAGTGTTTTATTAACTATACATATCAATGTGTCTTTTCATTCATCAAGATGTATATTAAAAAACAGATATTAAAAAAACAACTTTTCTTTTTATACAAGTATAATATCAAATTTTTACTTTATTAGAAAATTAAAGTGACATGTTTAAAAAAATAAACGAAACGAGAAGATATTTGTTACAATTACAATGGTGAAGATAAAAGATAAAAATGAAATTTGTCTATTAAAATGGGACGAAAATGAGAAAGTGAAATGACATTGTTAACGAGTCTTACTATTCTCTTATGTGTATTTTTTTTTTTTTTTTTTTAATGGAAAATGAGAAAGTTTGAAAATTTGACATTGTAACGAAGTTCTTTACTATTCTTCTTATGTGTATTTTTTTTTTTTTTTTTTAATCTCAGTTGCAGTTAAGAAATTTTTTTTTTTTTTTTTTTTTAATCTCAGTTGCAGGTTAAGGAAAAATTTAATAGTACCACACCTAAGCCATTAGGCCTCTCCAATACACAATATCCTAATCTTGGCATTCTTAAGTAAAAAATCTCTGAAGGAAAATAATTACATATACTTCCATACAATCTGGATAAGAGAACTCTTCTTGAGTTAAGAAGGTTTCATTTAACAAAACAAAAGATGTAGGCGTATCAACTCCTGTCTTTGCTAATCCATCAGCAAAATTGTTTCTCTCCCTGACCACATGACTAAAAACAATCTATGGAAGAGACTCTACCAAGAAATCCAACTTATTAAATAGTTCCCACCAATTCCATGTCCTTTCCTTTTTGTTTAACACCTAACAAGCAGCAGACTTTGAATCAGATTCAATACAAACAGGATAATATTGATGAGCTAACAAGGAAAGTAATTCAATAGCCTTTGCAACTGCATGAACCTCAGCTTCATTTGAATCTGCCAAGCCTATTGATTGAAAAAATATAACCAAGAACAACTCCCCTAGTATCTCTTAAAACGCCTCCAATACCTGCACAACCTGGATTTTCTCTAGATGATCCATCCATATTAAATTTGGGACAGCCACTTCATTAGGTGTCTCCCAAAGCAAACAAGATTTGTTACAAGGATTACCAAGAAGATCATGACTAGAGTATGATGAAACTCGAAGAGGATTCATAAGCTAGTCTAATTATAAACATAAGGGGTAGGAAACTTAGCTTTCAACAATTATTATTTAATAGCAACAAAAATAATTCTAAGTTCATATGTTACTTATATTACTCATTTTATTAATATATTGTTTAATAAAATTCGATGTTTAGCATACGAGATTAGAGAGCATTGGACAATGATTTAGATCCAAAACTAAATGTTAGTGTATTATCCAAGAAAGTAATTTCATATTAATCTTTTCATATAGGTCATAATAATGTTTAATTTATTATTATAAGATTAATTGGTAATTAAATTTAATTAATGACTCAAATTGATAAACATATATAAATTAATTGAATACACACTTCCAAAAGTGAATAATTCATGAATAGTCTATCGTTATAGGAGTTACATATATAGCCAACCTAAAACATAAAAAGTTAAGTGAAACAATCTATAGCAACATCAAAAAGTATAAATAGGCAATAAAGAGTTTAGAGGCTCATGTTATAAATTTAGAACTAGCGGATTAAACTTATTTTGACCTTATTGATGAGTCCACTTATAGATAAAACTAATAAAAATAGAAAATTTTCAAATATTATTTCCACCTTAAATTTATTAATACCCTTAAAAAAAAGTTATTTTTCATTTAGAGAGATGAGAGCCTTAGCATTGTTAGCATGCCTACCCATCTAAGAATAAAATGTTATCCTGCTCCAAAAATATCATGCAATAATGAAGAATATGTCCAAACTCTAAAAGGTCCAACTGACAGGATAGCATGGTACGAAAAACCTCCTTGCAATCAATTTCAATATCAATGTTAAAACACGCTTGTACAACTTAGCATTGTTAGCTTGCCTACCCATCTAAGAATAAAATGTTATCCTGCTCCAAAAATATCATGCAATAATGAAGAATATGTCCCAACTATAGAAGGTCCAACTGACAGGATAGCATGGTACGAAAAACCTCCTTGCAATCAATTTCAATATCAATGTTAAAATACGCTTGTACAACTTAGCATTGTTAGCTTGCCTACCCATCTAAGAATATAAAATGTTATCCTGCTCCAAAAATATCATGCAATAATGAAGAATATGTCCAAACTATAAAAGGTCCAACTGACAGGATAGCATGGTACGAAAAACCTCCTTGCAATCAATTTCAATATCAATGTTAAAATACGCTTGTACAACTTAAGCCAACGAAGCGCATACGTCAAAGCCATTGGCCTCAGAAATTCAGGTCCATTACCTCAATAATTAAAACCTGTCGAACCAGCCATGAGAGATCCAAGAACACCGCACCCAGCCTTCTTTTTGAGATGGAAAAGACTACCATCAACCCTATATCCACATCTATACATAACAGCCATTGGCCTTTTCCCAACTAGATCTCGACGAAGACAAATTCAAGAATGACACCCTGACATATTCCTTGGCTGCTTCCCAATTTCAGATTTGTAGAGGAGTTTGGGATTTATCTTGCCACAGAGGAAAAAATTTCTCTGTGACCACAACTTCCAAGCAACCGTACACACGCTACGAACATATTAACTCTCCTTAGACACCAAAATCTGAAACAATATATAACCACACATTGGATTCAACAATATCTAAAAAATTAATATTATAAAACTCGAATGTTAATTAATATTATAATGAAAATAATTAGATTCTATTAAAATGTATTTTCATATTAAACATTTTCTCTCTTTATTATAAAAATTTAAATAATAAATCAAAAAAATATTTTCCAAAAAATTGAAAATTTCAAGGTCAAATATAATACTTAATAACTGTCACGACCCATTATCTTGGGCCGGACCGGCACAGGACCTGAATAGACTTAAAGCCACCGAAGCCTAAACCTAAAAATATACTAAACAAACTTCCTGTTCAATAAAAATGGCCTCAGGCCCAATATCATCAACATTCACATATCATAAGTCTTGGATTCGCTTGGCTCATACCATTATACTCGATAATAAATCAATTTCCAAAATTAACAATTCCCAAATATCATCAACATTCACATATCATAAGTCTTGGATTCGCTTGGCTCATACCATTATACTCGATAATAAATCAATTTCCAAAATTCTCTAGGCTCATATCAATATATTGCATAATAAAAATTTCAATAAGTAATGTATCATTAATTTCTAAATTTATTATACACGACTATTGTAATTGTGGAACAATCTAAGAATTTATAATTTTACTTCAATAAAAAAAAAAAAGATCAAAATTCATTTTCAACGTTCTCCTTAGATGTAATCACGAGATACCGGAAGACTTGTAACCTGAAAAAAAATATTAAGGCAGGGATGAGCACCTAGTGAGTATGTTAGTTAACCCTCTTACCCAACAAAATCACACGAATGCATAAATAAATCAATCTAGTCATCCGGCTAGTTATATGATCATACAGTCTATCACACAAATGACAAAACAACAACAATCACAAATATTAACACTTTCACATAATCACATCATGCGGAAATTGGTCATTGGCGTCACCAAAACTCCCGACGAGCCATCCTCACACATATTCCGCCCTCTCATCACGTGTGCACAAAGGAGTCGATCCCCATACATGGCCGACCGATCTCAAACTCACTTGACCAGCCCTCTCATTTTTTTTTTTTATACTTTCTTTTTTTTTCTATACCAACTGGAGGCCACCCTGTAGTTTTCCATATCATATTTCGTCAGATGCAAACGGGGGCGCCGATCTCCCCATACATGGCCGACGGTATATAGACTGCCCTCACAAACCCAACGGTAAGCCGTTTCATCCCAACTCCACACAAGCAAAGCAAACATGAAGCACATCACAACTAAACAAATCATTTCCAATAGCAACAAATCATGCAACAAAAAATACAATTTACTAAGTAAAGCATGTCTAGCATTTAGCCGTGTATACATGGATGCAAATGCAGGTGGATGATACGAATTATCTAACACTACTCACCGTTATACAGTTTAGTTAGAAGCTATTTTCCTTTCCCGCTACTGTGCTATTTGAAATTTGATTCCTCGTTACCCGCAAGAATATCTAAATAAAGAAGCAAAATAAGTTTACTATTCATGAATTTTAACTGTCCTTTCTAAACTCTAATTTTTAATAATATTGTATCTAATTTTTCCCAATCATTGAATCCAAATATTCTAGATCGACATAACTCCCCTATCTCGATTTCCTAATCTTAAGTTTCCTATCTTAATCTATATATGTTATACATACTAATCTAACCTCATTATAATTCTTTAACTAAACAATCTTCTACAAACATTAATTAATAAAAAAAAACACCTAATTTCATTATTTAAGTTTGTGCTACCTAAAATCCGGCAACACCTCCCCTATAATTAGAACAATCTACCTTTTTCCAATTCAAGGAAATTTGATCCATCGGGCAAATCAATCAACTAAGCCCTTCCTCCTTCCATTATCAACACAATCTAGAACCAATCAGTTCACATCATCAATTTTAATTATATAATTCATTGCTCAATTCAATTACACAACTCAAATAGCAACTCGGTCATCCACAAGTCTGTTTTCAATCGTTAACTAGAATTACTATCAAACCGTGCATACCTTATATCAATCACAGCTTAATTTCATTAAATAATAATATTCAAACCTTAGAATCAATATATGTGCCATTCATAATGGGAACTTATGGATATCAAATTCTACCCTAATTTCATGTCGTTTTATATCAATCATTAGCTCAATTAACTAAATTAGCAGTTACTTAAGCTCATTCAATATTAATCCACTTAACCAAACTAATTTGATCTAATTTAAATTAATAACCTTTAATCGAATTTTTACAAAAGTAGTGTCGAGGAACTCACAAATTCAAAATTGGATTGCAGATTTGAGATCAGCTTGAAGAGTAGATGATTCTTCCTCTAAGCCCCTACTGGAGTATTGCCAGAGCTTCGCTGCACGGCGGCCGGAAAATCGTGCCACTCTGGAACTTCATGAGGCTTACACCACTCTGCTCGGAATTTCATGGGGAACTCAAATTTAGTGTCCATTTGTCGAGTCAGTGGCCCATTTGGTCAGAATGAGCCTCGACAGCCACCGAAGGAGCCACCGATCATGGTGGTTCATCGTTCTCCACCGGAAACCTCGATTGATAGAGGGAAAATGGTCGCGCAGGAAGGAGAGATCAACTGGTACCCATCCCGAAGCCTTAACTCGCCGGAGAAGGCATGAGTTCATGGTAAAGCGACGCTGCGTCGTTAACGAAAATTTCAGACCTGATTTTACATGACTACAGTTTAAATCGCGCGAACCAAGGCTAGGATGAAGTTCCTTTCGTCGAGTAGATGTTTTTAGACTGCTAGCTCACTAGAAACTATGGCCGTTTGGCTGAAAAATGGGAAGGAGAGGGAGGCGGCGCTGCTAACAACAACGAAGAAAGAAATTTTTTGGGTTTCTCTCTCCTAAACCCCCAACCCCACCCACCCCCCCAAAAAAAAGGTATTTATATCTTGGTTCGGTCGAATTCAGGTTTGGTCACATTCAATAGAAATTTCTAGGTCCTGAGCCTATTTCTGCTGGTTTGATTTGGTTTCCTAAATTTCATTTAGTTCTAGAGTCTTCTATGTTTTAAATTTTAAGATTTCACTGGCACATTTTACCTTTTAAATAATAGTTTGTATCGAAATGAGTAAATTAAATTTTAGTAATATTCTTAATAAACAATTTAATGTGCATTGTTTATACTTAAATAATTTAGCAAAACTCTTAGTCTTAGAATTTTCATAAAAATAATAATGGGATCATGGGCTTGAGCCCAACTTTAAGAAATATGGCTTAAATTAAAATTATTCGGCTTAAGACCATGAGATCGAAAATCTAAATTTTTGATTTATTTAAAATATGAGAGTTTTAAAAATAAAATTACAGATTGTTTCCATAACCTTAAATCATCATCATTTCAAAATTAAAATCATTGATCAAAATTTTGGTTTGCTCTTCTATAACTCTTCAGAAGTTAATTTATTTATCAAAATCTCGTATTTAACTCTTTCTTAAAGAAAATTTGCATGGCGAAAAGAGATCATTTAGTCAACTTATTTATCTATAAAAATTAAATTCCTTTCTAAATATTTTTAAAATATATATATATATACATTACACACTTATCAAGTGCGGTTACGAAATATCTTCATTATTTTTTTTTATCAGTCAAAATGTTATTTTATTAGTTAATAATTCAAGGAAAAAACTGAACATATCTTACTAACTAAAACTCGATCAATAGGAATTTTCAGTTTTTTCAACTAGTACTGATTGATGGAGCCATATGTAGATTAGTACAATTATGGATAGTGTCATAGACCTTCCAGTTACATCCAACATATCTTCATTATTCATCAAACTTAATTTTAAAATTATAGCAAACAAAAACGTAAAGTAAGCTTACACATCCATTAGCAACAATCTAAAAAAGCCACACACAAGCACACCTAATTACTGAAGGCCTCCCGTTACAAGAACAACATATTTCACTCAACAACAGCTTAATCATTGATTCTACTCACCAAGGAACATAAATAAGATTATCTCCTTTAAAGAAATGGCAAACTGGAATAGTTCCTGGTTTAATCCCAAGCACACGAAACGATGCATGATAATGACTCCATTGAGAAGTATCCATATGACAAACAGCAACAGCTTCTACTCTTCCTCGATTTTCACCTCTCAATGAATCCACAAACACTTTATTCTCAGTCTGTTGGCTATGGCAATAGAACACTGTATATGCATATGGCATCGTATGGCAAGCCACCATCTTCGGAACGGGTATCTCCTTTGGTTCTTGCAATATTGTATAATTATCTAAATGCATTTTTGATTTTATAAGAAAGGTGGTTGTTAATATCTTGAATTTTGTCTCTAATCCAAAAGTTTCAAGTACAAAATCAACCATTGATTCTAAAGAGAGAGAAACTTGAGAAATATAGATAATTTGTAAGCATTTTAATTAACAACTGATAGTTAGTGGAAGTTTCAATGAGTTGTTGATTCCATAAGCTAGGTAGCTGATTTTTATTTTATTATATTTAGATTTCATCAACCTTATAAAAATAATTGTATTCCTTCAAATTAATATTTTTCTATCTTACTTGCATATACTTAAAAATAATAATAAATTTCTATTAAAAATATTTTTAAAACAGTTAAATAATATTTTTATTTATATAACACATTAAAATTAAAACTAATATTTTTTATGTCTAAACTAATGAAACGAGAATTTTTTTTATTAGAAAATTCAATATTGTATATAACCAATAATCAATTCATCAACAATCATATTACTAAATAACTAATAATTCAGATCAATATTATAATTCACAAATCATAACCTCATTGAAGAATATCCTAATACTAAAATGTTTGATTGGTCTTTTCAATTATAATGATATTTTCAGCTCATTAGAAACATAGATAAATGTGGAGATGAGATTAAAAATATAAAAGAAATGAGTTTGAAGAGACCATTATATTTGATTTTGCATAGTTTGTTGAAATTTAAATACAAAATGATTTGAATGGATTAACTTGTTTAAACCAGGTCTATGAATTCGCCCATGAACCAAACTAATAAAAATATAAATTTTTTATTGAAATGAAAATATTTCTAACTATTTATTCAAAATAAAAAAAATATAGAGTACAGACAATTTTTAAAAAGTTTTTATTTTTATATATTTAGTTTATAGATAAAGCTGTGGATCCGGTTTAAACAATTATGATATAACCGTAGGCGAAGATCCTACGAAGATGAAATAGTTGTGGTTGCATGAATTTGAATCACTGGGCCGGTCTATCCTCTTCCGAGCGCAAATATCTAGACATTTGATTGAATTCTTGCAAATGTCAGAAACAAAAATGTGTCTGCTTAGAGATCTCATCTCCTTTTCTCTCTATATTTTTATTTTTCTGATTGAAAATTGATGACATCTGTGTGTTTCTCCAAGCTTGAATGGTTAGAAATAATTTAGCTTTCTAATTAATTATGTTATCTCTGAGCGCTAGAGATCTTCTAATTTTACATTAGGACCCTCTTGAATCATATATTTATAAAATTTTTATATTTATTTTTATTATCATTAATTTGAACAGAAAATTTCAAGGTATCAAATTAAAAACTTGAAATTCCTTATGGATCAAACAAAAAATCATATTGCAATAATTGTGTTGCATTTCCAATTCATATTGTAACCAAAGGGATGCAAAAAAGGTATATGTTGAATTGAGATTTGGTGAACCATGATCAGTTATATAGAGCTTAGACCTCTAATTAGCATAGAAAAGTAATAATATATATAATATATGATGCAAGAGAAAAATCTTACATACAGATTAAAAACACAAAGTCCTTTTATTCAAATATTACAAATCATGATGACCTTATTGAGGATTCTAATTCCAAATGCATCAAACATAATGGTCCTATATCATGAGTGAATACAATAGCTTGTCTTGCTTAATTACTCGCTATAAACTGTAACATCTGGCTTTGATTCAAAATCATTGGAAAATAACTTCTTTGCTTTGAGACCTATATCATCATGGTAAATTGTAACATCATCTTTTGTCTCAAAATATGACTTTCGTGCTTTAGGTCTTGCATCAATGTGATATACGAATACATCAGGCCTCAGTTCAAACTCCTTTTTAGACCCCACATCATCATGATAAATTGTAGCATCATCTTTTATTTCAAAATATGGCTTTTGTGGTTTAAGTGTAGCATCATTATGATATATGGTCGCATCAGGTCTTAGCTCAAACTTCTCTTTGATAGCCACATCATCGTGATAAATTGTAGCATCATCCTTTGTCTCAAAATATGGCTTTTGTGGTTTAAGTGTAGCATCATTATGATATATGGTCGCATCAGGTCTTAGCTCAAACTTCTCTTTGATAGCCACATCATCATGATAAATTGTAGCATCATCCTTTGTCTCAAAATATGGCTTTTGTGGTTTAAGTGTAGCATCATTATGATATATGGTCGCATCAGGTCTTAGCTCAAACTTCTCTTTGATCTCCACATCATCATGATAAATTGTAACGTCATTTCTTGTCTCAGGAAATGGCTCCTGCGATTTTAGTTTAGCATCATTGTGATACATGATGACATCCGACCTCGGCTCAAATTTCTCTTTGAACCTCATATCATCATGATAAATTGTAACGTCGTCTCTTGTCACAAAATATGGCTTCCTTGCTTTAAGTCTGGCATCATTATGATATATGGTGGCATCGGGTCTTAGCTCAAAATTCTCTTTAAATTTCGCATCATCATTATGATATACGAATACATCAACTTTCTCTTCTGTGGAGGTAGATGAGACTGGAGAAGCTCTAAGTCGTTGTAATGCTTCTGGCAATGGCTGATCTTTCATTTCCCCCCTCCAATATTCACCCACATCTTTTCTCGCATTGATAGTGATTGAAAACTGCAAATTAAAAAATAAATAAAATATTAAAAATCACTACTCAGATTAATAGAGATAAACAAAACCTATACTGTTCATGGTGTGTGTATGTGTACGTGTGTGTATAGATATATATCCCCACATAAGAGTAACTCTTACTGACCAAGATAAGAGAGAAAAGAGAGAGAAAAGCGAAGAAGAATTTCATGTTTTGTGTAGAGAAGAATTTAAACGATGGACAGTGTTGTCCAATATCCTCACTATTTATAGCTGAAATCAAAGAAAGCAAAATTATAAATAATGTATATATTGTGCGAATAAGGTCAACTATTATTTCATATTATATATCATGTCGTAATATTTAAAATTTATAATAATACTGCGAGCGCAAGCGCGCACACACATATATATATATATTATTTCTTCAAAAAGTTGGTTAATTATTAATAACTTGTGACTTTATAGACATAGATCATTTGGGAATACAATTCATTTTCATTAATCTAATCGTTTATCAATATCTATTGCATATCCTTAAACTTTTATCTTCATAGGCAAAATAAGGCATATCCTTATTTCAGATACAAAAACATGATTTTTTTTTCTTTTTTGCTATTATGCATATATTCTCTTACATTAAATATTTACTTACTAAGAGCAATATTTCTTTATTTTAAGAATTTTACTGTTGAATAACAATTATTCATTAGGGCATATACATGTTAGGAAAAGGGCTGAATAAAAAGAAATTGCAAAGTAGAATTAGATATGTTAGGAACAATATTGCTTTAAGGTCCTTCTGGATGATTTCCGAATTTAGTTTGGTTGTGTTTGATTGTAAGGCTATTTTAAGTCATAGATTTAATGTCAACATTAGATGGATCTGGAGACAAAGAAGAGTGCACTCATTAGTCTTTGTTAATTCAAGTTAATGCAATGGCGTCTTTAAAATTAATCATTATCTGTAATTAATTTTTAATTGTCATTTTAGAATATATTTATTAAAATTTAAAAATAAATGCAATTGCAATAGTTGTTTATTTTATTTTTTATATGTAGGATAACTTTTTTATATAAATTATTGTCAAATTTAGCATCCTCTTATTCACATTGTGATTTCCGAGGTTGTTTTGTTTATTTGTTTTATTAAAGGATAGTATTTTTCTATGATTCTCATTTTTTTTCAGTAGCATGCCAAAAATTTTATTTTTGATTTGTTCTTATTATTTTATACTAACGTTGTTTATAATGTCATTGTCATTTTTTATTATTTTAATATCTGATAGCAACGCAAAAACTATTTTTATTTCTTTTTTCACATTATTTAGGAATAGTTTGTTTATCTTATTAACAATGTATTGGACATTTAACTTATTCAATACACAATAATAAAATAAATTTTATTTATTTGAGTTGAAAAAATAAGCTGTTTATGTGGATTGATAAATCAAAATTTATATCAATAAAGCAACAATTTTTTTTGAAATTGGTTTAATAAATTGATTGGAACTTCTATCAGGTGTTATCAGCTGTTGATTAAAAAATTTACCAAATACTGGAATTAACTTACCTGGTCCATGGGTTTACTCATAAACAAATTAATGAAAATCATACCCACCCCCACTTTCTCTCCTCTTTTTTTTAACATGATTCTCAATTTCTCAATTTCCTATATATATATATATTATAAACACACATTTATTAATCTAATAATTATCGATAGTCACCTTTTTCAATTACTCTGATCATTATTTGATCACTAGCCACCATCACCGCCACACTTTAACTAAAAATTATCTTTTTATGCTTTTTTTTTTTTTTTTGTCCTTCTCCTCTTTTTTTTAACATGATTCTCAATTTCTCAATTTCCTATATATATATATATTATAAAACACACATTTTATTAATTCTAATAATTATTCGATAGTCACCTTTTTCAATTACTCTTATCATTATTTTGATCACCTAGCCACCATCAACCGCCCACACTTTAACTTAAAAAAATTATCTTTTATGCTTTTTTTTTTTTTTTTGGAAAGGGTCTTATGCATTTTTCTTATGCTTTTTTTTTTTTTTTTGGAAAGGTCTTATGCATTTTTCTCAGACTTAATAACAAAATTTTAAAATATAAAGTTTCTGTTATTCTAAATATTTTTAATAATATTTTCTAATTCATAAATTGAAAATATATTTTAATTTTAAAATTTTTTAACTAATATTCAGCATTATAATCGAATAACAGAAAATTATCAAGCAAGTATGATCTGGTTGGTATTTTAATTTATATGAGGAATTGGAAGATCTTAATTTTAAGTCTTTTCAACCACGAGAGTTTTCACTAATCTGGTGAGTCAAAGTGAAAGTTAACTTGTTAATTAATCCGCAGTATTATTTCGGCAATTAGACCTCCCAATGAATAAAAAAAGAGTGACTAACAGAAAATGAATTGTTAATATAAAAGAATATTTTCCTTTGAAAAATATAAAACTATTTTTAAAGATAAATTATTTTAGAAAAACAAATAGAATACTAATTATCTTGAAATTTCTTAAAATTACCGGAGAACTCATCACATTTCTATAGATTTAAATATATTTCAATTGTTTTAATTTTATTCAATCTCACAACGACAACAACCATTTTTTCTCCTCCTGTATCGGCTGATTTCATTGCATAATTGAATTTGAACCATTTTCGGAAAAAAAAAAAAAAAAGAATTTGAACCTCTAAAGAATTTTTTAAGGAACACTTAAATAAAATCAAAATCCTATTTATAGGTTGTGATTCAGTTAGTAATGCAAACTAGGCATGTAGGAAGAGCTCTCATCAGTTCGATCCCCACTAAACGTACATGTCGGGAGGAGCAAAAAGTCTTAACTATAATTAAACTTTAAGTCGAATTAGGCGATCCCTTATATAGGATTCGAATACTGATAGTTTTAAGTAGTTGTTAAGAAAATATATTATATTCGAAATATTGTTATACACGTCATTGAAATTTATTTTTATATTAACTTTGATAATTTCGTATTATATAAGTTTAAAAGGTTGAACAAAAAAATTTCCAAACAAATCAAAATTTTATTTTCTTGAAAATCAACTTTAATTGAGTCCGATAGTGCAGTCTGTCTACCATTTAAATTGGTATATGAGACTCTTACGCGAATGTTAGTTTTAGCAAGTTTCTGAAAAAATAATATTTGCCATAGCAGAAAATTTCCTTTATCATTCTATTTGAAAATTGACTAGTTCATACCAATCTTTTCCGTCAAGATTATCTCCAAATAAAATATTTTAATTTTCTACATTTTTATTTTTTATTTTGTTAGAAATATTATGATGTACTCAATTTATATTCATTATTAATGAATTATTAAGCTTTTGTTAAGAAACATATTATGTTAGAAATATTGGTTAGACGCCATTGAAATTTATTTTATATTAAATTTTATAATTTCGTATTATATAAGTTTAAAAAGTTGAAAAAAAAATTCCAAACAAATCAGAATTTTATTTTCATGAGAATCAACTTCAATACTTAATAATAACTTAAATAAAATCAAAATCCTCGTAATATCCACTCAAAAAAAAAATCCTCGTACTATAATATATATTAATTTAATGGTCTAATCCATTTAGTCATATAAGTAGCTGTTAAGAAAACATATTATGTTAGAAATATTGGTTAGACGTCACTGAAATTTATTTTTTATATTAAAATTTTCAATTTCGTATTATATAAGTTTAAAGTTGAACACAAACATTTCCAAAAAAAATCAGAATTTTATTTTCTTTAAAATCAACTTCAGTACTTAATAATAACTTTAAATCATCGTCACATTCACGTAAAAGTTAAGTAGAGATTTCTTATTTAATTCCCTTTTCTATTAAAAGCTAAATTATTAATCAAAATCAACATTTTAACTCTTTTTTTTTTCTAATTTACTCGGTTGAATAATATTATCGACAAGTTTATGCATCTTACAAGTTAGTTTCCTCCTTTAGTATTTTATAGATATACTTCAACTCATAAAATTGTCATTTTATATATTATAAAGTTAGATTCATTAAATACTTGTCGAATATTGAAAAATATGAAAATTGTTGTCGCAAGTGATACTAATTACCACAAACTGATCAATATTTTGTGTATATAAAATTCAAAACCCATAAACACTGTTATTGCTAATCTGAGGAAGTGAATGATGCTACAAAAATTCATAAATTTAATTAAACAATAAATTCCCGTTAAATTTTAAGTAAAATTAAAAAAAAAAAAAAAAAAAAAATAAAAATTCCCGTTAAATTTAAGTAAAATTAAAAAAAAAAAAAAAAAAAAGTTCAGTTACAAGATTTGGCCAAAAAAAAAAAAAAAAAAAAAGTTCAGTACAAGATTTGGCCCAGTTTCGACACTTGACCATTACATTTAGAAATTACTACTTCCATTCCATAATATTTGTTACATTTAAAAAAATAGTTTGTTTTAAAAACTTATCAAATTTGTGGTTTCAAGGAGTAATAAATATTTTTTTTCCACATTTATCCTTTGTATATGACCAATAATTATTAATCCAATTTAATTGTTTTCTTAGTGAATTAATATTAAATTAAGGGTAATATAATCGATTTACTCAATAATATATTGTAGCTTAGACAAATTTAATAGTTTATTTTAGAGACGTGAAATTTGAAATATGATAAGTATTATAAAATAAAAGTAATATCTTCTTTGTTCATTCAAACTTAATTTTAAGAATACAACAACCAAAGCACATCATAAGTGTGCACATTTATTTGCAACAATCTAGAGAAGTTACAGGCAAAGTACAAACCCATTTATTAAAGATCATTTGGAAGAACAACATATCGTATATATTCAAGAACATCATTCTTGATTCTATTAACCATGGGCAGGCAAAGGAACATAAATAAGATTATCTCCTTTAAAGAAATGGCAAACCGGAATAGTTCCCGGTTTAATCCCAAGCACACGAAATGATGCATGTCTAGAACTCCATTTAGAAGTATCCATATGACAAACAGCAACAGCTTCTACTCTTCCTCCATTTCGACCTTTCAATGAAACCACAAACACTTTATTCTCAGTCTGTTGGCTATGGCAATAGAACACTGTATATCGATACGGCATCGTATGGCAAGCCACCATCTTTGGAACCGGTATCTCCTTAGGTTCTTGCATTATTGTATAATTATCTAAAAGGGTTTTTGATTTTATAAGATGGGTGGTTGTTAAAATCTTGAATTTTGTCCCTAATCCAAAAGTTTCACGTACAAAATCAACTATCGACTCTAAAGAAGTAGCACAAATTTTTGTTTCTCCTTTGATGGGTTTAAGTTCGCATTCTTTTAGAGTATTTTCCATGGCTATGGCTTGAGGAGAGTTTGGAGAGATGGAAAATAATTTAAGGAGGTAAGGGAAGTCTTTGTATGAAAAAGGAATGGAATCTTAAGGGAAGTCTTTGTATGAAAAAGGAATGGAATCTGCTTCTGCTTTAGGTAACATAGGGGGAGTAGATGAAGAATCTTTCATAGGAAAATAAATTTGCAATTTTTTGCCAATTTTGAGATCATCTAAAGTGAAAAAGACCATCATGGATTGATCCAAGTGATTCATATGAGATGATGGACTTGCCTGTACATGATCACTTGGAAGTCTCAAAACATTGTTGCTCTTGCTTATCTTCTCTCTTGCTCCTTCACTTCCATTTGAACTCTGCAAATTATTCGATATTATTTGATGGACTATTAAATAATGAAACCAAGATGTAGAATAAGCGTTTGGATGGATTAATTACCAGAACTACAAGAAGATGGAGGAGAAAGAACTTGAATGCAAAATGTATGCCCATTATTAGTTGATCCGTTTTGCTCAGTGAAAAGTTTAGTGTATCTTCTTGTACTTGGAGAGAGATAAACTTGAGAAATGAAGGTTGGATCTCTCTCTCATGCACACATTTATATATATATATATATATATAATTAAGAAACTTGTCAATCATGTTTTATTAAAGGGAGTGAGTTTTATTTTCCACTTAGACATGTTTCATTGTGATTATCTGATGGTCGTTAGCTAATAGATGTGCGTTGTTTAGTAAAATTATTATAGCGATTGTTATTCAAATGTAAATGAAAAAAAGACAATTAAAAGTATAATTATTTTTATAAATTATTATGTATCATATGTATATTTATATATACTTATTTTTACAGTATATAAATTAGTTTTCACTTTAATTTGTTATATAAAATAAAATGTACAGTTAAATTTTTTTGTGATAGTACTATTTAATAGTTATTTATTTTTAAATATTTTATAAATAAAACAATTAATTTAAAAAACTAGTAATTTTATTATTATAAGATTAATAGAGTCTAAATATAATGTAAATACGAATGAGCTTTTGTTGATTACTATGAATTATTAGTCGAAGGAAGACTTAATATTGTATTATACTTAATATGAAATTCACCCCAATAGCCCGTCTCTCTCTTTTTAAAAAAAAAAAACCTAAAAACTCTCTTTTCTTATTTTATGGGGCAACCACTAATGGTCACCTTTTTCTTTTTTTTGTTGATTTCTTTTCAAATAATCTTCGTATTTATATTTTTGATACAAATCTGAATTATTATTATCCAAATATTGGCACTATTGTTGCCCCTATTTTTAAAATTTTATTTTCAGATTTAGTTCTTAGTTATTGTTGTCTCCATTATGATGATTTTGTAAAAGATATTTTATTATTTAGATAGTTATATATAAAGAAGTTCATAAAAAAATTTGAAAGTGATCAGATCGAAATTTTAGAAAAGACTGTAAAGTCAAACAATAACTATAAATAGTTATCAAATGAAGCAATATTAATAATTTCTAAAAATCTAAATATTAATATGACAATTATAAGACGCAATATTAAGAGCTAATAATAAGATACACTTCATCCTCGAATAGTAAGAGTTAAAAATAAGAGACAAAACATACAATATATATAATGTAAGACGTTAAAAATAAAGAGACAAAAACATACAATAATATATATATATAATATATATATATTAAAAAAATTAGGAAATTTGATAAATCATAATTAATAATAAAGGATTTACACGTGATTAGTTTCATTGAAAATTAATAACTTTTATATTTTTTTGCCAAAGTAAGATGAAACAAACCCGATTTTTATTTTCAAAATAATTTTCCAATTAATTTAATGAATCGACAGCCTGTTAACATTTATTTTTCAATATTTAATTGAATACTGTTGATAAACCGAATCGAAAAGCGATTGAAAAATTTGAAACAATGAAACAAAGGCTTGGGCCGAATCGCACCTGTCGCCAAAACCAATCTAGAAACACTCTCCTTCCTGTTTTTTTTCTCTTCTCATCAACGCTCACTCCCTCTACATTTTTTGCGCCACTAGTCCACCACGACCACTGCATCAGCCACACTGCCAGCGGCCACCAACCTCCCCCTCTCTTCTCTTCTTCTTTCTTCTTCTTTCTTTCTTTTCTTCTTCTTTCCTTCCTTTCTCTTTCTTTTTCCCTTGCGCCGGACTCGTTGCTGCAGAAGCAGATCGCGCCTCCACCAGACTCAGAGCGGAGCCTAGCGCCAACTACGCCTCCTCACCGCTCTCCTCACCGCCGCTCGCCGTTCTTCACAGCCTCCATCTAGCGAGCACCGTAGACAGGAGCAGCGCCTCAGCTCAGTTGCAGCTCCAGCGCGTCTCCAACCACCAGGAGCATAACAGTCGCGCCTGCAGTTGCGCCGCTGGCTGCTCCGCCACCAGGTCGCGCCACCACTGCAAGTCAGCCCCTCCTGCGTCGATCTCAGGTGGTCCAATCGCTTCCAGCACGCGTAGTTTCAATCCGGTACGTGTAAAATCCCAAATCCTGCAAGAAAATAATATTTTGTTTGCGTATGAATTTATTTTATTAATTGTGGTTAATTAATTTAATTTTAGTAATCTTGGGTAGTTAATTTAATTTTAGTAATAATATTTAATTAAATTAATTTTATTATTTGTAGTTAATTAATTTAGTTAATTTAATTTATTAATTGTGAGTAGTTAATTGATTTATAATATCAGTGTTGATTTAATTAAGTAACCTTGATAATGACATATTAATAGAATTTAAGTGTGGATTAAGGTAGTTTAGATATAATGTTATTGTAAATTATAATTTTAACTGTGCGGTGATGTTGAGATTGAAGGAGGATGGGAAATTTGATTTGATTGATTGTGATTGATTGTCGGCTGTGTGGTTTGATAAATTGTTGATATTTTAACAGGTGGATAGTCCAACTTTTAGGGAAGATACTGCGGATAGTCCAACTTTTAGGGGAGATACTGCCGAAATTTCGGTAGGAATTAGATTATTTTTAGAACTCTAATAGATAGTACGAATAAAATTAGAATTCTTACTTAGAATTTTCTTGTTTATTTTAGAGGATTATAAAATTCAGAAATGCGAGGACAAAGGTTGGAAGCATGTGGCTAGAAAGGCAGTCCTTTTAGAGGACAATAAAGAACTGTGAGTAGTGTTAGATAACTAGTATCATCCTGCATTCATGCATTCACGGCTAAAGTTATCATAGCTAAATGTTATCATGCATTAATTTATTGAATTGCCATATTGTGATGCACTTCTTGTTGATATTAAAAATTGTCTGATTACTTGTGCTGTGTATATATTGTGTTTTGTTTGTGTGGAATTGGAATGAAGTGGGTCACCATAGGTTTGTGAGACCGTTACCGTTATATGGATCCATTACCGTTAGCTGGGTAAATGAGAGATCAGCGCCCCCGTGTGCACCTACCATCACCGTTACCGTTAACCACAGGTTGGCTTCTCGTCGTTGCGCACCGGACAGTCTAGATTTGATCGCAGCCCGCAGGGTTTGGGAGCGCCTGATGATCTAGACTTGGATGGGAGACACCGGGTTGCTCTTGTTGGTAATAAAAAAAAAAAAAAAAGAGAAAAGAAAAGGAACAAAAAGAAAGAGGAGATCTGAAAACAATGCACGAGGACCTGGTTCAAGTGAGGAAAGTGAGGATTAGACCGGTCGGCCAGTATGGGAGATCGGCTCCCTGGTGCACATGTGAGAGGATGAGCCATGTGGAAGGACGGCTCATCAGGGGTTCGGTGACTCCACTGACTAATTTCCACGTGATGTGATTATATGAAGACGTTAATGATTGTGAGTGCTGGTGATTTGCCATTTGTGTGACTGGCTGCGTGAGCATATAATTAGTCAGACGACTAGATTAATATGTTTATACATTTGTGTGACTGCGTGTGTGGTGCAAAAATTATTACTCCTTAGAAAACTCACGTCTTGTTTGATTTTTCAGGAAGTACCCTCCAACCCTCCCCAGGTAATAGATGGAAAGAAGAATCGTGGAGTCTAATTGAATGAACGAGATATGGTTCGATAGGAGTAATAATCATTGTATCAAATAAATAGTAAATGCAAAGGTAGTGAATTATGGAGTAGAGTTCCGCAATTGTAACCAACTGAGTGTTAAATGAATAAATAAAGTATAGGCATTTATTATTTGGATTGTACTTTGAATATTGAGAAATAAATTATTGGGCCCTGAATCCACAATTTATGAATAAGCATATGAGTCTTAAATAATTTAGGATATTTGAGAAATAAATTATTGGGCCTGAATCCACAATTATGAATAACATATGAGTCTTAAATAATTTAGGCTTACTATGGGCTTCGGGGGCCTTAAGTCCATCCAAGTCCTAGTGTCGGTCCGGCCCACGGAAATGGGTCGTGACAGTAGGCAGATCCAATCTTTATAATACAATTGACTTGTCATTTTGCAATCTATGAAGTTTTTTAATTTTGAGGGTTAATTTTATAGATTTAAAAATATAATATTTATGTTACGAGTAATATAATGTTGTCATAACTTTTACAGGTTAGAAGCATTTAATCAAATGTTAAACTCCCTAATATTTAGTGCTTTATATATCTTTTTACACACTTATCCATTGTATTTTCTCATGAATTCTTAAGGTCTAGAATTTAGATATTCTACTTGATAGAGCTCTCTTTTGATTTTTGTTCTCAAATTTTAAATAAATATATGTAATTTTAATTATTTTATTCTGCTTTTTATTGTCTTAAAACAAGTATAAGAGTCCGTTGTAAAAATTAAATAAAAATTACAAGACAAAAATATTTTTACTCATTTTTTTCATTTCAATTTTATAAGAAATAACTCTTGTTATTGAAAAAAATGACTTCACTTCTATGCTATAATTTAAAATTTTAAGCCAACACTTCGTTATCTTTTTTTTGTTATTTTAATTTTAACTGATAATCAAACATCTAACGGTAGTAGAACTATAATAATTAGTACTACCGTAAAGGACAGACATATAAGAATATAAAAAATATGATAAAAAATAAAAAAAAAAAAATCAGTTTTATTAAAAAATAATAAAAATTTTCCCAGAATTAAAAAATAAAAAGGCAGGCAGGCAAACCCAACTTTAAAAATTAGAACGTCGTTCTTCCTTGTTCTTCTCTTGATTCATAGGGGTAGAGGGGCCAATAATATCGCAATTGAGAAACAATTAAGTAGCAATCTGATATCAATCCCTTATATACTCATCTCAAGTTATAAAATTTCCCACAAAAGAAAGAGCAAAACTTCTTATGTATATCAGAAGAAAAATTGTAATTGCATAGTAAGAAATACTTTCACTCATAATATAAAAAATAAACTTCAATTATGTAATAATAGAGCTAATGTATCATAATAAATCGAACTTTACAGGCTTTTGCAATTTCCCTCTATTTTGATTTTTCTATCAACTTTACCCTAATTTCAACCTTATAGCAATAGCACCTTTAATTGCAATTAAGGATAAAATTGTAAATAAAAAAATATTTATAACCTCTTTTAAATTAATAATAAAAATGAAATCTAAAAAATAATATCAAATTATATTCACATCTGAGGTGGCATATTTATAGATTTAGAAATATGATATTTCAAACAGGTGCAATTAAAATTAAAAAAAAAAGTTATTTATTTATTTTTATTAATGGGTAATAATTTGATTATATTATCAATCTAAAAAACTTCTAGCAATTAGGATTTTTTCATCCTTAAAATATATAGATAATATAAAATAAAATATGTAATTAAAAAGTTATGTTTTATTAATTTAGTTTTTATGCCATGTTTAATATTTTTTTCTATGTAACAGAAATTTATGTTATTAAATTATTAATTAGTATATTTATCAAAAAAAATTAAAATGTTAAGCTATGAACATTATTTGCTTCGACTATTGGAGCTTTTGAAATTTTTATTTTTTTAGTTTATATCAATTAAATGATGATTTAAAAATCATGGAAATTCATTTTTATTTGTTATTCATTCTTAAGTGTAATTGAGGATGCTATTGCTAGTCAAAATTATGGTAAAATTGACAGAAAAATCAAAATAGGATAAAATTATAAAGATCTATAAATTTTGGAGTATTTTGATATATTAGCCATGTAATAATACAACGAGTCACTATATTCTAAGCTAAGGCCCACTGAAAAGCTAACTCGGAGATAGAACCAGAATCAGTTTTTAATTTATGTCAGCTACCACACTCTTTTTCCTAAATTAATCTTCAAAATAAAAAATAAAAAATAAAATAGATGTAATATCAATATCACCGAGCCGGATTACGCAGTCTATGGTAATGAAATCTAGACACCGGTGGTTTACATCCAAAAAAAATCTATCAAAAACAAATTACATATAAATATTTAAAAATTAGAAATTTGGTAATAATAATGATGATAATTATAGGATTCCCACGTGATTAATTAATTCATGAAACAAAATCTTATATTTTAGTTTTGCAAGTAAGCAAATCCAATCTTTACAATAGAATTGGACTTGTCATTTTGCAATCAATAAAGTTTGTTAATTTTGTGGGTTAATTGCATACTGCCAATATATCTTTTCTTATATCAGAAAATTAATTAGAACAAAGCACACCAATATATAATTTTAATTGTTTTTAGCCACTATATCATTTGAAATAATCTATAAATTTTTTGAATAACAAAAAACGTTTTAATATTTGATAATATAAAAATTCATAAATGAATTATAACATTGCAAAATTGTCTTGATTATTGAATTATAAGTTAGACTTACGAAGGGAAGCGCTTCGAGCGAGAATTTTCTCCATTCACAAGGACTCGAGGTTTTTCAATTTAGACCAAACCTATTGATAATGTGACATCAATCTTTATCCCTTCTACTTTTTGATTTAAGGTATTAGGTATGTGAAGAATTTTTTTTTTAATTATTTGCCATTTTGAAGTGAGTTTGAGTTAATTGTAGGGCTCACCTTTTATAACCTTATCATTAATTTTAATTTTGGTTTGCAATTTATTCAAAATTATAGTTTAGGTATATGTAAAAAAGTCAAAATAGGATGTAATTACAATATGAACAAAATATTACACGTGGTTAAGCTTAGAAAAAACCTCCTAACGTTTTTAATATTTTCCTTTTAAAAAAAAAAAATCTCATTGCTTATATTTTTTTTAAAAGAATGCAGATTGTCCTTAGAAAAGACCCCAACCAAATCCAAAAACAATGAAACCAAAATAAAAATATTACAATAATAAGATGGCACAAAACATTTGACAATTATATGTTATTTCAAATACTCAATCATTTTAAATAACTAGCTATTTGAACCTATCCTAATTACGTATTATTTCAAATACACTCCGTTTTGTTCAATATTTTATTAATGTTCCTACAAAATTGTATAGCCATAATGGATTTTTTTTTTTGAGACGGCCGGACAGGAAATTTGAACTTAAATCTATTATCAAGTCGTAATGCAGTTACCACTAAACTATACTTAATTTGTATAATGGAAATGTAATCATTACAATAGAACGAGGATAAATTTGTTACCTAGAAAAAAAAATTAAATTTATTACTTATGACTAATGATCAAATTCTAGTATTTAAAAATGATTGGATTGAAATGAGTGAACGGTAGAAAATAATAAGTTATCGTATAAGTTTAATTCGAAATTGAAATAACGTTTTAAAAATTTTGGACGATTTTTTATATGTTTTTTTAATTTATTTATAAGAGTCCCAATGAATCGTCTAGGCTATAAAGCAAGGGATAATGCTACTTTTTGAATAAAATTTATTCAATTGGTGGTAACTCCTGAGAATTTTATTTATAAATTTTTTGAGAGGTTAAAAAGGTCAAAATAGAGTATTTCGAATGTTGGAATAATATGTTATATAGTTTTTTTTTTTATTCATTGAGAGGTTCGATGGTCGAGCTAACACTGTGGGCTAGATTGTACGTATTTAATAAGCATTTTAATACTAATTGCTATCAAAATTTTACTAAACACAATCATTCACTAGTTAATTGCTATCAGCTACCAACTATCAGTAACCGCTATCAACTATCAATTAGGGGTGAACATTTGGCCAATTCAGTCAATTTGAGTAAAATTTTTAACCGAAAATTTTTTGACTTAACCGAATTAATTTTTTAACCAAACTTAACTGAAAAGTTTTGGCCGAATTAATTTTGATAATTAACCGAACTAAAATTGAAGAAAATGAAAACTTAATTAACTGACCGAAATTTATGATTAACCGATTTTAACTGAAATAAAAATTAACCGAAAATATTAATTTTAATTGAAATATTTTTAATTTTTAATTTTATTATATACTTAACCAAAAAGACCTAATTTTGAGAGTTGGTCAATTTAATTAATTCAATTAAATTAACTTTTAACCGATCACCGAAGTTTTAATTTTTTTTTAACCGAACATTTATTCAACAAACTGAATTAACCGAATCAATCGAATTAACCAAACCGAATATTAACCCCTACTATTAATTACTATAAACATCTAAATCAAATGGACCTTAAATTCTATACTACTTAATCCTTCTGTTTATCTAGTGAATTATTGTTATTGTCCCCAATAAAAGCATTTGTTAGTTACATCGCAAACAATTTCACTTAAAAAAGTGAATTACTATTTAGTCCCCAGTTATATTTAAATATACTAATCACACCCCTTATTTTGAAGATAATTTTATATTTTATATTTTATCCTTATTTTTTTGAAAAAAATATTTTATCCTTATTTATTAATTGTTCTGACTAACAACATCCAGACCAATGTTTTGATTACGTAATAATTCACTCCATACAATATTATGTATATTTGATAGTCACGCCAAGCATACTGCAAAAGCTTTCAAAATTAGGGAAAGGTTGAAAAGATGAAAAACAATCATATAGTTGCACAGTTAGTGGTCAGTATTCGGTTTGATTAATTTGGTCAATTCGATTAATTCGATTTAATGAATATATATTCCATTAATAATTCAGTTAAAAAAAATTGAATTTTTGATAATTAGTTAATGGCTCGATTAAAGAAAATTAAATTTTAACTAATAAACTAAAGATTTGCTTAGAA